TGTCATGCTATGATTACCCCTCTATTTCATAATTGCCTAGATATTATATCTGCCATGATTGTAACTTAAATCGGTTTGCAGTATGCCTGTTCTATATCTTCACACTTAAGAGTTAGGCAGAATACATTTTTTTTATAAAAAATGTATTCTGACGGCCCACTTGATGGAAAGTAGTGAAGATATAGAACAGACAAACTGCAAACCGATTTAAGTTACAAACAAATTCACGCACCTTTCAAACCAAAATACAGCCATGCAAACACAACTGCTTCACGGTTGAAACACGAATGGATGAGAGGTACCCAAGCAATCGACTTTTATACAAAGTCTCCCTCTTGTGATTTACTTACACATTTGATAAATTATTCCTATAGTTTTTTGGTAAAAATCTAATTATAATGAAATTACTCTCTCCCTTGTTTAACATAAAATGGATGCGTTCGATGTGTATCTTGTTTATACGCTTTTATACGAATTCCTCAGATATTTGGTTGCCGATACGCATGATTTTTTTTAAGTGTTAATTAACAAAATATTACTTTTCTAATTTCAAATAGGTGTGTACACTTTTGTGTAAATTATTACGTCAGTATTGGTATGCCGAGAAATGTGCTGGACAGTCGATAGACGGTAGCGACAGAGTGGCGGCCAGTGCGGGGGACTCTGACAGCTGGCTTCCCGTCCATTGTTATCTGATCACTCATCTGTGCACATATTATAAAACAATCTATTCGTAGCATCATTTAGATCCCCGCTGAATATTTGTATTTACCTGTAAGAATTTAAAAATTGACATTTCAGATACACATCTAAGTGAATTAATTTGAATTTATAAATTCTTATATTGGATTTTCCTTGTACCGTTATTATGATTTTTTATTAAGTAAAATTAAAATTAGATAACGTTGTCGCAGAGCGTCATGACCTAGTGGTATAGTTCATTTCATTTTTCATTTCAGCTATTATCCGTCCACAGCTGGACATAAGCCTTCCCCATAGAGTGCCATAAAGAACGGTATTGAGCCACCTGCATCCACTGTCTCCCTGCAATGCATTTCAGGTCGTCACTCCCTCTAGTGGGGGATCGTCCTACACTGCGTTTAGATGTACATGTGTATTATAAATAACCGTACCGTATTACCGTCAGAGGTATATTAGTCCAACTTAAATACCGCAAATCGTGAGATCGATTCTGAGCAACAACTTAAATTTAATATTTTTATTAATGAATTAAATACTTAAATTAAATTTAATTAAATACTTTAAGTGTCAATATACATTTTCAATTTACCGACAAAGACAGATATTATAAATCGATCAAATCCAAATAATTCGAGTGACGTAAATAGGATCATTGTTCTCTACGAGACTTCTAAAATGTTTAGCGAAATTTGGGCATATACATTCTCTACAATAATATTATCAACAAGTGTCTTTAACTGTCACATTGGAATCAAGTATGAGTAAATTTTTTTAATTGCATGTGAATTATCTCTGCCTACACCATTAGGGACTTGGCTTAAAGATGAATTGATAATTTATGTAAATAAAACTCGTTTAAATCTTTTATATCCAAAATGTGATTTCATTTACAGGGTACAGAGGAATAACACCTGAGTTCTCAGGAATGGCAACGCATGGGGGGTATCATGGGCGAATGGCAGTATACTCTGTTATGTTCATAGTATTGCTTATGTCTATAGGCGACGGTTACCACTTTCCATCAGGTGGGCCGTCAGCTTGTTTGCAATTCTAAGTTGTATAAAAAAAAATCACTTTCAGTCATAAATTTCTATTTTCATTTTTCTTTAACGTTTAGAATATATGACGAAAATTGAACAGAAATTATAATAATTTTAGTGATTAAATGATGCATGATTATGTTTACGAGGTTTTAGGTAATTTCCCATGTTGATGATTTCTTTGCAATTAATTCCGCTACAAAAAGATTCCATGTTTTATTGCATTATTAACTCTATTTACTATTAAACATAGAGTTCTAGTCGTGATATAATTATGTCCATTATACGCGTTTGTTTAGATGCATGTGCTTATAGTAACACAAGCAAATTCCACCTTTTTGGGTTAAAAAATGTATACCCGTGCAAAACCGACGCGAGAGAGAAGATAATTTTAGATAATGTATTTAAAGAGAGGACAATATAGCACCATGGTTCATTAATGTTGGATTTTTTTTAACAGAAAGTGATCTATCAAATTAGTCGACAAGCCAAAAATAAATCGAGATAAGGCTCGGAAAGAAGTGATAATTCAAGTAAGTGCTTCAAAACATCTGTTTTCAAACTGTAAAACTGCAAAACATTCAGATTTTACTTTACGATCGTCGGTGCAGGTACATAATATTTTCCGTTTATAAATACATATCTACGTCAAAGATAACTATTTGATGTTTTAATGATTTAATATATTATAGCTAACATAATGCAGAAATATGCTCTGGTTTATTTTTTACAAGCCCAGTTAGATATTAAAATAATGATATTATTTCTGTTCTTTTTTTTTATTGTTTTTAAAATACCACAAAAAATAGTAGGTACAAATTAATCAGGCAAATTTCAAGATCTTTGAGTAAATTTCATGTTACACAATTACATTTATTGTGTTGATATATAAATAAATATAATATAATATTATATTTATTTAAGAATATATTAAGGTTTCTTTAGGGTCTACAACGCGCACGTAACACCCCAAGTGTTGCAGACAAGTGGCCGTTTACCATCAGACGGGCTATACACTTATTTGTCACCATTGTGGTATAAAAAAATTACCATGTTGCACATATCACTGATACCTATTACGAGTATTTTTTTTGCAATTGAAACAGCTGTTTTTGTTTTGTGAAACAAAGAATTGCTTGTTCTGAATTTTAGTCTGAAGCAAAATGTCTTTAAACACGATTTCGCGTTCTAAATTTAAATACTTTCGTCATACCAAGTATAAGGTAAAAAATAAGAAGATTCAAAATTCGAATGTGTCTTTGGATGTATCTATTTACGTAATATCTAGTTTTGTCTGTTTTAAGCAATTGAAGTCACGTGAATTGAATGTTATTAATGCCTTATTAATTGCTATTAATTTAGTGAATTAATCAATAAAATAAACTTTATAATAACAATGTCAATGATCTTTGTAAATATTATTATATCATGCATAATAATGGCTGGTAACACGTGTACAACGCACCACTCTGGTAAATATATCGCTTATGAAATCGTAAAATATACTTTTATACATATACCTACTTGGTACTCGTAAAAGAAACACTAAAATAAATATGTAGCAGAATTATAAATATATATTTTTACAGTTATTGCGTTATAAAGATATTTTACAGGAAAGTTACAAGTGGATATTGAAATAATGACTTTCATAGTCCTCGGATATTTTATTTTTAGCGATTGTATAATATTTTCTACAGTTCATCTGTTGTGATCATGCTTTTCATTTAAAATAATGGGGTTACGATGAATTTTTTGTTTTATTATATCATTATATAGGTATATTAGATAATGCAAAGGGTTTATTGAGTATATACAGTATGTACATATAATATTTATAATCCATACCTATTATATTATTTGCAAACTCAATGGTCGCGTACTGACTTTCACCAGAGGGAGTTTTCTTCTACGAACACTCGATTGCTGTGGAATTATCCCTGCCGTGTTTCCCAAGAGACTACAGCATGGGATTCTTCAAAATGGGGGTAAAGAGGTTTCTTCAGGGTCGGCAACGCACGCGTAATACCTCTGGTATTGCAGGTGTTCATAGGTTACGGTAACCACTTACCATCAGGTGAGCCGTATGCTTGTTTGCCACTTCAGTGGTATAAAAAAATTAAATTATGAGCCATAAACTGACGGAAGTATATCGTAATATATACACAAAAGTTATACCGACAACTTAAGAATTTCTTGTTTTTTTAAAATCTCTATAAAAAAACCAAGTCTCTATATACACTAACAATATTGCAACTAATTATACCAATTTAATTAACATGAGAGACTGTTATTTGCAAACAGAATCGTTAAATGTTTGTCCAGAATTAGCAAATATATTTATAAAATATACAACAGATGAGAAACTTATCTTTTTCAAAATTCGGTTGAAAATAGTTGACGCAATGATATGGGGTGTTCAATAACGCTAATTAAATTTGAATTTGGAATGTTATCAGACTAAATACCTACTAGTTGCTAGCAATATTTATTATCGGATTGATTTTTATACAATGTCTAGTAAATATTCCACTGCTGCCCCGTCATTGTACACCATTAGCATTTAAAATTGTCGTATTTATCTAATCCACAATATTCTATTCTAGGGGGGAAAGGGATTGTTAGCAATGGAGTTCGACATTGCTAGCAATATCTTTTCGATTTTTCCACGTGGTTTTGGAAACCATCGTGAACAATTCTTTTAATTCGTCACGATAAAATAAAAAATTTTCTTCATCCTCATCTATCATCCCTCACTGGTACCTCGCCGGTGTATACCAATAGCGCGGGTGGGGTTACCATTCCATTATCGACCATTAAAAAAAATTTATTCTATTATTTACCTAATAATTAAGGTGAGACTTTACTTAACAGTGGGACAACATATGTTCCATTCATTATCGTCATATCAGCCTTTAACTGTCCACTGTTGAACTTAAGCCTCCTCCTTGAGGGGTTGCCAATTGCTGCCATGCTAGGCAGGCAGATTGACAACCGCAGTTAGGCTTTTTCGGCTATGGACCTATAAGGCTTTGGAGATGTTTTAAGAGAGACACTGTTAGCTGTTCCTCGCTCTCCCTTAGTCATCTCTTATGACCACCCCTTTCTTACTTGTAGGTACAAGAAAAAAAGAGTGGCCTATTCTTTGCCGGAACTACACGGCATATATGTTCCCATATTAAACAATGATCATCTCTATTTCCTTTTAATTCGCAATATTTTTAACCATAAAATATTTTTTTTTCTTGTTTGTTACAGTCGAGTCGAACGCCGTTGGAAGCGACCAGCTAGCCAGTGAGTGTTCAAGTCCGTGCAAGAGCCGCCATACATCGCCGCCCGCCCGCATAGAATGGTAGAAACTGACCCGGGGCCTAAGAAAACTCACAGTGAGTAAATAATAGACTGAAAATTTTGCCCTCCGATCGCTTGAACCATTGGAATTCGAACACACATTTCTCTGATATCTGCACTAATTGTGTTCCTATTTGCTTACTTATAGTACACCACAGAAGGGATATTATGAATCGTTTATTCGATCATTTTTAAGTTAAACTAAGTTTTTTTTACTTTAAAATGATATATCAATTAGAATGGCCGATGATTAAAAATTGTGTCCCGCAAGAAAACTACTTCAATTGTGATAAAACCCAGTTATATTGATTTAAATCTATCTTTTTAAAAAAAATCCAAAGTGGTAAAGAATTGACAGAGTTATTAGGTAACATATATTACAAAAATACAACCGAATTGTGAACACACTTTTTTGAAATCGGTGTAAAAGAAATTCGAGTGAAGGGAGGTGCGGCAAATAGCTATATATATTGGTTATAATAAATTTTGTACTATCCAATTTACACGATGTTTGGCTGGAGTTGTTTGTAAATACAACTAACACTAACTACGAGTACAAACGCGGTACAGACGTAGGTTAATTTTAATCTTTGTACACATCCTTAACCACTTTTCTACGCGCGTTTAATTGAATGCACTAAGTGACCTGTCACAATGCGTTTTGTACTTCATAGTGACACTATATAATACATAGTGTCTATAGATATATACGTAATAAATTAGTAACAAATATTAATAAATTAAACTAATAACACAGTCGGTATAAAAGTCCTAATAATATTTCATAATACATACATTTTGTAGCTAATCCAAGTATAAACTATCTGTGTACTAAATTTTATTTATATTCGTTTATCCGTTATAGCTGATTAAGTACTTAACAATTTTTTTTATATACAACTTAGAATGGCAAAAAAGCCAACGGCCCACCTGATGGAAAGTGGTAACCGTCGCCTATAGACATGAGTAGTACCATATACACATAACAGAGTATACTGTTTCGCCCATGATACTCCCTATGGGTTGCCATTCCTGAGGACTCAGGTGTTATTCCTTTGTACCCAGTAAATTCACGCTATATCCCACCCTTCAAACCGAAACACAGTCATGCAAACACAACTGCTTCACGATTGAAACACGAATGGGACAGAGGTACCCAAGCAATCGACTTTTGTACAAAGTCTCCCTCTGGTAAAAAAATATCCAAATATATTTACTAACTTTATCTATATATATTATAGTAATGAGAAAGTTTTTGACAAAATATTTAGGTATTATTTTTGTTTGTTGTTGTTCAGAAATGACAACATATGAAGGATACAGTAGAATACATATCACAGGATATCCTGTTTATGTTTTTTCATGTTACATATAATATAGTTTAAGTCAGCATAATTTGCCGAATTATTAGGTGGTAGTACTCGCAATGGTCACAAAAGTTAGGTGATCTGAACAACTTAAGGCCACATAGCTCCCGGCAAGTCCAATCAGTTTCCGGTTATGGCGAGGTAAAGGTTGACTTATTAATAACTTCCTATATTGTATCCTTTGGACATATTTTACTTTGTAACATTGAGCTAAATTTAATATTGTGATACGTAAATCACATAGGTACTTAAATAAAATTTATTTATTTATTTAATCAACTAATTAAGCTTTACAGTCTCTCAATACCTTCACCCAGTACATCAACTTATCAGTACAGTACCACATGTATAATTAAATGGAATAATATTAATTAGATTTAAATTACTACTAACTAGTACTGTTTGGTTCGTCACTTTCGCGGCGGCTCCGAGTCCGAGACCGGAGTCTCGCGGCGTGGCGACGCGAGCGTCAATTGTGGCGTCTCTTAAAATGAGTACTGTTTGGTTAAATTAATTAAATGTTTCATACACATCGAATATTCTACAATTATATAGGTACTATTAGATACAAGCAAAGATTTCATTGGTAATTTAAAAACATAATTATTTATTTCTACGGCTATTTCTAAATAAAAATTTGTAACTGGGAAAATGAACTAAGAACTGAGGCCACAACCAGTGGATGCAAACAAATTAAAATTTTAATTGAACATATATTTACTTACAAATATTTGGAGATTACACTTAATAAAATTAAAACTAAATAATATTGACAATCTCTCGGATGGAAAAATGTGTTGAAATTTAGTGTGGTTCCCAGTAGCCACCACCCACAGAGCGTGCGAAAAACGTTCCGCTGTGTCGGCGCGTCATATTCGCCGATTTACTTGGAAATTGAAACAATCGGCCGCTGCTCAGAATTATGAAGTAATACGAAAAGGTGCAGATCTAAGCAACTGTATGGGTGGGACGTTATGACTCATTGTCATTAACTAAAGTAAAGAAATAACCCTGGACATATCGCGCAGTGTCATCCAGTCCCAAACTAAGCAATATTTGAAAACACCCATACGAATTCAAACAGCAGGTCTACCATGAAATGAAATTTCGAAATTTCGGACTCAATTTCGTGTTTTTGTTAATACCAAAATCGGACCAATAAATTGAGTTTAACATCTTGTTTATCATACATCCTATCATAAAAGTCCAAAGGAACAATATTTTAACATTTTAAATATTTCCAAACGGCATGTATTATGTAATTTTAACATCAAATTTGTGTTTTGTTTGGCTCCGAAATTTCGGAAAACACTTCATGGTAGGCCGTCTGATATGTTTGTGAATGTTTGTGTTTTTTTTTTATTTTTTATACAACTTAGAATGGCAAACAAGCTGATGGCCCACCTGATGGAAAGTGGTAACCGTCGCCTATAGACATGAGCAGTACCATGGACATAACAGAGTATACTGTTTTGCTCATGACACTTCCCATGCGTTGCCATTCCTGAAGACTCAGGTGTTATTCCTCTGTACCCAGTAAATTCACGCCATATCCCACCCTTCAAACTGAGACACAGCCATGCAAACACAACTGCTTCACGGTTGAAACACGAATGGGACAGAGGTACCCAAACAATCGACTTTTGTACAAAGTCTCCCTCTGGTTGAGCAAGGATCAAACTCGCAACCATTGCAAGTGATTTAATATGACTGTTCTATCACTATGTCTTTATAGATTATTGTTCTATTTTAAAATAACATTTTATTTACAAAATTATAGAATAATAAACTATAAGTAACCCATTCGGAAGTATGATCCTATATGAGCTAACTAATGATTTTTAATATCATTAGAACTAACCACTATTTGATTCAATGTTTAAAACAGATTTAGTTAACATATTGTGTTTTATGAATAAAGATTAAGATTGACATAATTGTGACAGGTACGTTCTATATTTGGAATGCCTCTTATATTTAACTAGTGATTGATCCTGCTTTACTGGAGTGTAATTATCTATTTATATAAATGTTTATTAAGTATAAACTGTACATATAAAAACCTTCTATAAAAAAATCTAATAAAGTGGAAATCGTGTGGCATAATTTGGAAGTAGTAAGCAAAGAGACAGACAAATGTTGACAGTGATTTCATTGATAATACTGCCCTTTCATCTTGCCTGGATCTGTTTTATAGAAATACAAGTAAATGAGCCTATAATGTACTGAGTTAATATGTACTTTAATTATTATTATTGAATTTATAATCACAATATACGTAATAATTACTAATATAATATAATAATCTTTACCAATATTATGAACTTGAAAGTGGGTTTGTTTGTTTGCTTATTACCCTTTAGCATTTATAATAAATCGTTATGATATCTGATATTTATATATATGTATAGCCGTGTGCTCCCGGCATAGAATGAACCACTTTTTCCTTTCCGGTGAGTGTTGTAAGAAGCGACTATAGGAACAAAATGGTTAAGGGATGGACAGCAGCGACCCTCTTAAAGCATTACCAAAGTCTTACTGCGGTTGCCAGCCCACCTGCTAAGCGTGGCAACTACTAGCAGAACCCCTATGGGGAGGCTTATGTTTAGCAATAGACACTAAATGGCTGATATGATGGTATACGTACTGTTTGAGATGAAGAAGCATATAGCTATTTTTTATCTCGGCCAGAGAATATATCCCAATGAAGTTGACGAAGTTGCGGGTAAAAAATAGTACTATCTAATAATTATATTCATCTACTATTTCTATTATCACCTATATACCTAATATGGTAATAGAAGTTAATTGTCATTCAATTCTGTCGTTACATGTGATATATTTGCAGTTAAAAATGTAAAATACATCTATTTACATATAACTGCAGACAATTAAACCGGCTCTGAAATTATCAAAAAAAGGTTTAGCTACAAAGTAAACTGTTTAATTATTTAATTACGATAACATTTTGAGAGACCTTGTAGAGTCGTGTCGTAGTATAGTTTGGTAATATAATACATTTTTTATGTTATGTGGTGGCATCCATACAGCGCGTCTAATGATAAGGCCGGTATTTTTTTTCTGCAACTTGAAACACTAAACTTACTGTAGATTAGCAACGCTAGGCAACGTATTTCTTACAAATTTTAAAGACTTACGAGTTAAAATTTCAATGAAATATGACGATTTATACTTATTGTAACACTTACCATGTTTCTTGTAAATAAATAAATGTCTCGTATTTGTGGAAAATCATATGATTGAATTCGATGATTTGATTGACGTCAGTAACCAATACCCGTCGAATTTATCATAATTAAAGCCAAATTGCTAACCATGTTTACCTATGGTTTTGATTATGTTTCTTTTTACAAATATGTCAGAGTACAAAATATAGTTTAAAGTTTCAAAATGTAGTTTATAGTTCGTTTTATCAGAGTGCAAAAGAGAAATCTCGTATTTTTAAGGTTCTTGATCGTTTGTTCCGTTAGATTGAAAAAAAAGCTGGTAATTTTACCGATGATCTAGTTGCTAAAAAATAGTAACTGTCCCCTATAGAATTAAAGAGAGTACCATGGGTTTTATAGAAGTTTTATGGTTGTGATGTTTAAGGTTTGTGATGCCCATAATAGAAATCTCTTGCGAAATCGTTAAATATTCTTTCTTTCATATTATATATATATTTTTATTGCATTTGTATTTTTTATAGATAATACATTTATAAATATTACAAGCAAGGGTGGATTTATCTTTGTAAGAGATCTCTTCCAGTCAACTTAATACATTGGGAAAGCATGTCGTTAACGGGCAGTTTAAGTGCATGAATGCTGTACGAACAGTTAATAATACTACGAACACGAATAATAATACTTATAATATTTTAAACGATTTTTAATATTTTTGTTAGTAAAATAAAAATATTTCGTTTTTTTTTTCAGATTGTGATGTAAAAGGGAACCTCCAACTAAACGGACCAGGTTCCAAAGCTGTCGACCTTGGTGAGAGGACATTATTTATTTATTTGTTTATTTATATCAGGCAATTAAGCTTGTACATAAAATAGAACCATACATCTTAAAATATAACATACGTATTTGAAAATTATGTGTTTCTTAGGAATATCGGCGATATGTGATGCGCAGTATTAAATATACCTTTTTAGATAGGGTACTAAATGCCTTAGATTTTAAGTTAAACATTCAGGAACGTAACTGTGAAATTTGCATTTAATTTTGATACTGGAACTGAACTGAAATACAAACAGACAGACAAATAAACGAAATTTGCAATAAAAATAAAATTATATTATGTAATATTATTGTCTTACTTTATGATTCTTATGTATAATCTTTTAAAAATAATTTATTTTAATTTTTTTTAAATATATCCTGTGAACACAGTCTAGATACGATTTTATTACATTAGTAAAATTATATTATTATACCAGATTGCTTGGGCACCTTAGTCCCATTCGTGTTTCTACCGTGAAGCAGTTGTGTTTGCATAACTGTTTCGGGTACACAGGGTACACAGGAGTAATACCTGAGTCCTCAGGAATGGCAACCCATGGGGGTATCATGAGCGAAACAGTATACTCTGTTGTCCATTACTGTTCATGTCTATAGGCGACAGTTACCACTTTCCATCAGGAGGGCCGTCAGCGTATTTGACATTCTAAGTTACATAAAAAAATATTAAGAAATAAATCAACATGTTGACGACCGTAATCGATAATGGGATAGTCAGAGGCATTTAATGCTCATTGTTGCAAATTAAGGTAAAACTAGAATAAGGGTACTAACTAAGCATAAAATAACTCCAAAATGAGAAGCGTTATTTTTACTAAAACGAGTGGACATGTAAGTTTTCTTAGCGGCTAATTGTATTACGCCGCCATATTTATTTTAGACGATTCTGTAGACTTTAAATATATAATCGGGACTTAACGCGATGTTAAAGTCTTTACAGGTAAATAGTACCTATATACTATACTTATTTCTTTATTGCCGACGTTTCGACGTGGATTGCACCACGTCGTGGTCACGACTATTAACCTGTAAATATTTTACATCGCGTTAAGTCCCGATTGTGTATTGAAAATATGTGTAATCAATGCAAAAATTTTAAATAAACTAATTCTATAGACTATTCTTAATCTATGGATTGTAATAATAATCTGCAGTTACTGTCTGCAGCACTAAATTAATCTAATGGCGATGTTTTTTTTTTTTGATGGGTAAAACTGATAAACCCGCCTGTGCTAACGGGATACGCTGGCAGCCCCGCCAGTGAAGGGTGATCGATGAGAATGAAAACAGGCCAGTTAGCCTATCATGATGAATTCATCAGGAATTAACCATGGCGATGTTACACTGTTCACTTAAAAGTGAATTATTAATTCACATTAACCAATTTTGATTGATAATCATCAAAGTAATTCAATCAGTTTGATTGAAATATCATCCTATTTAATAAAATCCAGTTATTTATTAAATGCCATTTAGAGTAAAAATTGGATATCTGAGCATACACATGTACAAGATTCTACAAACAAACAAACAACAAAGATAAACAATACCATTTCTTTTTATTTTTCCTGATAGACTCACATAACTTTAAAAAGCTAAAAAATAATTATTGTAATTGCGGAAAGATATCGCGTAAATATATTGAACTAAGACAAGAATCTTTTTTTCAACCGCCTTTTAAAAGTAGTAAATTCTCACTTCCGATGTATCTCATAAAACTGTCAGTTATAAACCGATTTGAGATTTTTTTATTTTAAAGGATATAATTACAGATTGGTTCCATAGAATATTATTTAAAATGTTTTTTTTTTCTATTTACTGTAAAATATAAATCATAGTAGAAATTGTACAAGAAACATGTAAGAAATTTTCTGTTTTTTTAAAATTAAATTAAATATACATACTTACATAACAATTTCCTATACTTAACATTTACTTACTTAGGCGTATTTAGCGATAAGTGAACATTTAAAATAAGTAGCTGTATAAGTAAAGTTAAAATACTCGTATATTTATTTGAAATTTCTTTTAATAGATAGTGGCATAAAAGTAGTTTCAAACATGCCTACTTCATATAAAACTGTAAAATGTAAGTAGTAAGTACTTAGTATATTTTACATTCTACACTTTAAAAATCATTGATTTATTTGCCAGATCTGCAGGCAATTGCCTATAAAATACTTTTAAATATATTTTCATAGGTATAAAGAAAAGTTTCAGGTGCTTGGTTTATTTAATTGGAAAATAATTTAATTAGGGATTTTATCAGTCTTACCAACAAAATTATTTAAAACATGTTTTTTTTATACAACTTAGAATGGCAAATAAGCTGACGACCCACCTGATGGAAAGTGGTAACCGTCGCCTATACACATGAGCAGTACCATGGACATAACAGAGTATACTGTTTCGCCCATGATACTCCCCATGCGTTGCCATTCCTGAGGACTCAGATATTCCTCCTTACCCTGTAAATTCACGCCATATCCCACCTTTCAAACTGAAACACAGCCATACAAATACAACTGCTTTACGGTTGAAACACGAATGGGACAAAGGTACCCCCAAGCAAACGACTTTTGTACAAAGTCTCCCTTTATATGTTTATTGCAAGTTTAACTTTGTTGTACTAATATGGTAGAGAATACTTTACATATAAATGTACTACTAAAAACTTTTCACCTACTTCTTATTTTGCTTCCAAATTTTTCAAATACATTTTTGCCATCAAAATTCAAGTTCTTAGTGATAGCTTAATGAGAACAGTATGTTTGATATTTTAGTTCGCTCTCAGGATACTTTATAAGTGTTCAGCCAGATACATTGAAAAATCTTCAATTGTTTTTGATAATTTTATTGACAGATAAATGTGATTTTACACTTAGTAGAGATACGAATAAATACTCTATTCTTAATACACATGAATGTTTTATAAGATCACTTAGTATATTTTTAAGTAGAATGGTAATACCATTCTATTAAGAAGAAATTTGATATAAAGAAATAATATCTAATACTGAAAGACATATTTATGAGCAAACCACAGTCATCTAGTGATTAGGTACGTTAATATCCATGACTAGTTCCCACAATTGTTAATGTATACGTTTCGTGTATTAATTATTTATGTGAATATATTTTTTATAGGTCATATATTTTTTTTATGTGTCGTGTGTCAATGTTTTTAATATGTTAAACATTATGTTATTGTTGCCTACCTAAGTAGGCAACATTGTAGTAAGTTTTTATAGACTTAAGTCTATAAAAACTTACTACAATATATTTATTAACATAGATAAAATAATTTTAGTTTTTGTGTTCCACAAAAAAAAACTGGCTTCAATCGTGGCAAAACTTTTATCTAAAAACTAAACTACTAAATCTATTTTGATACAATTTCTATGAAACTTATGTGTAAATATATCCTTTCAGATAAAAAAAGAATTTTGTAAATCGGTTTGCAACTAACAGAGTTAGAACAAATATAAAAAATATGCAATCAAATTGAAAGCCTCTCGCATTCGAGAGAGAGAGAAAGAGTGAAAATAATACATTTTTTTTTACGTAAAAACAACAAAAAAAAAAACGAAATAGGAATAACAATAATTCGAAATCTACTAAAAGATGTTTATGAAAATAAACAACTTTCCCTGGAAAGTCGAAGGTGAGAGTCTCAAAGAAACGTCACCCAAACCGTGCGAATACACGATTTGTAGTCTATTGACATATCAATTAGGCGGCCCTAATATTGACATGTCAATTTGGCAAGTGAAGAGAAATCAACCCTACGAATGCGTTATACCGATTGTGTACAATATACATATACCAATAACTTTTATCCATTGGCGTATAAGACTATTTTCCAGTGGGGTAGCCCCTTAAAAAGACGCGTATATACTCTCAGACAAAAACATATTTTAAAAAATATTTTATTGCGTACCTGAAAGCCCTGCTCGAATTCTGGGGTGAGAAGACTATATTGAGATGGGCACGGCCTACCTGGCTTACCCCCGTAAATACGTTTAGGTTGTTACCTCAGTGGAAACCACAAGTGCATTATGTCCCTTTGAAGGGGATAAAATTGATAGAAAATGGTCCGGACAAACCTCGCTCTCGACAAAAACATATATTAAAAAATATTTTTTTGCGTACCTGAAAGCCCTGCTCGAATTCTGGTGTGAGCAGACAATATTGAGATGGGCACGGCCTACCTGGCTTACCCCCGTAAATAAGTTTAGGTTGTTACCTCAGTTGCCCACCTGATAGAAAATGGTAACCGTCGCCTATAGCATGAAGAGTACCATGGACATAAGTATACTGTGTCGCCCATGATACACTTTATGTGATGCCATTCCTAAGGAATAATGTATTAATAAATGGAATAATTTGAGTATAATCGGAGGCGTTTATTGAATTTTTTGCCGTTGTGGTGAATATAATAATTTATAGTATGTAGTCTATAATATAGAGAATTGTTAGTATAGGGGTATAAGAGCTCCATTGCTAGCAATACACTCTCTCAGTTCGATCTCCACGTGGTTCCCGCTGGAAACCAAGAATGAATTCGTCATCAGGGCCAACTGACTTGCTTCATCTTCACTTCATTTCATTCACTGGTGCCCCGATAATGTATACCGGTAGCGAGGACACAAATCAATTTTCACCCGTTAAAAGAAAATACTTTCAATTTGTTCACATTTCGAAAACTCAATTTAAAAATCTTTTAATTGCTTTTTTGTTTATTTCTCTCTTTAATGGTTTGGTGATTATTTTTAAAATTCCGCTTATGTTGGTATCATAATTATATTGTCAAGATTCTTTTTTTTGCAAACCAAAAACATAAATTATGACGAGTACTTACAAATGAATCCAACTTATAAAAAATCATAAATATAATTATAATAATGATAATAATAAGAGATATAAAACTTTTTTAATTAGCTATAATTATAAATCTAAGCAAACAATCTCTCAAAGTTGACCAGGATGTGACAAGCATAAACATACTATTTCGGCAGTAATGCGATAAGCAAAAAGTCGTCTCTTGGAATATTTGGGTGTTGTTTTTACGAGGGCGTATTTCGCTCGTTGATTATTACAAATATTGTTATTACTAATCGAGTAGAGTATCTCACTAACTAATTGTATTAATTAATAAAACAATTTTAATTAGAGATGAGACTTAAGAAAAATTAATAAATAATAAAAATAAATAGGGACTCTCGATAAGAACAATATACACCAAAACAAATGCGGTTCACAGTTGTGTTGCTGAAAGTCTGACTTCAAATACGATGTATACCTTTTATTTTGATACACCAACTAGAAGTGGTATTCTATTTAATTGATTTTTCTATTTTTGAAAACCACGGTTACGAAATTGCGGGCGAAAGCTAGTTATAAATAAATTGCTATATAAATTCCTGATCAGGGGCCGTCCATTAATTACTGAACTATCTAAGAAATTTAATTTGAGTATAGTGCGATTTATTTATTTATTTATCCACGACATTTTTCACTAAGCTATGTTTTACTAAATTTTATTTACAATACGGAATAAAGACTCCATCTCTCCATCTCCTATTTTAAGTTCATATTTATTCTTCTGTATTTTCTTTTATAATTCTGTTCTTAATTGCATTTTTAGCATTTTATAAACAAACTAGTGAACCGCCCCGGCTTAGTACGGCTTTTTTGAAAATAAAATACAGCTCATGTTATTCGCTAATAATATGGCTTTCCACAGACAAATGAAAGAATTCTTAAAATCTATTAAGTATTTTTGGAGTATTATCCATTTAAAAACCAAAAATCTAATTTTTCCTCTTGATAATATTAGTTCAATACTAAATGTAATAAATAAATCAATATTATTTTTTTCAGGTGTCGTTCCGTCCCTGAAGACCCCAGTCAAATCTGATCCGGAAAAAGGTCCAAATTCGGAAAAGGCTGACTTCGAGAAAGCTATCGAATTAACTGGTAATTAATTGATTATTTTCTATTGTTATTTACTATGAACCACTGAAGAGGCGACTAAGAGGAACTTTACGGTCAAGGGATGGGCAGCAGCGCCCTCTTAAAATATCACCAAAAACCTAATCTGCCAAGCATGGTAAATACTGGCAAAATCGTCCTTGTGGGGGAGATCTTTGTTCAGCAGTAAACAGTTAATAACTAATATGATAATGATAGTTTGAAGAACTTATAAGCGATGGGGAAGAAAGGATAGGAAAGAACAAATTCTGTGTAGGACGATCCCCGACTAGGCAGAGTGACGACCTCAAATGCGTTGCAGAGAGTCAGTGGATGCAGGTAGTTCGGGACCGTTCTTTGTGCTAGTTTATGGAGGAGGCCTATGTTCAGCAGTGGACCAATAATGGCTGAGATGATGGTGATGATGATGAAAGTCTGACCCATAAAAACAACTACTTAATCGTACAATAACTAACACCGGAGTAAATTCTTTCAATTGCAAAAATTGATGATAAAATCGGCACAAGACTGGCGAAAAAAATGAAGTTGAATACAGAACTTTTTCTTTTTAAAATTAATTAGTTACAAATGACTGACTAGTACTAACAATAACAAATAAACACTATGATTGTTTATATCAGATATGTGTATATTTCTACTTTTTTATTATTTTCATATTTTATATTTCTACTTATTATTATTTTGTACTAACTGCTGATTACTAAAGAAACAATAATATTGCAAGTGTAATCTGATATTAAACATTTTATTACGTAATTAAATAACATGTAAACGGAACTTGGGCGTAATAGGTATGTAACCCGAATACGTGGTTTTGTATATCTAATGACGATTTGTGAATGAATTGCCCAGTTAGCATTCCCTAAGTTATTGCGTTGTTCCGCGTCGTAAACACGCCACTGTTTCTCGGAAAGTTGGCCCGTGTGACACGAGTGAGGGTTTGTTTACGTTTGTACAGGATATGGACGATTCCACTACCTGCTGTTGGCGGTATGCGGCCTCGTCAGCACCTCAGAGGAGATGGACGTCATCTCGATGTCCTTCATACTCCCGTCGGCGCAGTGCGACTTAGATCTCACTACACAGACTAAAGTACGTTTGCTGACTGTGTTAATTCTTACTAACTTACAACTTAACTAGCGCTCTGTCCCAGCTTCGCACGGGTAGTTAGATTGAAAGATAATTTAATATTTTACATTAGATTTAATAAACATTTTGATACATTACGTTACGTTATTATAATTTTCGTAAGGATTTCTATTTAAAATATATATACAGCCGTCTTACTTGTTAATAATGTACGAGTAGCTTTCTATTGGTGAAAGATATTTTTTTAATTATTTGAGGTGTCTTTGAGTTTATCCATTACAAACATGTAAGAAATTTCCGCTTTACAAGATTAGTATAATTTTTTTTTTAATTATTAATATTTGACTTGTGTAATTGATTAAATCATTATTAAATAAATACGTAATCAACACGGAAATACAGGAAATTCGTCTTCACAAAGTATAACGTAAGTATGCTTAGGATGTAGAATGTTTACCAGAGGGAGACTTTATACAAAAGTCGATTGCTTGGGTACCTCTGTACCATTCGTGTTTCAACCGAAAAGCAGTTGTGTTTGCATGGCTGTGTTTCGGTTTGAAAGGTGGGATATGGCGTGAATTTACTGGGTACAGAGGAATAACATCTGAGTCCTCAGGATTGGCAACGCATGGGGGGGTATCATGGGCGAAATAGTATACTCTGTTATGTTCATGGTACTGCTCATGTCTATAGACGACGGTTACCACTTTCCATCAGGTGGGCCGTCAGCTTGTTTGCCGTTCTAAGTTGTATAAAAAAAATACGCAATTCAATTATATATACACAATTCGTGCGTTATATTGTGAGATATATTCTTAACATGAAACTAGAGTTTTTGAACAAGTAGGTTTTTTGCTTAGATTATAAGCAAAAAACCTACTTGTTCAAAAACTCTTTTAACAAAAATATAATTTATATATGGACTACTAATGCAATATAATCTATAGTCTCTGAATTTATAGATGAATATTCATGCATACTTAAAATTAATTTACTTATGTCGAATTAGTACTTACTGTTACTAATAAAGTTACGACGCAGAATTGTAAATCAATGTCATATTACAAACATGTTAATTAAAGTTATCAATTATAAATTATAAAATTCTATGATGCAATTATTTATATGCACCATATATTTTTTTCAATGAAATCTATATAAATATTAGAAAGATTTGATTGTTTAGTTATAATGGATTAATCAAAAATTACTTAATCGATTTTTAAAAAAATCCCCTATATACTAAAATAGGCTATATATTATTTTCTAAAATTCTATGCACCCGTACAACTTAACTAATTTGCTTCATAAACATAATATATAATTCATAAAAAAAAAATTCATAAATACAGTTATCTCACTCATAGATGCTTAAATTCACAACTATTGAATGACTAAACCATTTATTTGTTTTAAATTCCTTAAAAGGAGACATTGATTTTGTAGTGGGTACTCCATCATCGATACCATATTATAGTACATAATATTGACATTTCATTAAATTTGCTACCTCTTCTTTTAGGTATGACTTCATAACAGCAAATTAGATTTGCAGATAATTAAGCTGGGTTTTTCGATTCGCTGTTTAGGAGCATCGATATACAAAAAAAAATTTATTGGCATAAACATATATATACACATATATGTGTAATTTTTAATGGAAAACAATGAAATGATAACCCATCCTGCGTTAACACTATACGACGAGATGGCACCAGTAAGGGATAGTAGGTGATGATGAAAAGGCAGATCAATTAACCCATCGTGATAACCTGGAATTCAGCACGAACGACCTGGTTGGGTACATTGTTAGCAATGGGACCTTTAACCTCCATTACTAACAATCTCTTCCCCATATACTATGTGTCACGTCTGTCTGCCATAGACGTAGGCAGAAACAATTGATTCAATCTTATATCGACATTGGGACTTTTTTTTTATACAACTTAGAATGGCAAACAAGCTGACGGCCCACTTGATGTAAAGTGGTAACTGTCGCCTATAGACATGAGCAGTACCATGGACATAACAGAGGATACAGTTTCGCCCATGATACCCCCCATGCGTTGCCATTCCTGAGGACTCAGTTGTTATTCCTCTGTACCCAGTAAATTCACGCCATATCACCACCGCCGCAACGCCCACCCTTCAAACTGAAACACAGCTATGCAAACACAACTGTTTCACGGTTGAAACACGAATGGGACAGACTTATAATGATAACAAAATTGTACGGGTTGAAAAGTCTAGATTAAGTATTTTTTTCACTAAAATTAACAGACAACAAGACAAAGAGACAAGAAATAATAAAATTCAACGTAACCTTATTTTAATTAGTGTCTGTATGTACGACAACACATAAAAATTGTTGAAAATATCACTACATAAAAAGATTCACTGTTGTACCAGAAGTCGTACTTAGCACTAATTTCCAATAGAAAAAGATAGTCTCTTATTATATACTTATTACCAGCTCTTTCCCGCGACTTTGTCTGCGTGAATTAATATTTGGGGATAAAAAGCAATAGCATATATTTGTACTATATTGTACTCTTCAAGCAATATTATAGTAAAATAATGTTCTCTGTATTTGTAACTTTGTTTAGTTGCGCAATAGGTAGGTACTATTAATATTTTTTTTCTTTGGTTGCTCAATTTTACTACATCAAATACGTATAAACAGCTGTTCACATTTTATCTGTGTAATTACAGCTGTGTCTACTATGCAGGGTTTCTATGTACCTAGCAAAAATGTAAGATTCAGGGACATTGGCTGCAACAATTTTTTTTTTTATACTGAAATATCAATATGACTAAAGTTTTTCAAAATCTCTATATTTAAGTATCAACACATATCTAAAGTATTTTGCAAATGAAAAATGCAAGAAATAACTATGTAGTAAAGAGAAAATGCAAAATTCGCTACGAGGTTCTTGATTAAATACTCTTAGTTTTTTACTACCAAGCTGCTGCATATATTTAGGATTGAAGGATAAAATATTAAAATTACTATGTACGGAGGCATAATATTTTAATCTTCGGGAAGTTATTTAGGAATAGAAGTGAGGGGTAGTGCGGTCGTCACAGTATCCTGGTTATTCTCTTCTTAGCTTACATTCTGTATAGGTAATAGAATTATTAAAAATGGCTGTTCAAAAATGCTTATAAATCAGTTTATTTGAATAGAAATTACTCTTATTTATTACTCATTCATGGTGCAGTTCAAGATCATGTTTTTAGGTAATGGTTACCATTTTCCACCAAAGAAAACTGTTTGTTCACACTCGAAAATTTTGTAAAAAATTGTACTTTACACCTGTTACTACAATTACAGGGATGGCTGAATAGCATAATTTTCATCGGCATGATGGTGGGCGCATACGCGTGGGGCTCCGTGGCAGACTCGCTGGGCCGCAAGCGTGTGCTCATCGCTATCTCTGTGATCAACGGCGTGGCCATCGTCTCGTCTTCCTTCAGCCAGAACTATGAGCTCTTCATGCTTTTCCGATTTATAAATGGTGCCGCGTAAGTATCGTTTTTTAGTATTAGGTAGCCTAACTTCCTTATTTAATATACTCTTGGAAACCATCGTGCTGCATTTCACGTGAGTTCATCGCGATAGGCTAACTGCTCTGGCTTTTCATTTTGACCTATCGTCCTTCACTGGTGCCCCGCTAGCGTATACCGATAGCACAGTGGGGTTACTATTCTATTATTACGTGTTAAAAAAAAATTTTATTCATTATAACGTAAAATTCTACAAATTTACTTTACACTGTTTCGTCACTTGAGAATTTAGTGTAAAAAAGAGGCAAAACAATAGGTAAAATTTACCTAATTTTGTATAGTATAAACCTTGGGATCCCAATTTACTTGGCTATCTACCCTGAGCGACAGGCAATAAAAAATAACTTGTATGCCAAAAATTCAATAATTACTGGGACACAACTAATTTTTTTTTCACACAGAGCCATCTAATCTCGCACCACATAATTAAACCTTGTATTACGGGTACAAGATAAGTAATGAAAACGCTTATACATTTTTTTTGTGAATGCACACAATATATATAGAAAACACTAAGACCAATAAAAATTAAAATGCTCATGTTTGTATTCTGTTGGAATCGAACCCGCGACTATCGAAAAGTGAAGCGGTACGTTAAACCGTTAGATCACCGGCACCATTAATCCATATGGTGTCATCATAGCTCTATCTGAAATATATGTAAATATGAAATGCATCAGATTGATTTTTTTTAAATAGAATCTTAGGTACGTCTATTATGAGATAACTACCTATCTAACGACCTTCTTGCTACGAAATATTAATATTTGAAAATGTATTCAACTGGTTTTTCTTGTTTGACACTAACTCTCTAATAAAGAGTTAAAGTACCTTATCCTAGTAGATATTTACATGTTACTTTGTTAAGTCACTAAATCAACATTAAGTGGTACATAGACGCCCACTAATTCAACTAAAATTCAAACATTCGATGGTTCTAATATATGAGTACTTATAAATAAGCCACTGCTATGAAATAATTTCCTCATTAATTCAAAATAGTTAACCACCTTGGATATTATAACGAACAAATATTTCCAAATGCCTTGAAAACTTTATATTATGAGTTAACAGATAGATTAATCTAATGGATTAATTAAACAAAATTTTAAGCCAGTGCATAAAGAGCTTCAAAATAGTATGATTTATAGCTCAACAATTTGTTATGCTCAGGGAATATATACTTTATAATCAAAGGACTTGAGACCTCAGATCCTTTAATTATTATATAAAGTATATAGATGGGCAATGTCAAAGAGAGAAAACATAATAACATATATTTTTATTATATCTGTAAAGAGCGAGATAGACAAGCAGAACTCTTACCTGCATAATATAAGCTCAAAGCTGATTTGATGGGAGTATAAATAAAAGTTCTATTATTTTTACGTTCTGAAGTTAGAATTAAGGTATCATCATCATCTTCCTACCCTTATCCCAATTATTATATGGGGTCGGCGTAATGTTTTATTCCATATTACAAAAAGATTTGGCTTATTAATTAGAATTAAGGTATACCTGGAGATAATACAAATTAAACAAAAGAACCTCAAAACTGCACATTATTCACGTAATTCCGCTGTAAACATTTATTTCTTTAAATGTAATATCATAGAATAATCAGAAATATATCGTCCCTACAAGAATTAGTGCAAAAAAAACAATATCTATGTAATTTAATCTAAATAAAGTTCTAAACGGCCATGAATTGATGTTAAAATAATAACAAATACGTGAATTCCTACTATTTTTGCAACTTCAATTCCATATAAATTTAGAACTGTCATGTGCACATATTTGTAAAACACGCACACTAGTGTAACCATTTTTCCTGTCTTATTGTGATTGCATTGCCAGTCTGTCAGTACATAGTTATACTAGGTCTACGTTCTGCTCTATTTGAGCATTATTAAAGCTAAGTTTTCATTATCGAATCTGCTACGCTCACTCATATAAGTACCTAATATCCATTTCGCAATATATCTGGTCTTTTGACTAAAAATATACCAAAATCTCATTTTTTTAAGGATATTTTTTAGACAGACTGGCCTAGTCTATTAAAAAAAAAAATCGAACCTTATGTAGCATAGGTACCTAGTAATGATTAACTAAGAAATTATATTTCCTGTCTTACATTTTGATGACCATCTTAAGAGGTAAAGTTTTTCAAGTATATAATCTGTATGTTCTAACATCAAAGAATATACTGGGATGCCCATAGGTGCGATTCATACATTCTAATACCTGAGGATTGTGTTATCCTTAAGTACTCTGTAGTTTTACTGATATATCCATATATATATATATATATATATACATATATGTTATTAAAATTCTTAAAGAAATTGGTGATAATGGGTACTCGCGTGTGATGTTGCGAAAAACAGCTAGTGTAATCCTTACTTTAATATTATAAATGTGAAAGTGAATTTGTTTGTATCTTATAGCGCTTTAACGGTTTAACCAATTAATAGGACGTTAGGTATACACGTACTTTATGGGCTGAAGAAAAGGATATAGGTTTCCTTTTATACTGATCAGTAAAAATATCCTGGTCACGCGAACGAAGTCGCGGTGAAAATTTTATAATTTATAATCAAATAATTTAAATTAGTATTTTGTAATTAATGTGTATTTTAAAAATAATAATAATAGTTTGTATAATTAATAATGTAAAAATTGTAATTAATTAATTAAAAGGAAATTTTAATCATAATTGTAAACCTGAAAATAAATAATATATTATTATTATTTTATAAAAGCATAAAAAACCATTAAAAAAAACATTATAAAATATAATATGCATCTTCAGACCATAGTATTTGTTATTTCTCTTTTTACTTGGTGCAATAAAGTGTAAATAAATAAATAAATAAATAATAATACATGATGATTTGCACAATACAGGTTGGGTGGTTCTGGGCCCGTGATATGGTCATACTTCGCGGAGTTCCAGCCTAAAAAGAAACGAGGTGCGATGTTGAGTTTCATGGCTGCCTTCTGGACGTTGGGCAACTTGTTCGTCGCCGGTCTAGCATGGGTCATAATTCCAGCTGGTGAGTATAATTCACTCGTAGATGAAATTGTCATAGGAAATATGTTTTAACAAGCAAAATTTATTTAAAAATATACAAAAAATATCTTTATGGTCATTAAACTAAAAATTTATTTTCATCAAGTCACACATGTAAACTAAAAAGCGCGTAGATTTTTTTTTTGAATCGCTTGGAAATGCGCGGTTTCAGAGATATTTCTTCCCAGGAACACTCAGGTTGTAGAATGAGCTCCCTGTCGGGGTTCTTCAAAAGGGGGGTAAAGAGGTTCCTTCAGGGTCGGCAACGCACACGTAATACCTCTGGTATTGCAGGTGTTCATAGGCTACGGTAACATCAGGTGGGCCGTATGCTTGTTTGCCATCTCAGTGGTATAAAAAAAATACAAAAAACAAATAGGTACTATAAAAACACGAATTTCAAAATTTTTACAGTAAATTATGAGTACCTTATCCATGCGAGAGATCTAATAACCTAAGATACAGAGAAACAAACTTATACTTACCTACTAGATAACTACAATATGCGAAAAACAACTGTATTCTATCAGATGGGATCTGATGTTTTGACACAGTATAAAAAAATAAGTATATCAATTTATTACAGAAATCGGTGGCGTAACTGGTGGTTTCGTATATAACTCGTGGCGAATCTTCCTCTTAGTTATGTCACTACCTTCGTTTCTGGTGGCTGCACTACTGTTCCTCCTACCAGAATCCCCCAAGTTTTTATTGATGACGGGTCGCCAAGAGGATGCACTTGAAGTATTCCGAAGCATCTACCTCATGAACACGGGCCGCAGTAAAGAGGAGTACCCAGTAAAACAATTGTTGATCGACGAACCAGTTAACACAAAGCCAGAAAAACAAATCGAGCCGAAAGAGCCTAAATCGAAGATGAAAAAAATGTTAAGCGACATCGTGGAGCACAGTAAACAACTATTTGTACCGCCGATACTCAAGTTCACCACGATCTCTATCACAATCAACTTTACATTTCATATTGGGTAAGTCTGCAATGTAAGCTACCTAGTTACGTATAGCTATTTCTATTAGGTATGATCCCTCACTAGAAGGAGCGTCGGCTTCAAATGAGCAGGGAGTCAGTAGATTATTACGCTCAGGTTATGGAATGATTGGAATGAGCTGTCGAGATTTTTTAAGAGATACAGCATGGGGTTCTTCAAAGGGTAAAGAGGTTTCTTCAGGGTTGGCAACGCACGCGTAATACCCCTGCTATTGCAGGCGTTCATAGGTTATGGTAACCGCTTGCCATCAGGTAGGTCGTACGCTTGTTTGCCACCTCAGTGGTATAAAATTAGATGAAGGGTCTTGTATTAGACAATGATCAATAAATAGTTGAAATATAAACATTGAGATAAAAAAATATGAGGCATATTATGGTTTCTAATGGTAGGTACTATCTAATCTCATATTTGCTCTAGTTTTCTGATGACTGAGACATTCATGTTAGAACTTATTGAAAAGAGGCATAAACTCCGGCATACATACAACTGTTAGGCGTTTTATACTGAAATTAAGTGTAAATACAAAAGATACGTCACGCGCAAGGTCTGATGGTTACCACTTTTACATGAGAGGTGATTTCCTGCCTATTAAGTACAAAATAGTCGTGGGCATGGGATTAGTTTTATGATTACCACGTAAATGTTAAAGCTGGCTAAGGCTATCATTTTCAACTCATTCTCCAAGCGTAAAAAACTGATCTAGCGCTAAATGCCAGGTACTACGGGCTGATGATGTGGTTCCCCGAGATGTTCAACCGTTTCGACGAGTGGTCCCGCACTCACGACGACGCGCCCGCAGACATCTGTCAAGTGACAGCGTACGTGACCCGCCAGGGTACGCACTCGGATTCGGTCGCGTGCGATGCACACATACACTCCGATGTGTTTATGGAGTCGCTCATCACCGTCGCCGCCGCAATACCGTCCAACATATTCGCCGTGCTTGGCATGGATAGACTTGGCAGGAAGTTTTTCTTAGGTAAGCATATAATACGATTGTAACACTGGCTTTATAGTAGGTGGGAGATAAGAGGTGCCCTATATGGGGAAATCCGAAAGGATAGCTATACTCTTAGATGTAGGCTCTTTAAAAAATCGCATCAAATTTTGAAATAAACAGCGCAGATCCCCGATTATATTTTTTACGTCGTTTGAGAAGTGAAAGGGGGGAGGGACTCAAATACTTGCCCAGGACGTCAGGCACGCCAAGGCCCGTCTAGAATAGGTGGATACATTTTACAGAGTTAAGAGAGCTTGTTAGTTGTGGTTATTGTACGGGAATCGAACCCGCGACCATCAGTAGTGTTGTAAATTGCTACAACACCAAGGTTCTAAAACAAAGCAAATTTTGAACGATGTCCTCCAAAGACGAACCAATATTTAAGTAATACTAAGTATTTTTTGCTATTTCTGGTAGTTTCAGATTTGACTATTCATTATTATTCAGCATTTAAGCCGTTACTTGTCCACTGCTTCCCCTTCCTTCAAACGCCTTCTCCATAAGGGAGTTTTGCCAGTAGTTGCCAAGCTTGGCAGGCGAGTTAGTAAGAGCTGCTATGCTTTTACAGATGTTTTAAAAGGAACGCTGCTGCCCATTCCTTTACCATTAAGTTTCTTCGCCTGTTACGACACCCACAGGAAAAGAAGGGGTAGCCTATTCTATACTAGGACCACACGAACGATTTTTCATACACAATTCCATTGGCTATTCATATACATTTGAAATATTAATTTGATTTAAATATATTTTTTCTGTATTCCAGTTTTCGCGACATTCTCGGCGGGCTTATGCTCGGCCGCGATGTACTTTGTGTACAACAAGACAAACAATTTGATCGTGAGCGCCATCTTCAGTTCAGTGATATCGTGTGGTAACGCCTCGCTCGATTGCCTCATCACCGAAGTCTTCCCGACCAATTTACGGTGAGAATTATATCATGCGTGTAACAATATTTGTATAATCAACGATTTTGATTTCATTATATCAGCCATTATTTGGCCACTGCTGAACATAGGCCTGCGTCACTGCACCACCTGCGTCCACTGACTCACTGTAATGCATTTGAGGTTATCACTCCATCTGGTCGGGGGATCGTCCTACAAAACGTTTTTTATTAAAGTAGTGCTAATTTAGACCAGCTTAGCACTGCGTCTGGCTTCCCTCGAGACAACGGACCCCAGCCTCCTACACAACGTTTGCCCGTACGGGGTCGCCACTTAAGGGTCTATTTGAGTTTTCATGACACTGAACAATTTTCCTCAGAATAAAGGATAAAAGGAGAATGATTAGAATTTTTTTTTCTTAATATTAGGTAGGTAAATCGAATACGCATGCGTAATATATAAGTAAATGGTAATTTTGAACGCAATCTCAAAAGCAAAAGACCTACAAAAATGAAATTTAACATATAAAACATATATAACATATAAGAAATTTAACATATATTGCTTATACGATGTTAATTTACTGCATTTCATAATTTTCCAAAAATGATTCGCAAAGTGAAACCGTGAGAATCATCTACTCATCTTTTATACTTAACAATGGAATTAGGTGTTTCGACAAATAATGTGGACCAATTCAATTACAGTGCAACTGGAGTAGCAGTGTCTATGGTAGCAGCTAGACTGGGCGGTATAATCGGTAACGTGGTCATAGCAGCATTACTGGACACCTACTGCCCCGCTCCCACCTTCATCGTCGCCGTACTCTTGGCCAGCGGCGGCCTAATGTGCCTTCTCCTGCCCAACACCACCAGACAAGCGCTGCAATAAACCTCATGCCACCAGTGTGACTTCTTTGGAACTAATATACAGGCATCTATGCCTAATGCCCCTAAAGCGAGTTTAATACAGATTTAGGTTATTATTGCTTCAACGTTTACTTTGATAATTTGTATTGAAAGCAGAGCCTCTAGCGGTTGGTTTCGGAAGCTTAGATTTCCATATGAACTTTATCGACGTAAACGTGAACGAAATAGTAACATAAATCAGCTAAACTCCCACTAGCCACTTGGAATAGTGTATTCAGTGCAAATTTTGTTATCGTAAATCGATTCCAACGATCCTCTGGTGTAACTAGTTCTTTTTGTACAATATTTTTGTATTTAAATTTAATTTATGAAACAAATGAAAGTACGAGATATATTTTATAGTGAGTAAACAAATGACTGTTGTAAGTTGTTATAACTTATTTTGTTCGAGATGCAAAATGTTAACTACGAAACTAAGTTTCACGCATTTTGTTCGATAAAATATCATAGGCTAAGTTTAGTATCATCCATACATATTTCTTGTTGTATATTGCAACAGTTTTCATGTTACGAATTTATAAATTAGCAATTGTTACCGTAGTCTTATTAGTAATGTAGTTTGTAGTGAAGAATAAAAAATTTGCAAGTTGAAAACGCTACTTGTGTAGTAATCCATATCTACCTACTTAAAAACAATTTAAAACTCAAATTTATTTACAATGAAAAAATGAGTACGATTTCTGTAATGATTCACGAATAAAATTTGTTGAAAATCAAATTATGACCTATGTTGAGACTAAGAGTAAATGCTAAATAACTTGCTATTGTCTTTTGTTTTTTTTTACATTTATCGTCATTAATAATATAGGATTTTTTTATACAACTTAGAATGGCAAACAAGCTGACGGTTCACCTGATGGAAAGTGGTAATCGTCGCCTATAGACATGAGCAGTACCATGGACATAACAGAGTATACTGTTTCGCCCATGATACCCCCCATGCGTTGCCATTCCTGAGGTCACAGGTGTTATTCCTCTGTACCCAGTAAATTCACGCCATATCCCACCCTTCAAACCGAAACACACCCATGCAAACACAACTGCTTCACGATTGAAACACGAATGGGACAGAGGTACCCAAGCAATCGACTTTTGTACAAAGTCTCCCTTCGGTAGGTTCCAGCAGGGAACTGCATAAATCACACTGATAGGGTTTTTTTTAAGTAATAATCTCTATTACTAAAAATCCCTGCTTCCTCTAGAGACCACCATAACTATACATAAAGGCTCGGTGATAAAACGGGCAAAGAGGAGCACCCATCTGAGCCCTCCTCGGAGGGTTAACATCCGTAACTAATAAACACAAACAATACTGTCAGATTTACAAAATGTCAAATATAAAGGTCTTTCAAGAGACTTAATGCATTACATACTCACCCATTGTGGGATCGATGAAGCTTTCTTAAAATATAAATGTTATAATTTGCCTATCATAGTTATTATATACTTACCATAAACTACAGTAAGCGTTTACCACTAGATTAGTACGCTTTTTTGCCTGTTTCTATATAAAGTATTATTTTGACAAGCAGAAAATTTTCAGAATTAATAATCTAAATGATATATTTGGTACGATATTATTTACATCGATAAAATAGTGTGAAATTATTAACATATATATACATTATTTATATAATTAACGTTTTAGTTCGCTAGCAGATCACTTTTTAAATAATCAACCAGGAACATTTATATAAATCTGAATAACGAAAATACAACAAATAATTATGCCGACCATTCAAATCGTAGGCCATATTCTAAATTTTAATAAATACTGTACTGAGCGTATGCAGACACCTTTACAAAATAAAGCACAATAATTATGATTAAAATTTATTTTTATTAAAACTACACAGAAGTTAATGCTAACGACTTCATTTTCATAAACCGATCTAGATTCTGACGTAGATCACTCAAACAAACCAATATGTTCCTTAAACATATGTTACTCAACAATATTGTACTTAACATTAACACTACATTATGATATAGTCATTCATTCCAGTGCTATAATGGTCCTATGACCCTTGGGTCTAAGATCTTTCTACACTTGCCACATAAACAAACGCTTGTATGAACACAGCACATGTCACACACACATGTCCATATATTTCTCCGTCACAACTGTCCATATATTTCCCCGTGTAATGATTACACACAAGCCTTTCTTGACGTTATAAAAATATTGTATACCTATATTTTTATATATTACAGATACGATCCAACAATATCATAATTCAATTAAATTTACAATTACCTGTAACTCTTAATCTATAAATTTTTCTTCCGTAATGCATATATCTATATATGTAATTAGAAATTCAAATAAAAAAAAAAGTCATATAATATGCTTTTTCACACTATTTGAATTTAATATATTTACACAGATGCACGTTTGTAACGGACACAAGCTCACTTTTAAGTTATCAGAGACATCAACTTTAACAAGATTCTATAGATATTCCATAAAAAAAAGAGACGAATAGCAAAGACACGCCCCCTTTCAACAAATCATGTATCGTCGCACCAAATAGCTTAAAATGATGACAGCGATACCACTTATTCTATTGCACATTTAAAATATGTAATGTAAAAATTTTATTCAAGAACCGATAATAAATAAAAAAATGATGAAAATAACTAATGAAATTTTCACAAATAGTATTAGGCGTCCTGGCTTATCAATATTTAGCTGTGGCGAGATAAATCGTTTGCAGATAGTTGTATGACTGGTTGTAGAGGAATCTCGGCAGATGTTTCCGACGTGTCGGAGCCAGGCGTCAGTAGCCGCTGAGTCCATTGGCTACCGTCTTCCGTCTCAGACTCTCTTACATCGATGGACGACGGCGATCCAATCGTAGACTCAACAGATGACACTGTTCGCTCAGCAACTTCGTCAGTCAATATCGGCATAGACTTCCCTACAGACTCTTCGTCTGTTAGTAATGGCATCGATATTGGACCCACCGCTGGCATATCCACTTCCTCTGTTGTTACAAAAGTCATTTCTGTATTGGGAGACGGCAATAATGTAGTTCCATAGTTCGTTCCACTTAAAGGATCCGTAGTTTTGGGCGCTATTCTAGGATCCGTGACGGTAATAGGTAATTCTAGCGAGGTCGGCACCGTGTGAGGAGTGACGCCTATAACGGCGAGTCCGTCCTCCAAATTGGAAGGAACTGTAGGTTCACTGTCGCCTTTCGTCGGCACTTCTACAGGGGTCATTATGGGCTGATTTAAAGTGGTACTGGTTTCTGACACGCGACAATGAACCGAGACGTTCGCATTTAAATCTCGAAAATCGGGCGCTTCGTCTCTTGGCGTATCTGCGTGGAACACGTCGCTGTTAGCAAGTGCTGCCTCGAGTATGTCTCGACGTTCTGGTTGTGGAGCTAGAATTGGTAAAGGTTCAACGGCCATTGGTACCAATTGGTTGTTTTCCAAAACAAGAGGTCGGTTGTCTATGGGTGTTAAAGTACCATTATCTTCGACGCAGAGATAGAAAGAACCTTGTGGCCCGCCAAAGTGCTCTCCGGGCACCGCCAATAGTTGACCGTCTGAGAGAGGAGCTGGTGGCGCGGGTGTGGGTGCTGGGGCAGGGACGGGGGCTGGAGCGGGAGCGACAGATGGAACTGGAGCCGGCGGATCGGCTTGTAATGCCTCCACCTCCGACTGTCGTGCGATTGCAGTAGATGGCAGGAGTTCCTCAAAATTCTCCAATTCCGGATAACTAGGTGTTGTAGTGACCGATACGGTATTAGAGACTATATTCGGTTGTAAGAGGCTCGTAATAGGTGTACTTGATATTGGTGTCAGGGCAGGCATCAGTGTCTGTGCTGGAGCTGGCGCTATTGCTATTTCTTGTTTCACCTTTTTGACGGGCGTTGATGATTCAATGGCGGTCTTTCTTACCCTCTGTTTCGAGACGATCGTTTCATTTGCAGCAACAACTGTCTTTGTTTTCTGGACGATAATTTTGTTTTCATGTATGGGTGCTGGGACTTTTTGTATAATTTGTCCAGTCCTTTGAAAATGTTCAAATTGTGATGCAGTCAATTGTACTACGGTGCCAGACTTTTGTTGTAAGAATATTAATGGTTCTGATGATGGTTTCTGTATGGTCTGTATGATTTTTTTTGGTGGTTCAGCAGCAGCTACAATTCGTTTGGGACTGGGTCGTATTTCTGGCATCGGGGCTATGTTCTGAGTGGCCGTGGCGGTAGCAACACGACCTCCTACAATTAATTGACCTTTAGAAGTAATTATCGCATTCTTTTGTTTCGGTACAATTCTGGTTTGTGTCTTTACGGGGGCAACACCAGTTACCATTGTCTTTTGTATATTTCCAGAATTAGGATTAGGAGATATTCGATGTGTGATAGTTTTTAATTGTGACACATTCGCTTGTTGCTTATTAGGGAAAAGAATTCTTTCATGTTCTGGAGTAAGAACTATTCTAGATGTCGCACCTTGAGCATTAGTTATAATCATTACAGTACTACCAGGTGTGCTACCATCTGAAGAAGATGGTACTAACTTTGCCGAAACAGGTTTATTTTCAGTCATACTTATAGATGTTTCGGGCCCTTTAGCAACAAGTACGTGAGCTTTACCTGTTTGTGGATCAATAACAATTTTTTGAGGGCGACCTCCTGGCCGAGGTGAACTAGCTGTAGGTAAGATTATGAACTTTTCAGTTTTTCCTGTAGTCTGCGGTGCTGGCTGAATTAAAGTAGGAGTTTGTTTAACTTCTTTCACCATGGGTTCTGTCTTGGTAACTATTATTTTTTGTTTACCAGTGGCTTTATCAATTACTAACATAGGCTTACCACCACGTATTTTTGATGATTTAGATAGAATATTAGGTGTTATCTTATTCACATCTGTCACTGGATTCATTAATAACGTCTTCACTTCGGGTTTATGTCCTGGATTTACAGCATTTTTTTCGTTTTCAACTGTGGCCGATTTTGTTTTAATAAGCTTGGGCGGATTTGGCGTGTTAGAAATAATATTACCATCTGACATAACGATCGGCATTTTTTCAATACTTTCTGGTGTTAATAAATCGTCTGACAACACTATGGGCATAGAATTAATATCAAACATTGCCTCGTCTGCGGTTGATGTCGTATTTAGTGGTTTATTATCATTCAATGGAGTAACAAGGGAATTTTGAGATTGACTGGGTTTAATTTTCTGTAATTTTGTGGGTGTTTTCGACACTTTTCTAGGTTTCTGTTGAATTATTGTAATAGTATTAGTTTCAGTTGTAGTTTCAGGGGCTGTCTGAATTGTATAAGTTTGCACCGAAGGCGCCTCTTGCACATGTTTATTACTACGTGAAAATATTATTTTATCTGATGTTAAATCATTCAAATTATTAAGTAAGGTTTTGTTGGAAGGAGTGCGCCGTATAATGACTGGAGAAGATTTGGATGATAATGACGATTTAGCAACATCAAAATTTAATATCTTTTCTTTGCTTGGTATTACAATTTGTTTGGTTGGTGTGGCCTTTGTTAAAGAAAGTTTTGGAGGACCAGGTTCTTCTAACATTTTCAATAGTTTGGACGATGTTGTTTCAAATTTACTAACAGAAGGTTTTACAATGATTGATTCACTGCCACTATCACTTGATAATAAAGCTACTTTTTGTTCGACTGTACTGATATTATCTATACCGTTCTTCTTCTTCAAATTATATGAACTTACATCAGACGAATCTTTATTATTTACATTATTAGTTTCAATAATATTAATTTTATGGTCTACCGATTCTGACATCTGTACCAATGATTGTGCGGCATTCAGATTTTCGCTTTTTTCTTGTTCAGTCTCAAAACGAACGTTTATATTATCACTTTTGGCCAAAATCGATTCAGGTGAAAGTCTCGAATCGGGTGGTTTCTTGTCTTCCGTTTCATTGTAAACTTGATCCTCTAGTACTACATTATCAGGTATCTCTAAAGCATTTTCTTCAGTTTGTTTTATTTCTGTAGGTAAAAATACTTCTTGGTGATCATTAGATTTACTTTGAATAGCTGTAGAAGGCAAATTTATAAGGGCTTCTGCAATTTGCAGATCAGATTCAGAAGGCACATTTTCTGAAGTATGATTGTTTTTTATTTCGGTCTCTACAGGTAGTTCAATGCTATCCATTGAAATAGATTGATTATCCAAAGAATTTCTATCAGAATGTTCATTTTTATCATTATTAATATTTTTATGTTCGTTTATATTGTTTTTGACGTCTAAGAAAGGAGCCTCTTGTTCGTTTTCTAAGTTCAATTCTAAATCCTTGTTAACAGAATCTATTTGATTTACATTGTCATTGACACCGTTAATGTTATTATTAGTTCCATTGTCTTTATCATCTTCAAACAAATCCTCAGGTGGATCATTACTAATAATTCTAGTCACTCTATCTGCATCTCGAGATACGCTCAATAACGCATCAACAGCCGATGCAGTAGATTCATTCATAAAAGGTTCCTTGTCCTGATCACATGACTTCTTAGTTTCGGGCAAATTTTCAACAGAAAATGTTGTTTCAACTTTATTCATTTCGGGACTTGTAATGCATTCTTTAGTAACATTATTGTTAGCAGTGATTGTATTTTCAGGCCTACCATCATGTAGATTTTCTTTATTATTCTCTTCACTATTTTGAATATTCTTTTCTCCTGCCATAATTTCTTCATCTACTAACTTTATATCCTGAGTGGGGTACAAGACATCTTCTGGATAATAAGATGGTGATGTTTTATTACCATTTTCGGTCTGTTTACTAGTGTTAAAATTCGTGACAAATGTATCTTCCAATTTGGACGCCACTGATGAAATAGGAATACTCGCATCGTCAGTAACTTGGTCTTTGTTATTTCTTTCCTTTTCTCGCAGCTGTGCTGCCTCCGCTTTCATTTTCTTTAGTTGAATTTTTGGAGCTAGCCTTGCCACCTTCACATGTTCTACAGGGGAAGAATCTCTTGCTTCTGGTGATGATACAGCATCAGAACCATTAATTTCATTTTCTGACATATCCATTCTTTCTACTGCATTTAATTGCTCTGCAATATATTTACCTATTGCATCTTGACTTCTAGAGTGTCGGCTTCGAAAAAATGTTTTAGTTTTGAAAATAGCTTTTGTAGGTTGATTTTCTGTAGTAAACTTTATAGAATTTTTAGATGAATCTGGTAAATTTTCAAGTTTTTTATCAGGAGATTTCACAATAGAAGGCTCAGGAAAATTTTCCTCAACTTTTAAAGATTCTGGCACTGAAGGCAATTCTGGTACAGTTGTTTTATTGAGTAATTCAGCGACTTCTTTTGCCATTTCATCGTCATCTAAACTAACACTTTTTGCATCGTCCTTTCGTTTTGATGCATTTTTTACTCTTGGTATTTTCCTACCGGCGTCTGTTTCTAAAGGCCAATCTTCATCTTCACAAAATTCATACTTAGAGTCACTAGATGATTCGGCTTTTTCATTAGTAGATAAATCATCAAATTGTTTATGAGTTGGAGGTGAAGTATCTCCAGCAACTCGAATATTAGGTAATTCAGCTGGAGTAGGAATTGCGGGAGATTCAGCTGCAACTGCTGTTTCTGGCGATCCAGCCAATACCATAGTAGACGACTCATCGTTTGATTCTTCGTCATCTATATCATCCCAATCTGCTAAAAGACTGCTCTTAATTTCTTCATCAGTTTTGAGCTTTTTAATTTGTGAACTATTATCTTTTCCATCTTCTGATGTACGTTTTAATGATTTAGTAGGTTTTTTAACGGTCCCTTCTAATTTTTCTTTATGCGGGCGCCGGACTTTTGATATTTTTGATGTGTTGGGAGTAGATTTTGGGGACGATTTTATAGGTTTTTTCCGCACAGGTGATGGTGTATAAGGTGTAAAGGTGACACTGTGTGTTTTATTGTGTAAAATTAGAACATTTAAACGTGTTGTAGAGAACGAACAAGCATGACAAGAATATATTCCAGAGCTTGAACATGTTGGAATTAATGGGGCTAACACTTGTGGTGTCTCTAAATTTTGAGGTTTCTCATTTGCCGTATCAGATTCATTACAACTAGTTGACGGTATTGATGACACTTCTGTAGGTTGACTGGGCGTATTTGACCCTTGAACTAATATATGTACCTTATAATCAGTTTTTTCTTTGATCTGCAATAGACATTTTTTTTTTTATTAAATTAAATCATACTAAACAAATAATATTGAATTATTAGAAAATATATAATTACAATATTCAATACCTTTCTAGTAGGTGTAAATAATTTTGGTGACTCTGCAGGTCTTCCCTTGCCTCTTCCTGTAATTCAATAATTTACAATTTAAATGTTTAAACAAATTAATTTTACATCTCTGTATTATATATATATATATAATTTATATTGCATCTGATGACTAGGGCATGGAATCTAAAACAATATAAGTGATTGCCATTGACAGATAGCTGCCATTTTTCGTCAAATGAGCCCTCAACTTATTTGGTGTTCCTAATATAACTATAAAAAAATGTGTAAATCAAATGTGTGATCAATGGCTTATATATATATATATATATATATATATATATATATATATATATATATATATATATATATATATATATATATATATGACATTTAAAAGGATTACTACATTATACATATATTAAAACAGATAATGCTGTCCCTGAGCTATAAACAGGAGGGACCTTATAAATTCCCAAGAAGGATTCTTAAAATTTTTATCCATGTGATATTGAAACAAAAAAGAAATACCATGTAATACAACTCATGTCAGGATCTCATACAAAAAGAAACTTAAATATGAAATAAGTATTTAAATTCATTTGAAAGATTATAAGTACAAAAGTAACTAAAACATATATAAGAATAGAGACCATTGGTATAATCTACCCATAATGGTTCAGGTGTAAAAATATAAATAATTCTTGTATTTATAAAGCTTTTGCATTTTGATGTTGTTACGTTTTTAAATTCTCAATTGAAAGTGACAAAACATTAATATAATTAAAATAGATTTGTAAAGTTTTAGTAAAAAAAATTATGAATACTTAACACTGCTATGTTGATAAATATGTTTGCTACATGTAAATTGATGGAACTGGTTGTTGACATATCTACATAAACATATGTTTAACAGTTAATATAAAAAAATGAATGGTGTACACACCATTCATTATACTACTAACTACAGTTAAAAAAACCTTTTTCTACCCTCATAAAAATACTGGCTGCTTAAAGATTATTTCATGTGCTAATTTCATATTAACAATGAAATATAGAAACTCATACTGCTGATTACAGTTAGGTAATTCATGATAACTAGAATAGTTTTATTATCATTACCTTTTTTCCCAGAGCCAGGTGTTTTCTTTGGGTCACCAAATAAGCCAGCATAACTCTCTTTCTTGGTCTCTTGAAACTCTTCCCTAGTTAGGATCTCAATGTCACCACCAATTGCTGTCTCTGCTCGAATTACGTCTTCTGGAAATTTCTCCATGTGTCCATGTTTTGTCCTATACATGTCTACAAAAAAAAAAAAAAAAGTTTTCATTATGCAATTATCACCACAATCACTATACTATAATATATTGTATATTCTTATGCATACACTGTACTTATACTCTGAATTATTATGTTGAAAAAATATAGGTAGCTCACTGAATAAAATTTTGAATCTAATAATGAATGAAAAATTAATTTATTACAAATAATTAGGTAGCTTTTCCTTTCTCTTTAATTCTCTGTCACATTAGAAAACACTGTAAAACTTTAAGTATCAAGTTTGAGTCTGGTTTGAACTGTCCATTGATTGACATATTAGATTTTTTTTTTATAGACATAGATAAGCTTGTAACTCATTATATAATGAAAGAAACAAATTTAATATTCATACATAAAATAGACAATATTGCCATATAGAATATATGGCAATATTGTATATTGGCATACTGGTTAGAAATTACAGTTATGACTATAGATAACAATGTTACAGCAAATTTTTTTATCTGTGCAAGTTTGAGATGACCATAACTGTATTGTTTAATAAAACAGTGACAGATTTGCTTAACCCATTAGAATCTTGAGCATATATAATTATATTTATATTTAGGTTGGTACCCAGTAGCAAATATTAATGAATACATAAATAACCAAAAATTAAACTTACATAGTCCCTTACTGATAAATTCATTTTTTCGACTGCAATTGTACTTGTAGATTAAGTTAGTGTTCTTGACATATTCACTGAAAGAATAATTATAATTGCTATTAAAATCAAATATCTGTATCTGGAATTAATAATACAAGTTGTAAATAAATGTAAGATCATAAATTGACCTACCTACCAGAGAGAGACTGTACAAAAGTCGTTTGCTTGGGCACCTCTATACCATTCATGTTTCTATGTGAAGCAGTTGTGTTTGCATGGCTGTGTTTCAGTTTGAAGGGTGGGATATGGCAATGAATTTACAGAGTGCAGAGGAATAACACCTGAGTCCTCAGGAATAGCAACATTACACTCTGTTATGTCCATAGTACTGCTCATGTCTATAGGCGACGGTTACCACTTTCCATCAAGTGGGGCGTCGGCTTGTTTGCCATTCTAAGTTATATAAAAAAAAATCTTTAAAAATAACAATTACTAATGTAAACTTATATGAAAATCACACATTTACAATGTATGAATACAATAAAAGTGTGATGTATAAATTTTTTTTTTAAATAATACATTGAGAATATAGTAACTGTCATTCAATTATTTCAGTTTATATAAAAAAAAATATCCAAAACTATAACAACCCTTTTAGCCATTAATTGATCACTGCTCAACATAGGTCTCTCACATAAGACTGCAATAAGAAATAATCCAGTTGAAGGTGGCCATAGGCTACAGTAACCATTTATCATCAGATGGGTTGTATAATTGTTTGACGTCTTTGTGGTATTAAGCCACCTGCATTCACTGGCTCCTAACAACACATTGATTAGTCCTACTAGTGAAGTCATTCGGCAGTGTTTTCTTATACAAGATCATCAATAATAACAATTGCTGCTACCAAATAAAATCAGGCAACACCACAGTCAGAAATGACATGAAGGGAAGGCATCACAGTGTATTCTGTGATATTCATAATGATTTATAGATCCTCCTTACCACATTCTATCAGATGAGTGATAAGGTTGTGTCATACTATGTATCATAAAAAATAGATACATCATTTACAGGAAGGAAGGAATTTTAGGCAATAAATAATAAAATTTTTATTTGTTTCAATAGTGTTACTAGCACAGACATGAGTATACTGTAACATCTTCTTCTATGATGGACTATAAAATACAGTAAAGTTTTCTATCATTTCAGTAGGCATTTAAAAGACCGCATTACAATCTGTTGTGATTAATTTCATATAACTTTCCGACTTTAATAGGCATCTTGTACTGAGAGTAAGTTTCTTTAGCTAGTTATGAATTAATTATATTATGATTCATGTGAAGAGAATTTTCTAACTCTTCAGTTATAAATTAATAATCCAGCTTGGTTTCACATAGGTAGATAGAATTTTAAAATCAGTTGAGTAGCTTTTGACTTGATCCATTTAAAACAAATAATCATTTTTTTTTATTTTTGCAATATTATATTCATGAATATTATAGATAGTATATCTATAAAATGAGGCATGTGAACTGAGGATTCTTCTGAGGACAATTTCTGTTGTGAGAAATAGGATTGTACAGCTCTTTGGCAAAGTCAAAATATAACATTACTTTCCAGGGAAGGCTTGGCTCCTTAAAAAGCCAGATATGTACTCTCAAACACATCTTTGCACATTGCTGAAAACTCTTTGGTATGGCCCTACCAGCTTCCACATTAAATATGCCTATTGCTCCTTGCTTTAAAACTACCAATTTCCGACTGATAAAAACAGATGACCAAATGCAAGTATTATGTAGTGGTACAAGTGCCTTGAGTACTATCCCAGGAACACCTCTGAATGCATTACTGAAATTAACACACCTACCCCTATTCATACAGGAAAAGACTAAATCCCATATGCTTCAAAATAGTTCCCACAGATGAAACTCATAACAATCGCAGATGCTCAAAACCCTTGAAGAGTTAACAGTCCCGTTATGAATTATTATTATTCCCAGTATTAATTAATAAATTAAGAGTAATCCCATTCTGGAAATGCCAAATGACATGACCCCAGAAGAAAATTTTAAAAATTAGTACAAATTGAAATATCTGAAAGAGACAAATAGAATAAAGATTATCTACTGTCTTACTCGGAACACAAACAAAAAGAAAATGTGGGATATGGTGTCTATGTTATTAGACCACACAGCTCTTAAAACTTAGGCAAGTATGCCACAATCTTTCAGGCAGAAACTATAGCCACAATAAGATATGTATAACTAAATCTAAGTTTGAACTACATAGATAATTATATATTTATTATCTTGGATAGTCCAGCGGCATAACTTGCACTTGATCCATACAAAATTAAATCAAAACTTATAAAACTGCATAATGTTATTGCAGCAGAAATAACATTATTTGAGATAGTTATTCAAATATTCATAGAACTGAAACAACTGACCAATTAGCAAAAGAAGGGGCAAAGAATATCCAAATAAGACCAGAATTTTAATGTGGCATACCTCGAAGCCTAAAGCTCAGACATCTTAAACTTGAAAGCTTCTAAGTTTTAAAGCAGCAAATAATAGTTGGCTCTTGTAACCAGGTATGAAATCATTAAAAAGTCTTTATAAGGGGGGTTTCAGAAAATTACTCTAAGAAATTAGTTCATTGGAGTAAAAATAATATAGGTGTATTGACAACTAAACAAGCACATGACCCAACTAGGTTTGTGCCCAAAAAGTATTTGCAGATTTGGACACAAATAGGAAGAAATGTTGCAGCACTTAATTTGTGACTTTAACCCACTCATACATAAATGATATATCTCCTTTGGAAAATACACTATATCATGAGGAGATAAAAAAATTGCTGATAGGAACAACAAACTTTAAACAAGGATAAGCACAAAAGATTATAGATGTCACAAGCTTCTTCACTTAGAAAAGCCCTTCTTTTAATAATAATTACCATATAGTGGGGGAAAGAGACTGTTAGTATTGAAGTCTAAGAAGCCTATTGCTAGTAATATACCTAATCAGGTCAACCTCCATATGGCCTTCCTGTAAACTATCATGGTTATTCCTGTAAAATCCATCATGATAGGCCAAGTGATCTGCTTTCATTCTCACCTATCATCTCTTAATGATATTCCACTGATAAGAAAGGGATTGTTTGTAATAGGTGACCTCAATAGTGTGATCGATGACTTAAGAAAATGTTGTGTACATCTGTAATTGGTGTAAATGCAAGATGCAAGCCCTGTATATCAATTAAAATTAATGTCTGTATTTACACTGTTGATGAACCTTTTAAAAATAAATAAAGAGGTTTAACACTTCTGTCACCTATCATCTTTCACTGGTGCCCCACCAGTGTATACCATCAACAGCAAGGGTTACTATTCCATCATCACCCATTAAAAACATCACTTCCATTGCTTATAATATACCTTATCAGGTCTACCTACATGCAGTTCCCTCTGAAAGCTATAGTGGTTAATTCTTATCGCATTCATCATAATGTGTCAATTGACCTGCATTCACCCTCACATCATCTCTCACTGGTACCCCATCAGCATATACCAATAGCACAGACAGGCAGATATTCATTTTTACCAATAAAAATACTAGTGCTCTGTTACTGTATATTGGTAGAGATACTTATCCATTTCCACCCATTGAAAAAAAACTATAAAGTATTATGTGAAGGGCTTATTTATTTTCAGTTGAGACGGCCAAATCCGTTTATTTTCGTAATTATTTATTGGGCCTAATTTGACATCAATAATTATGCAGTAGACGGTATTATGATTAGTTATAATAATTTTTAAATATAAATTTAATTATGTAAATAACCAAAGTGGACCTTTCAAGAAGAATGTAACAAAGGGAAGTCATATACATATATTAACAGAAAATTTTTATTATTATCAAAAAACGGAGAAATATTACATTTTATTTATATACTTACTAAGTGTCCTCTTGGAAAAATTTGACCACAGCAATAGGTGGTTTCCGAAAAGATGGCAATACATCAGGGGGGAGCTTTTCGAAGCCAACCACTTCCCCTGGCCACCAGCATGAGCCAAGTTTCACCCATACCACATCTCCGTCCAAATAACAGTTTTCAGTTTGCTCACTCATCACCACTGATCTGTTCAGACGAAACGTACGACCATATTTTGTCAAATGTATCCACTATGCCGACATCAACTGTTACCAAAACATATTCACACCTTCAACGATATTTTGACTTCTTTCAGTCTTAAAACAACGAAATACTGATATGAATAACAATTTATAGCAAATTGTATTGTATTTGTCAAAACAGTAGAGAAATAATAATTGTAAATATCACCGACTGCGTACGAAATTATTACTTGGCCAGTGTGATGGCAACATTGATTATTATTCTAAATAATGACAAATTATAAACAAAGTAGTAAGAATATGAAAAAAATATCATGTTGTAAATTTTTATTAATTTACAATTTAGAAATATTATTTTATATATATCTATTAAATGAGATTCCTGAAAAAAGTAGTTTAATGTTACACCGGAAATAGCTAAAAAAGAAGGCGTCAGCAGATACCAACATTAAATATACAAAATGTGTTACTAGCTACAATTAAGATTAACCATAAACAACCACTTTACGATTTCATGTTTTCAATGCTCCGTATATAATCACGCTATGGACTGTCTAACATGTATTAAGAATAGTAGCTTCGGTATTTTTTCTACATGCTCTATAATTTGTATATTTTGTCACGTTTGCCAATAGATACGTACTTTCTCAAGTCACTTGAGCAAGTACGCAACTATCGAACCTTTTACACGTGTATAAATTCTCTTTTTAGACTAGAACATATATACGTTATATAGTTTAAAAGATAAATATTAGAGTATATTAGTTTTTATGCACTTTTACCCGATAAATGCCACCATTTGCTATTAACTAGCACAAGAAAATTAAATCATGTTCATAACAATTCTTTTAGTTTCATAAACGCTCTATAGGGGCAGTATCAACAGCCGTATCAAATTATCTCATTCCGTATATATATATATATATATATATATATATATATATATATATATATATATATATATATATATATATATATATATATATATATATATATATATATATATATATATATATATGAAAAACACTGCAAAGATTTTGCAAAGATAATTAGCACAGCAAAATAGAATTGGATGAAAAACTAGTTATATACATATATATTATAAACTTACTTATAATTAGGTTATAAACTGTAAAAAAAATCCATCTCGTAAAAGGAGTTAAAGGGATATTTTTAGAGGTTTAAAAGTAAAAAAATAGTTTTTTTTTTTTGCAAATTATTTAAATTTTGAGCTGAAATAATTCTGCACATTTTGGTATTTTTTTTTTAACATTCTAGGTGAAAAGTTGACCAAGATATAATAATTTCATGATCAAAAATTTCGAAATAGTTCAAGATAGGATATTTTTTAGTCTTTAAAGTGTAATACACACACAATATATATTTTCTCTTGTCAACATTATTTTAAAAGTGCCATAACTTTGTCATTTCTTAATTAATAAAAAAAAATCAAACACTACTATAAAGCAAAAACATTAAACTTTGTCCTGACGTCATTCTGAAAATTCTACAATAAACTACAGATTAAGTTATCAATATGTTACAAACGTTGAATGTATGTTTTTTTTTTATTTTATGAAATCAAAAGAAAACACAAAAAACAGTTTTAGTTTTTGAGTATGCTAAATTGTTTGTACCTAACAAATCAATAATACATTTCTATGGTGTCAAAGAAGATAGCTTTTAAACAAGCCATATCAATTTGTTTTATATAAAATTTTGAGAAGTGATCTGAGCATCCCATATTTCAATACACAGCACATATAATCCGAGATAAAATTTTGTATAGTTTCTTATAATAAATGTTTGTTTATTTATCCGTCTCTTGATGACACTATTGGTAAATTTATATCATTTCAGTGTATGTAGTTATAAGCGTTTCAAAGACTAGATCAAAACGTAACAATAAAACAGCACCGAACTACATCGAAAGCATATAGGTTTTTACTTTCATAACCTACTTACTTTTATAACTAGGATATTAAAAAATATGTCAAAATGCGCAGCTACAACTTCTCTTTTTAATGAATATTTTTTAATTCGATGCATAGTTTTGAAATAAATTGGTAAAGTCGTATTTTTTTTTTTAAATCAATGGATCATAAACAACGCGTAAGTTTAAAATTTAACTTTGTTCATTCAGTAATGGACTATTTTTACAGTCTTTTTGACTCAATAAACAACTATACCAAGTTTCAAGCTTGCAACAATTGATTTCATTTTTACCTGAAAAGGATATTAGTTTGATTGGACTAAATAATACCTAAATTCCACACAACCACACCAATCGTTTGAACATCAAGCTGTGTTATGAGGAACTAGGCAACGTACATATCTGGGCATAACTTAAAACACCCAAAAAGAAAAATAAAGGAAGATAAGGAAAGTTTGTTTTCTGAATTGGCCCGATCAGGATCGAATTCGTAATCTCATTGACACATCACTTTAGCCGTTAACTGTCCACTGCTGAATATAAGCTTTAGGGGGAAGGGATTGTTAGTAATGCATTTTTCATGAGACATAATCGGAAAATATATTACACGATTGAATTGGCAAAAAAAAAAAAATCAATATGTCTGTGAATTGTATTTTACGTAGGAAATTCGAAAAAAAGACAAAATGAGTGAAAGTAATTTTATTGAAATCGTTGTACTTAAATAGGTTACTGTTGCATTTGAATGAGAATGATTATAATAAATTATGTGTAGGTATTATAATCTTACATTAATAGGTTGTTTTATATGGTCCTAAAGTATAAGTACGCATTTTTATAGACATGTTACATGTGTATCGTTAAATTTTTATTAAAATAAAATATGTATATTCTTTATTACACTTGAAAAAAAAAATACAGCGATAAGTTTAGCAACTTGTTAAGCAAGGCTGGGCTCATCTCTGTAACAAATCTCTTCCAGCCAAAGCATCATTCTTTATTTACAGTATCAGTAATAGGTAGTAGCTAAATAGGTATCTTCATATATGAACAGGCTATAGCCTGCACTATCACCAAAAGAATAAATAATTATTTAAAACCCAGAGGCTATTAATACCCAAAGACCAGAAATGATCATATTTAAATACAGTTATTCTTTATACTCTTAGCCATTTACGTTGTTTTAGTGTAGCAGTACTAAAATAACTTAAAAATAAAGTTTTTTAGAATTACAGACGCCACCATGGTACCCGTGCAATGGTACAAAGTAGGAGTAGTAAAAAACTGACTTAAAAATGCTAATAATTTCGAAATCACTCTGCATTAATGTATCATATAGATATAATATAAGTATAGACCTCTTTTTTATAATATTACCTTCACATATATCTGCATACATGTAGTACAAGAAGTAGGTAAATAAATACATTAATAAGAACACAAATACAGTTTTTAATTATTATTATTGTACCTAATACTCATAATAATTACGTACCTGGGCATTCTATTAAATGTATTATTAGGCACATAATTACGTAGATAACTCATAGGTATGTTAAATTAAACCATAATAATTTTGAATTTGTACTCAATAGGTATCTTTGAAAAATATAATTATTAAATGTACGTGTTTATTGTTGTATGTAATTTATTTACTCGCTAGCTGTTTCCCGTGGCTTCGGCCGCACTGTTCCTATGATCTCCCCTTTCCGTTCCCATTGTTGAGAAATTCTTTATTAATGTACATCCGCAGACATTAAAATCTATCTCCACATCTCATATCTACCTGCTAAATATCAGATTTCAACGAATCTAAAGTTGTGGTTTATGTAACAAACTTAAAGGGATGTCTCCCATCTAAAGAGTTAGGCTAAGCCGTTTAGCATCAGGCAGATATGCTCAAAATCCTTTCCTTTTTCATTAAAAAACCATTGAATTATTATTTTACAAGTTAAAACTACATTAAAGAGAACTATTTACATGTACAAGTATCGTAAAGATCGTTATCCAGCATACTGACGGACGATCTTGGCCCACTGCTGCGGGTAGTTGCGTTGCACGTACGACAGTGTACGTTGGATCTGTTTGGTTTCTTGCGGTGTACATTGTGGGCAGGCGCCTCGTAACACCAGCGGGGCTAATGCTGTGGATAAGTTATTTGATTATTTTAAATACATAATACAGGTAAGCATACACATATAATACATACATAGTGAAATAAAAAAACTTGTATAATATTAAGTTTATGTTATAATATATGAACATTGCTTAATAAATTTTTATGTCTAATAAATAAATAAAAAAATATAAATCATTAAAAGGTCTATTTAAAACCTGTATTCTAACAGATAAATCGAATATTTCTCCTAAAAATCCATTGGCCGACTGAATGGTAAGTTTGAATTTTCCATATAAACACGGCGCTTCCTGTTGTCAAATTAGTTGGAGAGAATCAAAACTTTTCGTCATTTTTCACTCAATATATTAATTATAAGTTTATAAAATGAAAATATATTGATTTTCATACACTTTACAGCAATTAGTAAAGGCATATAAATGGGCTTAGTATAACAGCTGTAAACCGTACTACAATGCTGGTTTTTACTCGTTATCATTGTAGTATATAATGTTCACACACTGGCCACCAATAAGAAGTACTGGCCGTTAACAATTTGTTCCATTAATTCTTTCAATGAATAAATCAGTGTTTAATAACCAACTTGCTTGCGTATCACTACAATCACAGCATTTGATATAAATGGGGCTGAGGGCGATAGTCGGTCGGTGCCCTTTGCCTATAACTCTCGGTAGAATAACTCGTTAGTTTATACCGTCTGATTATAGAAAAATCTATCTTCTTTAATATAACACTTTTAAAATACATTTTTAAATAGGTATTCATAGTCTTTTTGCTCAATGTCAAATTTTAATAAACATTGTAAATTACCAGGTCAATGAGTTTTTAAGTTGTTTAAGAAATAAATAGGTACCTACACAGATACATAACTATGTAGTTACTAAATATTCAAACGCCATACTAAAAATGTAGTCTTATATACTTGTAATTAGATTGTAACTGGGTAGGTACATAATTTATTAAATGCTTGCCAGTGTCTAAGTTTAACTAGGTCAGATTGTGATAAATTGTTTAGTGCACTTTTGATTTATCCATAATTTATTACGAGTAGCATTATCAACACTATTTTAAAACATTTGAAAGGTTATTTATTGAATTGAAGAATATAACCCATAAAGATAGAATTCATCTGAGAAATGGAACCGACATCTCTGAGTTATTCGGATTCATATAGTGTTTTCAATCAGAAAGAAAAAAAAAATAGGTACTATTCATTTGTTGTACAGTTAGTGTCAACAGAAATTAAATGAAAATGCAAACAAATTAATAACTGACCCGACCATGAGACAGTCTGCCGATATCTATTAACAGTACAAATAAAAAGCATATTAATTGATTTAATGTTTCGATTTTTTACGGACATTATTAAGAAATTACCTTTGTAATAATTAAAAAAACTTGGTTACCTTTTATACATAACTATTCTTAAATTGTTTTTAGAAATGTGGAGAGTAGAGTCTATTTAACAATTAATTTATTTTCTCTCTGAGAAGTCAGTTCTCAGCACTCCAACGCCACAATGAAATGGAAGCAATTTGTTGAGCTAAAGAATAATTACAATTGTGAAAGTTAACAATAAATTTATAATTTTATAACGTTTTCCCTGTTAAAATCTTGTTTATTAATTAACTATTTCATTTTAGAATTTAATGTGAATTATTAGAAATACCAACCCATTAGACACTATTAGACATCAGCAAATTGTGTTATGTTTAATTTGTATATATTTTTGTTAGATTTAATTGGAAGAGACTATAGGTAATATAACTTTGAATGAAAACTTGCGAGAAATTTCAGTACGTATCATATTGTAATTAAATTTCTTATAATGAAAAGTAATTATAATATACTAACTTTTTAATCTTTTCCCAATGGGGTCACAAGGGCCCTCGCCAAGAGCGCATTTGAGTTGTCTCTGAATGAACCTCTTGTCATTGAGAGCATCGTCTAGGGCTGTGTCGGTCACTTGTGGTCTGTCATTTTGCGCTGCACATGCGTACAACACCGCGCAAATCACCATTGCTTGAGTCAGCTGTAACAAATGGAAATACATCATAATTAAATCTGTACTAATAATAGTGACAATGGGCCGGTTACTTAGTTCGAGCAATTAATTACAGATGAGAAATAGTTCATGAGTGGTTCTCTTTATGGGGAGGCCTATTTTCATTGTCCTAACAATTACAAACAAAAAACAATTGACTAAACAGGTGCAGCTGTTCTGAAGTGATATACATTTTGCCATTGATTTATATTCATATAAATAATTCTGATCGTCTTGACAGTCATCTTTAATTCATCATCATTATCATTTCAGCCATTATCCGTCCACTGCTGGACATAAGCCTCCCCCGTAGACTACCCTAAAGAACGGTCCTGAGCCATCTGCATTCTTTAATTAAAATAGAAAAAAATGCAACTACGTAGTCTAAGCCAATATTAAGTCTAAGCTAATGTAAGTTTACTTTCCCTCGCGGTAAAAAATGTATGAATGGCAACATGCCCCGCCTGACCCCGATCGGATACTAGACGCGTCGTGATACGTCACTCGCTATTTTATGTCACACTCATTACATAAGGTGGTCTAACGTTACAAACACATTACCCTAATAACACAGCTTGACTTACAATAACTCGAAAGAACACCATTTTGCGCGAGAGGCGAGAGACTGGAGAACTGTTATCCAACGAAACGCTAGAATTGTTGCCAATAAAAATAAATATATGAAATTATGATATGAGTCTATATTATACAGTAGACTGTGTTTGCACGACTGTGTTTCGACGGATGGGATAGGTGTGGCATTGAAATTACTGCATCTGGAGGCATAGCGTAGCAACGTACCTACTTCCCAGGGATGGCAACGCATGATGGGTACCTTGCCCATCACCATATATTCCATGATATCTATGACACTTCTCTTGTCTATAGGTGACAGTTATGAGCTTCCATCTGTTTGTTTGTTACCGTGTGGTTTCAGCATAGAATCGGCCACTCCTTCCTTTCCAGCGAGTGTCGAAAGAGGAAAGTAAGAGAACTTAATAGTCGAGGGATGGGCAAGAGCGTTTTTTTTTATACAACTTAGAATGGCAAACAAGCCGACGGTCCACCTGATGGAAAGTGGTATCCGTCGCCTATAGACATGAGCAGTACTATGGACATAACAGAGTACACTGTTTCGCCCATGATACACACCATGAGTTGCCATTCCTGAGGACTCAGGTGTTATTTCTCTGTACCCTGTAAATTCACGCCATAACCTACCCTTCAAACCGAAACACAGCCATGCAAACACAACTGCTTCACGGTTGAAACACGAGTAGGATAGAGGTACCCAAGCAATCGACTTTTGTACAAAGTCTCCCTCTGGTCCTCCTAAAGCGTCCCTCTTAATACATCACTAAAAGTCTAACTGCGGTTGTCAACCCGCCTGCCAAGCGTGGCAACTACTGGCAAAATCCCCCAATAGGCGGAGACATATACTGTTCAGCAGTGGATATACAATAGCTAATATGATGACCTGATTGTTTGCTGTTTCTTAAAAAACGTAGTTGTCGATCATACATAATTATGGACAGTTTCTGGCAAGTGACCAGCCACGGAAAATATTCGTGGCTCCTCAACAAAGGTAGGTTCGTACTTCATCAGGCAAAGAAAGACGAGAATAGGCTCCGTCAACATTTATTGGAGAGGTACGGTAAGGAGAGATTTTTTTACTAGTTTTTAGCTTCATATCACTGTCAATAATAAATAATATTTGTTTAACAAATTACAATAATGTTTCTCAATATACTTTACTGCTGCCAAATATACCTAATGTTACTTCCATGGAGGCTAACATGTCGCGTTAGGATTGCAAAAAACCTATCAAATTACCCAAGGAGAATGGTAAGGTAACATGCGTTTAGTAAGGACACGCGAATTGCAATGACCGGTAGGTGTGGACGTAAGAACACGTGCGAAGCTATGCTTCGATTGCTGGAGTACAATCGCGGATAAAATCATTGAATTGTTATATTAGTGACATTGAATATATTTTCCATAGAACGTGGGTCGAAACAAAATAAAAAATTTAGAGCTTCGCTTACTAACGCCATTTCTGAAAAAGTTCTGCTAGTATACGAGGTTCAATTTTTATAGTAAGTATCTATTTCGACTTAATATTTTAATCCATTTTTTCGTTATTAACCCATAACGTCCCACTGCTGGGCAAAGTCTCCCCCATCTATTAAACGTCTTATTTATCGCCACCTCAAACCGGTTCCTGTTTAATGCTTCTATGTCGTTACGCTATCACTTCCTGGGCCGACCTCGGCGACGCTGTCTTTCAGTAGGCATCTACTGGGTGAAGATCTTTGCTCGCCTATCTAGACCTGTACGGCTAATGTAACTCGACCAATTTTATTTAATTTTGGCCGACTTCTGACCTACGTCTTTAACGACAAAATAAATAAATCTATACTTATAATAAATCTGTAGAGAGGTCAATTCTGTACATGAAATATATTTCCAAAATAACTATCAGGGTGTCTGTCTGTCTAACTGTATGTTTGTTATAGAAACAAAAACTACTCGATGGATTTTACGAAACTTGCTACAATCATTCTTCATACTCCTGGGCAGGTTATAGTATACTTTTCATCACGCTACGATCAATAAGAGCAGAGCAGTGAAGGAAAATGTTAAAAATGTCCACCCGTGCGACGCCGGGACGGGCCATTAGTATATAAATAAATGTAATGTAACAGTATAAATGTGTGTTTGTCCTATCCTCCTCTTACCGGCGCAGAACAGCCCTGCATTGCAATGGGATGTACATCGGTTATAAAAGAAGGAAGAAAGCTTTTGAAAATTTGAATATTCATTTAACACTTATTATTATTATATAAATTATACATTTATTTTAAATCTTTGAGTTTGACTGTACTTGGGAATCACAAACAGTCGATGCGTGCTATGAAATTTAATGAGTGAATAATCATGATTTTTATTCATCTTGTACCAACTCGCGTAGTTTTGTATTAGCTGTTTGTATTTAGACAACTATCTATATTATCAATCGTTGTTATCAAAGCGTATTGTATTCAATTTTTGATTTTTTGCATAAAAGTACAAATTTATATTATTCACAAATACCTATATTTATTACTCTATCCTATTTGGAATTTTCCAAGCAGGTAGAGAATTACTCTCAGTTAAGATATTGATTTGCTTTGGAAATATTCGTATACTTTTGGGGAGAAGGGGTCTAACAACCCTATATATATATATATATATATATATATATATATATATATATATATATATATATATATATATATATATATATATATATATATATATATATATATATATATATATATATATATATATATATATATATATATATATATATATATATATATATATATATATATATATATTGGTCAGGACGACCTCCACGTGATCCCTCCTGAAAACCATTGTGCTGAATTTCAGATGTATTCATCACGATGAGCCAACTGGCCCGCCTTTCATTCTCACCTACCACCATACTGGTATCCCGTCAGTGTATACCGATGGCGTAGGCGGGGCTACGATTCTATTTTCACCCAAAAAATTCTTTGAAATTAAAACAAATATATAATATACTTAATACAAAAATGAATCAATTTTGAGTTATAGGATAATTCAAGAAATCCAGAAGATTTTATACCCATTTGCGAGGATGAAGCTGCGGCATGCATCAACACAATAGTTCATAATCCTAAATTATTATATGGGATACTTTCTTGTTCCATCGCAGCTCTTATTGTATTACTAAAACCTGAATATCATGTAGATATAAAATACTGTCACTGTCGGGACTTAAATGCTATTATCTACAGATAAATAGAACCTACATACATATACATACAAGTCCCGATCGTGGATTTAAATATATGTAAACAATTCCAAAATTTAAAATTAACTAAATTGAAATTCGTAGATAAAATAAAAAAAATAATAATAATAAACATTAAGCTATTAGTAAGTAGGCACATAATTATACACAAAGACTGAGTTATTTACATACGACTAATTATATTATTTAAACATATCGATTACGTCAAGGAATGTGAATAATGTGTGTCCATTTTCGGCAAAATATATATTAAGTAGGTGCCTGTATATATTTACTTTAAGATGAAGTAGGTACCTTAATCAGTATTTACTGTTCCAGAAATCTATCAAGGAAGTATGAGTTATAATAAACAATTACAAAAGTCCGAATAAGGTTTAAACAGTCCGTTATAATGGAACTATGTCACGAACAGTTTAACGAAGAAAAAGATATTTTCATATGAACTAAGTCCATAGATATCTATTATGCTTCCGTTAAACTACAAGACTAATTACACAACTAACGGCGTTATTTGGTAGGCTATTGTTTGAATTCATCATGTCCTCGTGAATGAATGAAATGTAAAGAATATACGGCTACACTGAAAATATAAAGGATGTGACTGGGGAGAAAAACTTTTTAGTAACGCCTCCTTCTTGCTGGCGAGTTAATAATAAGAGATGACGATACTTATAGGGAAACATAGTAATCTTTAAAACCGCATCAAGATAAACCACACAAATCGTTGTAAAATTACTCAGACACCATTTTAACAAAATTGTCGCCCTTCGCCTACTTTTTGACACATTGGAACTACATAATTGCAGTTTATATTCATGATCTTCAAAAAATATATATAAAATTGTAAACGTTCTCTGTGTAGGACATACAACAGTGTTATTAAAAATACACTTATAGGAAATTATAATATCTATAAATTTTTACGGATATGTACGGATGAATAGTATTCATGTAAATATAAATGCATCATGCAGTGTAAAAACATTCGTAATTTAGTTTTGAAAGTGTTACTTATCAAGTTAAAATAAGTTGGATGTTGCATTCGGAGTTCAAATAATTTCGAAAATCGAACAATTGCGACAATTTAAAATTTGAACCAAATACGGCTATATATTTTGATCTAATGATATTCTCATCGTACCATATTTCTTGTTCACTGTTGAGTTACTCGTCCAAAATCATATTTTTGCGAACCTACCAATGATTATGTGTTTAGGGAATTACTATGGTTTTACATTTTTCCCGTTCTTTTTATTCTACATGTAGGTATTATAAAGAGAAATTGTTATATTAGTAGGATTTATTTAGTCTAAATAAGCTGAATACTACATTAATGTAGACATGCTGAACTCGAAGTAGCAGTCGTACGTAAAACTAAGAATTTATCCATGATGTAAAATATACTAGAAGAGAAATTAAAAATTAAAATAAACTATGATATTTTTTCTGGATAATATTATAAATAGGGCGACGTTCTTATATCTAAGTAGATAGTACAAAATTCACCAAGTCTGACATGTTAATAAATAAAAAGTTGATAATAAATTGAATGCACCGCAATTAAATTCAGAACTATTTACATATAAGCATATTTTTATCAACACTGTAGTTAAGTAAGGATAGGTACATCTAAGATAAGTATGTGAACTAAGTACTTATCACAAATAAACAATAGCTATGTATCATCCAACTGCCAAACATTTGAACAACCTTGATTTTCTTTACTTTGCAACCGACTTCAAAAAGAAGGACATTTTCAATTCGATTGTATTTTTTTATGTTTGTTGTACCTCATAGGGTTAAGGAAAAGAGATAAATTATAAAAACTATTGAGGTCAGAAGGGGAAAAATGTTGAGACACTTGATACGACACGACGAACTTATGAATATTATAATATAGAAATTATAATTATAAGGTAAGATAGAAGGAAGAAGGGGAAGAGGGGATCAAGGTATTATTATACATTAGGCAGATCAATAAAACAAACTCAAGACAAGATAGAAATGAAAATGAATACCTCATATCTCCGTCAGTTCTAAACCGCTTTAATTTTTTTTTTTTTTTTAAAGGGATATACTTACAAATTAATCCGATAGAAATTTTATCAAAATCTGTTCAGTAGTTTAGTTTTGTAATCAAAATATCTGGTTTTACTACAATGAATATCAGTTTTTATGGAAAACAATTTTTAATTAAAAGTATAATTATTATACTTGTATTGACTAATTTATACCTAGCCAGATATCCATTAGAAAGAATTAAGTATTTAAAACAAATATTATGTAATTACTGCAACTAGATTTAATTAATTACACAGTTACCTAATTTTTCATTACTTATTGGGATTATTGAAATAAATATTCCTGAAACATAAAAATCTTGAGCTTGTAACTACGATCAAACAAGGAATATTACGTACGTAGGTATTCTTAGGTAATATTTTTTTTTAGTAACGGAATATATTCTGACAAAGAAATGAAATATTTACTCAGTTCATAAAATTGATCTTCCACACAACCAAACGTCCTTCAAGGTTTAGTAAACTACAAAATAACACCGACGATCGAAAGCTCGACTCGTATGGTTAGAAGGAAAACGTATATTACAGAGAAACTGCAATTGGCCACCAACCTGCATCTCTGTACTGTCTCGAGTCGCTTGCACAACCACCGGGGGACACTTTTACTTGCACACCGTTCGAGCGTTCCTAACTATTGACCCGGATCTCGGAATTAAGAGTTTCACAGATTTTTTTCAAAGCCAGTGAAGCGTTTAGGCCTGCGACTGGGTAGCGAATGTTGAGACTTGCAGTTGTGCCGTAACCTCTTACTTAACGAACGCTCCCCCCTTTTGGATTTGACTGCGCGTACTCGCCGCGATTGTACGTTACGTGAGCAAAACTGCATATACGAAATAAACAACAAGTAAATAGATAAGTATCATTTATTTAGTTAGGGAAACAGTCTTTTTAACATTCTTTTTGATGTTACTCATAAATACAAAAAAAAAAAGCTGGTTAATGAGTTCGAATAGGGAATGACTAATTCTAAATAACTAGGTTTTTAATGTAATAATAATATTTTGACATTCATCTTAATTTAAGTAATCATAAACTTAGAAAATTCACTTAATATTTATTAGATACTTATTGTTCTTATAAAAAAAATATAAATAATTATTGTAAAGTATACATATTATTATAAAATGACTTTAATTAATCAACCGTACTGGCGAACGATTCTAGACCACTCCCATGGGTAATTTCTTTGTATGAAGGCAAGAGTTCGCCGGATTTGAATAGTTTCTTGCACGGAACATTGTGGACACGATCCTCGAAGCACCAGCGGTGCCAATGCTGAAAAGATATTTAGTTAATTGCAAACAATTTGAATAGCTCAACAAATTGAATAGCTGAAATAATAATGATGAAATATTTGTCCAATAAATTCTTTTAGTACATGTATACATATGTACAAGCATTCATATCAGCCTTTGTTAAGTGTCCACTGCTAAACATAAGCCTCCCACTTGGTGGGTTTTGCCAGTAGTTGCCATGCTTAGCAGGCGGATTGGCAACCACAATTAGGATTTGGAGACACTTTAAAAGGGACGCTGCTACCCATCACTCACCCTTCTTTAATCGCTTCTAACGACATCCACGAGAAAGGAAGGGGTGACGTATTCTATAGCGGGACCACATGGCAAAACGTGCAAACATATTAGAGTTAAAAAAATAATTATCACTACATTCTGTCTTGGGTCTTCTTATTATCTTATTGAAGATCGAAAGGACCTTATAATACAATTCGTTCATAGCTTTTGTTTTAAACATCGGCTTTGTTTCTCTTCTGTTTTTAGTATCGTCATTGTCAGGTAAAGTAAAATGCAAATTGACTACACAAATATTATAGAGTTAATGAATAGAAGCATTTATCGAAATGTTCGCTTTAAATGTTTAAGGACAAATTATTCTAATTTTAGTTTATGTTCAATTTGACTATGAAGAGTGGATAATAATATGTCAATTTTTATATGCACTTCTAAATTGGATACACTTATAGAACTTGTTGTGCGAAGGTTGTTTACATATTGTGTGGTGTGTAGAGCAAATTGCTTATTTAATTCTTATGCTAATACAAATTCGCAATAGTAAGTTTGTATCACAGCATATATTAATTTAATACAGCACTAAATTTTTACCCACGACTGTAGTTTGAATGTGCGGGATATATGATTATGTATCAAATTTTAAAATGCTGTAACATAGTGTTAATAATATCCGTTTACTCATATTATTGTAACACATGACGTGCCAAAAATGTAATCGATTTGTTTACATGATTAGTAAAAGAAATATGAAATATTGATTTGCTCAGATAAAAAGTCAGAGCTATCTGCTCTATTTTAAAAAACTACGTCGTGTCACTGAGAGGTAACATATAGACATTCAAACAAACTATTCTTTAAATTAATACTTTTAGTAAGGAACTGAGGATACAAGTCGAGACAGATTGCTTCGTATTTACGAATTTTAAACTGTTTCCGATTGTAAATATTTTCATTTCAAACGAGAAGTTGTGATGATGTGATAGATTTTACATCGCCACAAACAATGAGAAGTTTTTTATCCATTAGTGGATAATGTTTCGTTTTCGTACGTTGAATAGAAACTTTTTATGCTTATAATAAAGCAAGTAACTAGCCTTACTAACTTAATTGTAACTAGAAAATAATAAACTAAATTATCAGTCTTTACTATATACTGTATAGTCATTACTAAGGTGCTAGTAGACACAGCAACAAAATAAAACCACGTTCAGTGTTGTGTCCACCACAATGGTAAATCGACAAATACGTCTAAAGCCCCTAAGGCGTAGTCAGACGTCATACTTATTTAATTTATATTTTTTTAAGTAGATATAATTACAATATATTTATTATACTATATAACATACTTCTCAATCTTCTGCCGACTAGATCGCAGGGTCCCTCTCCAAGTGCACATTTAAGATGCCTCTGCATGGTGCTTCTGTCGGTCAAAGTACGCTCCAGCTGAGCATCAGTCATCTGGGGTACAGCTCGAGCAGTCGGTAAATTCATCATCGTTCCGCAAATCAATACTAGTAATAATAAATTCTGTGGAAAGAACAATTTAAATTTATTTTAAATTAACCATATCTATTTTTAGGGTGAACCAGGTAATGCTCGACCAAGGAATATTGCCAGTAACAATCCTTTACCTAAATAAATAAGATTTATAATATAACTTGCATAGGTAAGCACCCTAAATTTAAATTGGATTCCATTCTTCGAATCTAGCTTTTCATTTGAGCTGGTTGCTTTTATGTATGAAAGAGATATGGCTAACATAGCTACCTTAGCTACGCCCACAAGCGCAGAAGCTTCTATCTTCACAAACTTCGTGAAGTGACCTTATTGCTCTGTGGGTTTATATACTTTGGATGGCTGGCAGCTACGCATTCTTGTATACCATGGGAGACAAGACAACCTCAGCAAATAAGTGTCCTACAGTTTTGTGCAATATTTAAATTTGAGAACTAATAAATGCTAAAAGCAAGGACATGTACATCTAGACTCGAGTCAATTTTAGAAAACTTCGTTTCCTTAATTTCACCGATCGAGAATCGACCCTCGACCTCGATTACGTTAAGCAATATTAAGAGTCACCGCTGCGCTGTCGCGGGCATAACTATAGGTACAATAAATAGATTTTCCGTAAATTATAGATTTTCTCAACACTATAATGAGTATTGCTTTTATAAAATTTAGTAAAAAAATTAAACACATGATGAGTTCAAAAGAGTTAGATATCTATTTCAGAAATGTTCACCTGTATATTATACCAGATTTTTCTTACTAAATTCAATAAAATGTTAAAGTGTTTTTGGAATCGTCTTTGTAAGGCCCACTTTGTAAAATATATTAATTTATAAAAAACTAAAAAAAAAACAATGTATCACGCGAACGGATACTCTTACATTTAGGTAGGTAAGAATAATGCAAATCCTGAGCCCATAAATCTTCAAGAAATCTGTATTCATACGTAGGAACATACCGAATTTATAGCCTCTTCTATTTTTAAATTCAAATAAAATAAATGGACATCTTCAATTCTCAAGCATTTCTTAAGTACCGTTATAATTCTACATCTCGTATGTTAATGATAATACAAGGACAAATGTACAGACGACGGCTAGACAAATATACACTTTATACTTTATACAATAAACAATTTTAAATAATTATAACACATACCTGCATCTTAAGTAACAGCCGTCAATAAAGAATTATTGACAATAAATCCTGGTGAAATGCGTACGAACGAATGCTTTGTATTTGGGTGTCTCTACAATGAATAGGGACCAACTGGCCACAATCTTCAATTACAGATACCGGGAATTCTCCCTCCCCTTTGTGGGGTCATTATGATTGAATTGAGGGCTCTTTAACGATAAGTCGTTAGGACGAATCTGACGAAGCGCCTCTGATTGTTATACCAAATTGAACCTAGTCGACGCCGGTGACCGGTGTCAGGTAGTCTTTATTCAAATGGCATTTTGAATAAAATGTTGATGCTTTCACAAGAGATTTACCGTGAGTCATGAATCGATATTTTGTATTTACTTATCAATAATATAGTAATAAATATGCACTAAAAAATAAGGATCATTTATATAAAATAAAATTTAATAATTTTGCAACTACCTACTATCTCAAATTGTGCAATTGATATTATACCTACTAAGATATTATGCACTATTAAGATACCCATTCATTGCTCAATTTTAATTGAACGTATTACTTACTCGTACTAGCCTACCGTTATCGACATCTCGAGGATCATTGTAGTTACGGTATTTACTGGTGTACCTATCCACATGGCGTTAGTTGGATATTTCACAAATTTTCTCGATTCAGTAATTCATTTCAATTCAATCAGCTACAGAAACCAAATGACTTCAGTAATTTGGTTTCTGTAGCAAAAGTGGAATTTAGAAGATAAATACATTTTACATACAGTTTATCGTAATCGTTTAGCCTTAATAACTATTAGGATTAATAGAGATATACTTATTTTAATATTCATTCTTATTTTATATCAAACTCCACGTGGATCTTTTGAACAACATCGTACTTAATTCCTGGTGAATTTGTCATGATGGGTCAACTGATCTGGCCTATTACTCGCTAATCCTCATCTACCATCTCGTTTACTGATACCTAGAGAGAGAGCGCATGGGGTTATTATTTCACTTTTATCCACAAAAAATCTAAGTTGTCAATGAGATTTGAAAACCTCCTAATTGTTATAAATTTAAATATTTAATTTTTTGTTTGTAACCATTTAACACTTTAACAACTCTACTAATAATTAAGAAATTTCGCATAATATACCTACCTTAAATTATCTACATATTATTTGGGAATGAGAGAATAAAAGTAGTACCTAAGGGCTTGGAGTATATACCAAAGATATTTTAATTTTATTTTGGTTAACAGACATTAATCGATATGCGAATAAAATCGTAGGTGAAAACAAGTACTGACTATTATTTATACAAAAAGTATAATAAGTAAAATAAATATACTTGTAACAAACACTAAAAATATGTATATATAAACTAAATCCGCTGGAATGTATAGAATGCGTGGATGAAGAAGAAGATAAATTGTAGTGGTATAATATTTTATGTGTACCTATACAAAATGCCAGAAGTAGTACTTTGATGCTGCTACACCAGCGTTACTCTGTATGTATGATACCCAGACACAACTTTGAAATTTTTTTAATAACTGACCATTCGCCGCTACTTTATACACGCGTGAAAATCAAAAACAGAAAATAAAACATACACCCAATTTAAAGGCAGACCTTCAGGAACAAAACTATGAAAACCGCGTCCAGTTTGTTGTTGTAATAGTAGTTATTGGATTATGCCGGAACAAACATATTAATCATCATCACTCCATCTAGTTAGATAATTTAAAAATTAATAAATTGACTTCATTATTTTGTCGTTTACATTTTTCTTATTGATCTTCCATGTATAGACATTGTCTAGTTACAATTTTATTATATTAGTAAGATGATCCTAATTTTTCATATACATCTCTTTTTTGTTAAGAATTTAATTAATCAAACTATTAACAAAAATGCTCTTTAATTATGTTTTATTTATGTCCTATGCCAAAAAGTTAAGAAAAAAAAAATTAAATGTCTATGATTCAACATCTCCAACTCTATGCTCTGCCTTCACAAATCCACAGATTAACTTTAAATGAAAAAATTGGTAATTGATTCTGTCAGTGATTCACAATGGATTGCTTAGAAATTATAATTTTTATTTAGATTTTCATTATTATAAATGAAATTATGTGTAAAAAGTAATAGTAACAACTCAATAATATGATATTTTTTTAAAATGTATTTAAAAAAAGATATGTTATATACTTAAAAGTTTTAATTAACTACTTGTCATTCAATCATATGGTAGTAATTAACGATGTCAGTGTTTGTTTACTAATGACAGTTTCAGAGAAACTGAGGGTATTCTTTGAGTTTTCGTAATGAATATTTCGGATTCAATGGGAGAGTCGTCGTCTAAACGACAAGAAAATGGCGACGCTCCGTCAGGATCTGAACGCCCACTCAAGAAAGCTCGTTTCGCATGGCAAGTCAAAGGAAAATACCACTTAAAAAATGAGGTGAACGACGCTGAAAAGTCTTCACCTGTGTTAACTAATGAACTAGACAAAGCTGGGACTTCAGTGGAGAATGAAATTGATTCTAGGGATAGTAGAGATTTAGTAGGAAGCACTGAGCAAAATCTAGAAATTTTAGGAGATTACCTATTGAAACAAGACTTTAACACTTTAGATTCTGTGATTGCCGATGATAAGTCTCTATTAAAGCCAAATACAAATATATCTCAAGAAAATTATAGTAGCACAATTCAGTATGTTCCCAGATATGTTAGTTCCTATGAAAATAATGTCTCCTATAAGGCAGCTAAATCCAGTTTTGGAAGTAATGACAATATAGCAGTGCCCATGTCTATGATTATGTCACATAATTATTGTGAAGATCAGTGTATTGCTCGATGGCAAGCCAGACAGGTAATAAGTTTGACAAGCTTTATTTTACTAACTTAAATTATAATACAACTAAACATAGCTGTTGAGTACAACTAAATTTTAATTATATTGTGGTCCTTGATTAAGTCTATATTACATTATCAAATATATGGGATGACATATATAATCTATATTTGAAAATACAGCTTGATGTTATTATTTTTATATTATAATAAAATTTTAAATATTAAAATGTTCATATCTGTGAATCAGGTTTATAATTTTAATATAGTGTTTTAATAAGTTTATAATTTTGATTTTATAATTTTTTCAGATGGCGAAAGGTTTTGTGGATAATACTATAAACCGGGTACTAGACTCATGGGCTAACCCACCACGTCTTCCAGAAATAAATGAGTCACGGTTCTTGGCCTTAGACATTGCTGAATTTATTAACAACCTTCCTGGAGATAATACAGTTGAGAACGAAGGCATACTTATGGCAATATCTGCACATGGTTTACAAAACACATCTTCATCAACAGATGATAATGCCACTCAAACAGAAAGACACAACACTACTAAAGGTGAAAAAAAAACTTATCAATCACCTCCAAGCAGCCCATTATTGTCAGATGAAGACACAGATGCATTTAATAGTAATAAACAAAGTGATATGGAGACAAGTTCCTCATCAGAGATGTGTTGGCCTTATGTTACGGAATCTGGGAGTCTACAGAATGAAAACATGTCCAATGAACTGTCACAATTTTCATTTTTTCCCGGTACATCTATTCCTTGTCAGTCTTTTAGCGACAGTGAAAATCTCCAAGGTAATAGTAGTGAATTTGATACAAATGATGATGTACCACCTAGCAATCATTATGATTTTATGGACACAGCAGTGACATTTGCTATCTTAAATAAGGGTTTAACAACATTTGGTACTGATTATGGTTAATGTTAAAACCAATTAACTTATTAAACCTCTACTTACTATAATATATAATCTTTTATTGAGAAACATAAAATGACAGTGAAATTTTTTTATCATATATTATATAGAATTCTTTTTAATAAAAAAATAATGAATTAAATAAATTGAAGATTGTAAACATAGGTAAATATTTGCTGGACAAATTAAGTCTGCTATGTTTTTCCTAAAAAATAATTGAACAATGAATTTTTATACATATAAATCTATTTTATCTGAGGTAGCACAAAATAAAATTGCTACAATTTATTCAAAATAATTGTGATCTGTAATGCCACTCGACTGATGATGCAGTGATTTACATTTAATTGTGTATTACATTTTGCACTTTATATAGGTTTTAACTGATATTATTTAGTATGGGGTCTAGGTCAATGCTTATATGCTTATTGTTTTGCATTCATCTTTTTGTAACTACTACTAAAAATAAGATTTGTAAGCACAAAGTAGGAATTATAATATTAAAATATGTAGTTGTTTTGTAATAATTGCATATTGCAGAACAATATCCTTTGCCGTAAGATCAAACAGTATTCTATTATATTTTTAGATTAAGTTCAGTTACATTTAAGTCTCAATTGTTTTCAAGTTACTTAAAATTGTTTTGCTTAATTCAATTATGTTTTACTGTCAAAATGTAAATTAATAGACAGTAGAGAGTACAAATTAAAGTTTTTAGTTAATCTAACATATCAATTGACAAAATTTAAGTTCTGGGCTGAGACATTAGGCCATATATAATATATTCAATTGATTTTATTTTATAAATATCTATTCTATAAAAAGTTATAATTTCTAAAGTAACAAATCATACCAAGTGATCAAAAACTATGAAGATTTTGTATATAAATTGAACGAGTCCACAAATTTATTTTATGTTATAACCTGTATTACATTGTTTACTATTATATTAATCTAATTTGTACTAAAGTAAGCATATTATAAAACTTGTATAACATAGAATTAGTATGAACTTGTATGCCATACTGACTTTACAGTCAATAAAATGATACTCAAAGTATTTTGTGTTTCAACTTTTGAAAATATCTTGTTATGGGCATTTGGTATAATCTTTATTTATTAAAATTATGCCCAAGAATTCGTACATATGGTAGTAATTTTTTAACATATATCTCACTAGTTAAGAAAACCAATGAAATAGTCCACTTTTAGATGGTGTATCAAGATTAAACAGCAATTTTTAAATTTTTTTTATGTGTGAAAATGGTATGGTAACCACGCCTCTGCTAACGGGATACGCTGACGGAGCACCAGTGAAGGGTGATAGTAAGAATGAAAACAGGCCAGTTAGCCCATCATGATGAATTCATCAGGAATTAACCATGATAGTTTCCAAGGAGAACCGCGAGGAGGTCGACCTGGTTGGGTATATTGCTAGCAATGGGATTCTCAGTCTCTATTACTAACAATCCCTTTCCCCCGCAATTTTTAAGTTAGATCTTTAGGAATACCACAGTGAAAACCGCTTATAGTTTAGTGTAGAAATTTTAATGTGACAACGGAACAAACATACATAAAGACAAACTTACAAGAAGTTATTATTTTGGTTTTTATTACTTTTACTACGATATCTTTCTTTTCTATAAATTTTTCTTACATATCTCCCATGTATTTCACATATATTTGAAATTAACACTACCGTATAAAGAACTACTAACACCATCTAGGGAAATTTATAGTGAACCTTTTTTATAAATAAAAGTTACGTAATTTCAAATTTGCCGTTTAACGCAAAAATAGGTTTTGGCACTGTGGACATTTGTACTTAAGTCCTGTATTTCTGCTAATGCACGCATTATATAGAATGAGTCACTAATATTCCTCGGCTTAAATTATACTGATACTTTATACTACGACTACCTTTTACGTTCTCTCTCATATCTATCTACATATAAATTTAATTTTCATTTACATGAAGCTAGATAGAAGCTTTACTTAATGGTATAAATCTCGGTTGGCCTTTTTTTTAAACCTCTGAGGTGATAAAGAAACATACGGCCTACCTAATAGTAAGCGGTTACCGTAACTTATGAACGCCTGCAATACCAGGGGTGTAACATGCACGTTGCCGACCTTGAAGAAACTTCTTTACCCCCTTTTGAAGAACTCCCTGCTGTAGTCTCTTGGGAAATTCTCGGCAGGGAACTCATTCCATAACCTGAGTGTTCGTAGAAGAAAACATCTCTGAAACCGCGTTGTACGCTATTATTTAGGTTTTATTCAGGTAACGAATTTTTATTTTGGCTCTGGTTTTATCGGTATGTGTTATTTCTTATAACAATATCCTTACTTCTATTTAATTTTAAAAATGTAATGGAAAATAGTAAATGCCAATTAGATATAAATTACACCATGTATATTGCAGAATATACTGTGACGTCCATACTGCCTCTCATGCGTTACCATTAATAAGAACTATGGTGTTGCCTCTATACACTATAACTCTTCAAACCGAAACGAACTCACTTCACGGTAGAAGAAATAATGAGAAACATATAATTTCTCTCTAATACGAGGTTTGTCCGGAAAGTACGTATAAAAGTTTTTTAAAAATTTTATTTTACAATTATTCAGGTAAATCAATTTTATCCCCTTCAAAGTACTCCCCCTGTGACATAATGCACTTGTGCCAACGCCGTTTCCACTGTGAGAAGGCTCCTTGAAAGTCCTCTGGTTGTAGGTTTCTCAGCTGCCCCGTCGTAGCTTTTTTTATCTCATTTATGTCCCCCAAATGCCGCCCCCGAAGTACCAATTTGGTTTTTGGGAACAAGAAGAAGTCACACGGGGCCAAATCCGGCGAATAGGGGGGTGTTCGGTCACCGTAATGGAATTTTTACTCAAAAACTCACGGAACGATCTTGGCGCAAATTTTTTTCATTTGAAGTTCGTTTCTTAGAATTTCGTGGACCACGGTTTTGCCCAAATTAAGCTCTTCAGCCACCTGTCTGACCGTTAAACGACGGTCCCCATTAACACAAGTTCGAATTCTTTCCACGTTTTCGTCGGAATGTGAAGTGGAAGGACGTCCTGAACGTGGGTCATCTTGAACGCTTTCTCGGCCCTCTCTGAATCTTTTTAGCCACTTGTGGACGGTTGGTTCCTTCACAGCATCATCCCCATAAACTGTTCTGAGATCGGCAAAAATTTCACGGCCATTCTTGCCGAGTTTCGAGAGAAACTTGATTACGACGCGCTGCTCTTCAACGGAAGCGGGCTCCATGCCGACGGGGTTTCGTTAAGAGGTAACTTCACAGATGGCGTGACAAGCCAGTTCGCACCGCACGGCGGTCAGACCAGAACTGAAGCATTGTTACGGACATAAGGAAGGGGTCCTGCGCTTACCTGGCCTCCCCACTCCTCTTTCTCGCATTCCAGAACACTTATACGAACTTTCCGGACAGACCTCGTATACCCTCTATTAGACCAACATCTGCGTGATGCCTACTGGAAAACATGGTGATTTTTTTTTTTTATTTGCCACGATGAATCGACGGTTCTGACAGCATCCTCACCTATCTTTATTCACTGGTATGCCAGTGTGCACCGATAGCGAAAACGGGGTTATCGTTCCATTTTCACGCTATTAAAAAATAAGAACTATTATAGAAATGGTATCACTATTTAGGTACTGTGGAAAAAAATGGGGTAAAGCTCGGCTTTCATTTTATGATTGAAATAAAATTTCTCAATAACAATTTTATTATTGCTTGTTATTATTCACATAATACAAAATAAACTATGCACAATTATAAGACCACTGATGTCGTTCTATTAGACTTCATAAAATATTCTTAAATACAACTTGTTATCATTCACAACAGTTGTGTCGCAGATACAATGTATGTAACACATAAGTAACATTTACAGATGAAAATCAATATACAATAGCAGCAGTCTCCATGAACCCGTTGTGATGTTCTTGCGGCATTAAATTAATATTACATTCGTGGCCGAATATTCTAGATAAAATACTAAGTTTATAAGTAACTGTACAACCGGCAAATATTCGTAAATAGTTATAACATTATATTTACAAAAAAAAAAAAAAAACAAAACTAATAGGCATTTCATTTTTATCCGTCGATTCTATAAAGTTAAAAATTCAAATTAATGTTTCAAGAACTAGTATATTACATGTACAAATAGGGCCCGCGCAAACGATGGACTAACATATACGTATTATTTTTCCCTGTCGATCAAAACAGAATATGCAGGAATTGTGTTGCATAACGCATCAGCTATAGGTACAAGTCCCTTACGAATATGGAAATTTTTATCCCCCGCAGAATGTCAACAAAAATCCCTCGCTTGTGAAAGCCCTTATAAATCGCATTATACTAGCTTGCTTCTATATTCATAATTAAGATTCTTCTTATTATTTATTAATAAATAAAAAAAAATCATGACAGTACAAATTGAAACAGATTGCTTGAAAATTTTTTTCTCACTCATATAATGCTAAATCATTAATGGATTGTCTAAATTATAGGTATTTCATAGAAATGAAGGAAAAGTATAAGTTACGAGTATAAAGATATAATAATACGATATAAAGAAAAGAAGAAAGACGATTCATCTGGTAAGTATATTAAATCATGGAAAATGTTTTAATTTAGAAAATGACCTTTTACAACAAAGTGTTAAGATTTACAAAGTGTTTCTATTGCGAAGGAATTTTTATACTTAGTTAATTAGATAAATAGCTTATTTCATACCTAATGAATGGCAGTGAAACAGAAATACCGATAAAATTGTTTTGTTATTTTAACCAGTTGATACTTGTTTTTAATTTTTTGCGTAATAATTAATGTGCCTAAATCATATAATAAATAAAATGTCAAATTATATTCATAATTGTTAAGACAGTTATCGGTCCAATGGTGCACATTTATTTAATCAATTTTTAACATACAGTTAGAAATTTTTAAATAAATAAAATGGGATATATTGCATAGCGCCCTCTAGTCCAAAAATAAGCAAAGCTTGAACTATATATTTGAGTTCGCGACAAACGATTACAACTGTAAAAAATGAAACCTTCGAAGTAGACAGAGTAATATGTAAAACTGTTACTGCGTACCTCACATGAAAAAATTATGTACATGTTTGCCAATATGATTACAGTTTGTACTTTCAAAGTAACTATATATGCAAACTATAGCATATTATATTTAATGTTAAAATAGCATTATATAGTAAATTTGAATTTCAGAAGTAGGAAAAATTGATTATTTTTTACTTTTAAAATAAAAAATATAATATAGAGCGTACTTGTTTGAATGGCCTCAAAAGTTTAAGATTTACCAGGGGCATTACGCATGTTGACGAATATAAAAAAACCTCTTTACCTCTTTATTGAAGAACCCCATGCTGTAGTATTTTGGAAAAACCTCGACATGGAGCTCATTCTATAAAGTTATGGATCACAAACACGTTGGTGAGAGAAATAAACATTTTAAAAATCGCGATGTACGCGACCATCCAGGTTTTAAAATATGGGGGCAAACCCCCTGTCAATGGCAAGCTGTACGATGGTAGAAAGCGGACGTTGGGATTATATTAAATAATTTCAAAATCTCCCTTAAGACTTAAGGGTACGATACCGCTTCGAAGCCTGGGACCATCGACAATTCGTTTAAGCTGGTATATAGGTGCTCCCGCCCATAAGTGACAGCAATGTTGCACGTGCGGCCGGATTTGTGAATTGATTTATAGAACATTAGTCGTTGATCCGGCGTAAAGTATTGCTTCGCTCTATTAAGTACACCGAGTTTTTTTATTGCCAGCTTCACCTTTCTACGTGGTGAAACTGTACGTTACTAGAGATATCAATACCAAGGATCTCTTAGGGATGTTAAGGGACGTGCCCTGGAATTGTGGAACCACAGCAAATGGTTTTTTTTTAGCAGTGCACGCGTAAGCAGGGTTAAAATGTTCTGTTTTGTCGTCCCCAATCATAGATGCTAGGCAATGAGATTTCCTAATAGGTCGGCTTGAATTTAAGTAGACTAATAGAAACCAAGTAGATAGTATTATACTAAAAGGCCTATGTTACCAACAAAATTGATTGCAAATTGCAGTATACTATTATAAAATTTATGGTCAACTAAAATTAGAGAGTAATTACAAGCATTCATTCCCATCTATGGCTAATCGTCAAACGACCATCCCTGACTTTTTGTATTAAACCACCGAGTTTCTATCTTTGTTGATAGAAAATAATCTCATGAAATGAAAACAGTCGACTTTGATCGACACAATAATGTAACTCACCCCTAATTTTATATTACGAATTAAAAAGAATAAATAGTTAATTAAGTAAAAAAAAATCTATTCAATTAACAATTGTCACTTTGATATAAATTGTGAATTAAATTTTCGCCACCGTTGAACCAATATTTCGTCAGTGAAGTTCTAACAGTGCGTAAGTAAAATTGTATTTATAGTAACGTTGATACTTTACAGGGAAGCATAAAATAAATAAATAATATGTCTATTTATGTTTCATTAATTTTTTTAACAATAACTTTCAATATAAGTCTTAAAATACTTCATTTAAAGTAGAGATTTTCGATTAGTTCAGGTGATTCACACTGCTTTAACCGTCTAATCAAATGAGAACATGAAAACTGGTAAAAAATTACGCTCTGTTAGAACTACACTGATGATTTGTAATTTTCTAGTAATAATAAATCGCTAATATTTAATTAATATAAGTAATAAAATTATGCTGCTTCAAGATGAATTTGAACTATTATTACATAATAGAAGTCACTTGAAAAGGAACAAAATTGTTTTTTTATAATGAATATCAATATAATGCCCAGTTTGATTTTAAAATTCAATTACACTTATGTAATAAGTACATAATTATTAAATACATATATAAGAATTATACTAATGCTCTTGTAATGACTGCAGTCTATAATAGTGGCAAAAGCGTTCAGATTTTTGTGACTAAGAACAAAAGAATGACAGAAGCTTTAGTATACAACATTAAGTATGAATAGGAACAAAAAGAAATACAGGTTAATAGTCACTGACTGAACCACAGAATATAATAACAGTACATGAAATATAAACTTATATATTCAAAAAGGTTTAGTTATTGAGTATCTTTTATTTTCACTGGGAGTGACTTCATATACTTATAGCAGTTTATATATATGAATTATATTATTCTGAGATGGTCACATACTTGACGGACTTTTTCATTTCTATATATATATAAATTATCTTGACTCAATAAAGATTATGACAGACCTGAGGTCTGACGTTTTGATCGATAAAAAAAAAATTAAACTAGCCGAAAGCTACACCACACAAATCAAGTCACAACCGCTAATATGTGGAGCCAGTATGTCGACGTTGTATATGTAATCTCAATTCACTTAATCCTACGCAATTATTTACAAACCTTATATTACATGTTTATGATTAAAAAATCTCCAAAAGTTAAAAAATTGACAAACACATTTAACACTCTTATCCTTAACAAAGCGTATGGATTCATCATATTTACATGTACGTAAAAACAATGCGCGTATTGTTACATGCAAATAAGGGCACCGAAAAATAAGTACATAAAACTAGGGCGAAAATCAACGCCGTTATTTTTTTTTGTGCCGGACTACGATTGCATTGCAAAAAATATTACACTCCCACGGCTTTAAACTTCGAAATGTCCGCCATTTGTTAAAAATGGCTCACATAAGTCCGTGTGTACTACATTCAAAATTAACCTTGACTGTACACAAATAGGTCACCATTATATAAGGCGGAAAGTGATTTTTTGTTTATTCCTAATCTAAGAGATATTTACAATATGCACAGAGACTAAAGCGACACACAGTAGGCATGTAAAACTCCTTGGGCAGCCTTCATATTGCTTATACCTTTGAGTTTTGTGTCTATACCGTGCGGTTACATGTTTCTAATGAAGGATCACATTGAATTGCTTTAACAGATATGCCTAATGCAGGAACATGTGCAATGAATATTTATACTAATTTCGTTACAACCATCCATCATATTCCTATATTATTATAAATAAATAAAAATGACAATCATAACAGACTAGACATAACAGGACCGTCTGCAATTTCATAATTATTTCCATGCATCTGCTGTTTTGTTCCAAATATAAAGGCATATAATGAAAAGCCACTGATATAAATTTTCAACTCAAAGTTTACATTCCATAATCCATACACATACTTCCTTAATTTATGTAACTATCCAACATGAGATCTTTCTTAGTAAAACTATACTGACAAACCATTTGATGCCCAAGTACATTCATATTACGATTCCACTAAGTGTCCATTTTGATGAAGTTAAATAAATATTTGTGATGAGTTTCAGGGGGGGATATGACTCAGGTGAGAGGGCAGGAGCAAAGGGGAGGGTGGGGCGGCACAGCGCTATGGCTTGAATTTCACAAGTGGTATGTTCTTAGAATGCAGGCATTTGTCACACACCCACTCTGCATACACTTCTGCTGTAAGCAACTGGTAAGCTGGTTCCGTTAAGCCCGTACATCCTCTGGAAATGAAACAAATATCATTTAATGCAGGTCCTTAAAAGTATATAATAACATTTTTGTTTTTAAATAGTGAATATTGTGATTTTTATTTAACCACCCAGATTTAAGTTCTTGACAAAATTAAAATGGAAACAACACAGAAGAATAATCAAAAACACACAAAAATATAGTTAAAATGAGAGCCTTCTCTTTTTTAAAGTTGATTAAAAAGAGTTTAATTATAGTCAAAAGAAAAAATAAATTGTATGTGAAGTTTTAACTCATAAAAGATGATGTAAAAATAATAACTGAAATTTTTATTAAAAAAAAGTGCTGTGGTTTTAGGAAAAATATTATTTTAATACTCATAACTAGAAAAATGGATATATTTATTACAGATTTTAATATAAAAATAATATTTTTCAATCTCAAAATTTTTTAAGAGAACTAAAAACAAAATTAAAGGTCCATCAAGCACAGATATTATGAAGCATTATTTAACATAATTACTTCTAATTGAACAAAATGTCTCTACTGCATAGCAAATTAGAACATATTCATTTGTTCCTCAATATATTTTCTTAATTTATTTCAAGCATATGTTATATGTTGGTTGTGGTGTCACTACATATTATAAAACATAGTTCTCCACCATGTCTCTCTGTTTAAGTAGTGCATAAATGTAAATTAATATCATGTATAATGAGGAAAAATGATTACTTTTTTATTTGTTATGATTTAACTCAAAAATTACTCAACCAACTTTACTGAAAGCTACATCTCCTCTGAGTAACTTAGGCTATTTTATATTTTCTGTAAATAACCTAAAATAAATAACTATCAATTATAAATAAATAACTATTAATTATAATCAAATAACTTATTAATAATAAATAGTCTCTTAATCTTTTAATAATAAATGAAGTTATTCTTACCTATGAAACCAAAAGTTACATCCAGATTCACATAAGATTGCTTGATCATTATCATGCACCTCTTTGTGGCATACTCCACAAGGATATATGGGTGGTGCATTTGGATTTTGAGGATTGAAAACCATAGGTTGATCTGGTGGGTAAACTTTACCAGCACTCACAGGCATTGGTTTAGGTCCAAACATTCCCATGCCTTGACCCATTGGACCTACTCCTTGACCACCTGGACCTCCCATAGCCATACCGCTCATACCAGCTAAAGGTCCACAATTACCCATATTTCCTGGACCAGGACCCATTCCCATTGAACTATTTCCTCCCATCCCCATGGGACCACCATGACCCATATGACCGCCTGCATATGGAGGGCCGGGGCCCATAGATGTCATGGGTCCATTGCCACCCATAGGTCCACTTCCCATAGCTGATCCCATAGGACTGCCATGTCTCATTGGCCCACAGTGACCAGGACCCATTCCACCGCTTTGCATTGGGTTTGAAGACATAATAGAACTAGTAGGACCCATAGATCCATTTGAACAGCTCGGCCCCATAGGCCCATTCATTCGAGGAACATTCATCCCTGGACCTCCAGCACCCATTGGCCCATTCATGGGACCATTCATTGATCCAGCCCCAAGTGGACTATGCATTGGTGGCCCCATTGGACTATTACTCATATGGCTACCAGCCATTGAACCCATATTCATAGGACTGCCCATAGGGCCAGAAGACATAGGTGATCCCATTGGCATAGAATTCATAGGGCTCATTGGACTGCCCATTGATCTTGATGTGGGTCCCATTCCAGGCCCCATGTTATGATTACTCATACCCATATTAGGTCCTCCCATTGGAGACATACCACCCATATGACCCATTGGACTCATATTTCCCATTGGACTTATTCCTCCTCTAGGTGGCATTTGTTGATTCATAGGACTCATATTATGTGGCAGGGGACTCATGTGTCTCATTGGTGGTCCTCCCATATTGTGCATAGGGCCGACCATACCCATTGGTCCATTTTGACTCATCATGGGCCCATTGTGGCTCATCATAGGACCATTGTGTGAAACTGTAGATGGGGAATCATCAAAAGGGTTGGAAGCGACTATTGTATCCCCATAACCAGTAAGAGGAGGAGGCAGCAAGTCTTGTGCAGTAGGTGGTGGCTGTGGTGTCAATGCATTGTTTGCATTTGATGTTTTTCTTCGCTTTTTAGGGTTACTCGGCGCAGGAGCTGGCGGCGTTGGAGTATCCATTGGAGGTTTGAAGTCAGGAGGCCCCAGTCCAGGTCCTGGCAGCCTGTATGACGGCATTCCAGCCAGATTGTGACTCATTATGTTATTATTCAGTTTCAGCTCTAACAACCATTATGAAGAATGAAGATCGCGAGTTTAGAAAATAGATTCATTCATAAGGCACCGCATTGTCACGAAAAAGCGCAATAACGTGCCGGAAGACTGGCCGTATCTATTTCTGTAACAAAAAAATATAACATAAGAATTAAAGGCTTCGTAGTCGCGGCGAGGGATATTGTTAATGTACTAAAAATTATTTCATTAAAAATATACATAACAATGACGGTTACGAAGACAGGTATGAGCACTAAGTTTAGTAACCTGGCTATAATAAACGTAATAAATAATAGAGCAAGTATGGACCATAATTATTAATAAATAGTATATTTCGTCGAGTACATTGAAGAGAAATAAAAAAAACTTACTGCATTATCAATTTAGCATCGGAATTAGTGATAAATTTTTTGTCCTCTTCCAGACCCCAAGGCAGGCGTGCAACATATGACAAAATACTAAACAAAACCAAGTTTTATCGTCACTTTCTTGATATTTGTATAAAGGTTCGTGTTAGATTAATGTTTTTACACACATAAAGGACACTTATAAGAAATATTAGTAACACATCCAGTCCATTTTATTTACGACTCACAATATTACAAACAACACACGCCACATTCACGATGTATTTTTGTGAAGAAATCGCCACTAGGGGGCGTCCATAATTTTTTTAGGCATAGACGTTGGACTAAACAGTTTTATAAAAATCAAACATTATAACAATGTATGGACCAATAATATTTTTAATCATATAATTTTTACACATAAAAATTTACAAAAATACACTGTAATATAATAACATAAGTAGTTATTTGGATTAAATTTATAATGTATATATAATAAATGTAATAAATATAATGTTTTTATTCAGGGGGCTTACTATGAGCTTTTTAAGCAGGCCTTAAATTCAACTGTCCTGCTAAAACGTACTATGACCGCGTTATAGCAGGCCTGCTACAGGACTATTTAGACTAGTATTTCTAAACCGTTCACCTTTTTTTTTTATATGAACAATTCGTACCATGACGCCAACTTTGACAGCAACAAAACGTTTCTTACGCATCTCTAATGTCAAATAAAGCAATGTTGAAAAAGTTAGTTCTTGAGGAACTTTTTATAAATTGTTTTGATGTTTGTAGTGGTTTTGTAAGGATTTAATTTATTACTTGCTCTGTGGGAGACGTTCAGAGTTCAAGTGACCCTTCATTTTACGAATTAAGCCAGAATTTATAAATTTCAAGTGGTTTTAAGGTTCATATTTTTACACAAAAAACTCTTATTTTATCTATTTCTATTTTAGTTGCATCATAATCCAAGTTAAATTTTTTTGTAGATGTGCGACGAGTACGAATTGTTTGAATACTTGGAGAGTGAATACCGGATGGAGAGAAGAAATAAGCGTCGTCGGTTAAGGCAAATTAATGACCCTTTCGAATTGGAGGATAGAGAGTTTATAAATGAATATAGGTAGATACTTTACTGTTATTTATATTATACATTTATATCATATTCTACTTATAATAGTCGTTTTAGTTAATGGATAGTCTTGTATAGATAAAAACCCTTTGTTATTTTTTCTAAAAAAATTCATTATTAAACTTATTATAAACACAATCATAAGAAAAGATCACACAATTACAAATCTTAGAGACAGGTTTTATTTAATACCTATTTATTTACAACTTTCTTTTATTAGATTATCACCAGATTTGGTTAGAGATCTGTGTGAGGAGTTGGAGCCTAATTTAAAGACTCGACCTAAACAATCCAATGATTTAAGCATTGAAACAAAGGTAGTTGTGATTTATTATATATATTGTTTTCTACTGGTTCTTCTTTTCTCTAGTCTAGATCGTTAATAAATTAACTGTTTTGTTTTCAGGTGTTAACAGCAGTGTATTTATATGCACATGGGTCTTATCAGAAACCCACTGGTAAAGCTCAAAGTATTGCGCAGCAGACTGTCTCTTCTGTATTATCAGAGGTTACAGCTGCTTTAAATAATTTAGAAATCAGAAATAAATACATTAAATTTCCCCAAAATACTGCAGAACGTAATACAAATAAGTTAAGGTATTTTTTATATTTTTAAACCACACAAGAACACTTTCTGTTACAAGTGACCATGAATACCGCAGACAACTTACACAGAATGCCCTTTATTTTTTTTCCTTATTTACCTTTCAGATTTTATGAAAAATTTGGTATTCCTGGTGTGATTGGATGCATTGATTGTTCCCATATTGCAATAGTAAGACCCAATGAACATGAAGAAAGGTATTATTGCAGAAAAAATTATCATTCCCTAAATGTTCAATTGGTAATGTAAAATTTAATTATGATTTACATATTTTAAAATATTAAGTAGACTCCATTGCAGCCAAATTACCTGTGTTACCTAACAGAACTTAGTGGGGGGAAAGGGATTGTTAGTAATGGAGACTGAATGTCGACCTCCTCGCGGTTCTCCCTGGAAACTATCATGGTTAATTCCTGATGAATTCATCATGATGGGCTAACTGGCCTGTTTTCATTCTCATCTATCACCCTTCACTGGTGCTCCGCCAGCATATCCCGCTAGCGCAGGCGAGGTTACCATTCCAGTTTCGCCCATCAAAAAAAACACAACTTAGTAAACCCTGATAAAGATGTTTAAATGTTTATTACTCAGTAAATTAAATTTACTACTCTGATAGACCATATATAAGATCAACATAGGATATTTTTTATTTAATTCATGGTGGTAGGATTTGCCACTATGAATTAAAAAAAAGATTCATAAATTATATGCATAATGAAGCTAACTTAAGCTAACTATATTATATGCATAATGCATAATAAATAACTGCAGCTTCTTTTTTTTATTTTAATTAAAAAATAAAACATAAAACATAGTATGAGCTATATTGAAATAAAAGATACAGAATTTACATTGTATTGTATTGTATGTTAAAATGTTTATTGTACATAATTTAAATTAGGCATATTAAAAGATTTAATATAAAATGGTGGACTTAGCCCATTACATTTTAATTATAATCTTACTAACATAATAAAATTGTAACTTGACAATGTCTATACATGAAGATTTAAGAAAAATTGTATGAGAAGTTATAATAAGAACATTAGATGCTAAAACAATAATTTTGAAAAATGTTGTCTATAAATTTGTTCTGGTATCATGCAAAAACTACTGCATCAAATTGGATATTGTTTTCATAATGGTATTACTTATTCTATATTGTTATACAATTGTGATAAACAGCAAATTATATATTTTAGTTATTTTATATTTATTATATCAAATGATTTATAATTACAATATAAATATATAAAATAGTTTGTACAACAAAGCACTTATTCTGGCTATATTTGTTTTATTTTTTATTAGAAAATGGTGACATACATAAGAAATATAATAGTTTCATATCTACAATAATTAAACAGTAAATCATACTACACTATTGTTGTAACATGTACAGTAAAAGAGGTATTGATCTCTCATTTTTATACTTTATTATAATAAATTAGGAAACTACTTTTCGAATATAAAATTATTAGCAATAAATAATAATAAAAAAGTTAATCTTTTTCAGATTTGTAATGCTGATATGGATATAATCAGTGTTGATGCAAGTCATCCTGGTGCCAACCACGATTCTTTTATCTGGAATAACCACCCCCTTAGATCTCATTTAGAAAATTTGAGTGCATCAGAGGCTATATAGCTTTTAGGTAATATTAAAGAAATACAGTAATTATTTATGTGTGTACTAATATCATAAAGAAGAAAGATTTGGTTGTTTATAATGGATTAATTTAAAATCTACTCAACCGAGTTTAGAAAATTCTTTCTGCTATAGAAAAACAAATTGTCAATAAATAACATAGGCTATATATAATTTTTAAAAATTCTATCTACCCATGCGAAATCAGACTAGATCACTAATTTTATATAAAATCATAATTGTATTTAAATGTTTATATAATAATCATTGATTTTACAATGAGTAATGGTCTTTATTACAGGGGATTCCGGTTATCCATTAAGAAAAACTATGATGACGCCAATTTTGGAGGCAGCACCAGAATCACCAGAAGCTCATTACACTAAGCTACATGTGAAAGCGAGAAATACTATTGAGAGAACAATAGGTGTTTTAAAAGCTCGCTTTCGTTGTCTATTAGTTCACAGAGTGTTGCATTATCAACCTCAAATAGCTGGCTATATTACAAATGCGTGTATAATTTTGCACAATATTTGTAATGCAGCCGGTTTATCAATACCTGATCTGTCTGCAGAGGAGAACCAACAAGAGGCCTTAATGCAACCACCTGTAGTACCTTAAGACCCAGTAGGACGACAAAACCGTGAATTGCAAGTTGGTACTGCTACACGCCGGGATCTCGTTGCCCGTCTCTGGGCACTTCATCAGACACACTGAAAACAAATTATTTTGGTTTAGTAGATAAATTTAGTAATGTTGATAAATAACGGTAGCTTTAGGAAGTTAAAAATGTATGCAGTGTTGAAATATATATATGGGAATACCAATCATTGTTATATACAAACATATGTAGTACATATTATTTCACACCATATTCATATTCATAGATACAAAATCTTTACAACTGTACACTATTATGTTTTCAACAAAACTGAATTATCTCTTTTTCTATTACATATTACTTAAGTAGAATCTGTTTAACCATTTGGTTGTCGGTGTTGGTGTGCTTCTAGTTTGAAATTATTGTTTAAATAAATGAATGAAGATTATTTCTATTGTATTCTATTTTTGTTTGAAAAGATTAACATCTAATTTTTTTGCCTATATTTCTCAGCTAAAATTGTTTTCTAAATTAAGTGATATAAATTATAAAGTTATTATTCAAAATACATAATTAATTTATTTGAAAAAAAAATATACCATTCTATTCTTATTACTGACCTTGGGCATATCCTTTTCATTACATCCAACATTTCTTTGAGTATACCAACAGCCTGTTCTATAGAACGACTGTTGGCTAACTCTGCTTCTGCTCGTGACCTGGAAGTTGCCACCAACTGCTCCCTTGCCTCTGCAATGGACACGTGACGTCGTCGCAATCGACGCCTCCTTCTTGGTACTTCCCTTCCTTCAACAAATTGAGTAATGCCCGATGGGACATTGCTCTGCATATCAATGGATGATGTTGATGGTCTTGGTGATTCTATTCTTTCTGTCACCATAATATGGGCTGATGATGTCGATGGTACTTCTATGATCTGGGTTGTACCACTGTCGGTATTTGTACCAGTATCACTAGGTCTCGATACTGCAGTAGTAAGATCATCACTCTAAATAAAAAATTATTTTATATTAGGAGGCCTTTGCACAAAGAATTATAACTTTTATGTTTGAATTATTATTATTTCATAATAGTAATTAAGCATTTACAAATATTTAAGTGCATAATATAATTATCATTAAATACGTACATTTCCTTCTAAGTCAACATTTAACCAAACTGCCTCCTCACTTCTTCCTTCACTGGTGCTGTGTTGGGAAGGATTGTAAGCAGCAGGTTGCGGTTCCTACGAAACATAAATGAATATTGTCTCAATAAAGTGACATAACTATAAAATAATATATTAAACTTCTACATGTTGGCATGGGTACATTTGAGAGATATATTTTGTTTTCAGTACTTAACATTATATCAAACAAATAAGGATATAGGTATCTGAAATAAAATACATAGAATACTTACTTCTATCAGAATTGGTTGCATTTGTACACCAGGTAATCCAGAACCATAGTCAGCTCCTAAAATGGACAGGAACTTTATATCCATTTCTGACAATTCTTCATAAATTGATGGACCTCCTCCTGTCTGACTCGAGGCATCTCTCCTCAGGCGGTTTTTTCTTTTTATTTTAGCTTTGAGGTCCACCCAATACTAGAAGAAAAAAATTTTATAAAAAAGAGAAATAGGTATAAAAAGATGTTTAAGAGAATAAACCTTATTGGAACATACCTTAGACCATTCGGGGCCAGACTTAACAGCGCCTTCACCTACAGAATTCAATACAGATGCAACTCTTAACCACATCTGTTTCGAGTGTTCTCGGGCTTGAGCAGACTTGTTGTACCCAACTGCAATTTCCCTATGATCTTTAAGAAATTCCCATAAATTTTGCAGTTGGGTATATGTGACGCGCCGTCTGCTTTGTTGTGTTTCACTGCAATTCATATAATAATAAACACAAAAATATAAATAGACCTATAATATAACACACGTGGCTGCTAATATACAAAGATTTTTATTAAACTAACAATAAATAGTTACTCACGACATTATAGTTTTGAAGACCTTTAAGCACAAAGGATAGCCAAATACTGAAAGTAAAGTGCTACTCCCCAATCCATTGTTCACATTTAAACACTTTAGCAAGTTTGGATTTATTCAACTTTATTTTAAAACACTTCAAATTTAAAACTTTTTTTGCCACTTGAGTGACGACGGTTTCAAATTCTTAATACTGTTTATTAACTTGTAAAGTGATTTAAACTATAAAAACACTGGGTTTTTATATCGAGTTAACAAGAATTCATAATATTTATTATATCAAAATTGGTAATTATCATGAAATTTCTTGTTCAATATTCATGAAAATTTGGTAATAATTATTTAAGTGTTTGAATGTTCGCGGTAAAGTAATATTAGGCCAGACGACCAGAGACAATTTAAGCTATTCACTCGGTGGAAAACAATTTTTAAATAGTTCACCTTTAAAGGCGTCATAGTATGAATTTAAACAATAGTGTTTAAGGTCTACTTTTGAACTGCCCTGTATAAAGATGGTTTCTTATAAGCTGATGGTAAGCCTCCAGAAACTTAATATGAAAATAGTTTAATTGCAATGTGAACAACAAATTGTAATTAGCCTTTTCTAATTCCTTTATTATATATATTACATATATTAGGCTCCGCATACTGTTTATCAAACTATATGACCGTTTGCGAATCTTTATTTAATCTTTTGTCATGTGTCTGTGTATATCATAGATTTACCTCTTTATTCATAAAAAACGTTTTTATGAATAAGGAGGTAACTAAGAAAATATTCTAATTAGGTAATAATTTAGTTTAATATTGAAGTTGAACATAAAGAATGTTTAGTGCTATTTTTAACTAAGAACAAGGAATAACGTTGTTCTTAGATTTTTAATATATGACATTTGTTTTTGGATTTTCTCATAACTTGTCAAAACTAAACAATTTTTAAATTTGACATATGACGCTTGACAATACGTACTTGACATTAACTTAGCTATAATAAATTAAATTTTATTTATTTTTTAGGTTATATTACAAAATCTTTTGTCTTACTGATTTTGAAAATAGTTAACTATTCGGTCATTAATCATCAATAAAAAATATTAAAGTTGTATAGACAAAGGCCATAAAAGTATGGCATTGAATAGATTATTTGCTAACCTCGTATTAGCACCTACTATAATCAGTAGAAGAGCAGTCCATGTTACTGCATTTCATTTTGCTAGTAAACCCAATATTGAAAAACCTAAACCAGGATTTGGTAAAAGTTATAGACGAATTGTACATTTCACCGATGAATATACAGTGAAACCTTTAGAAGTAACCAATCTTGCTGGCAGAGATCCAGTTACAGGTTGGCTTATTTGTGTAATAATAATCATCAATATTATTTATTTATACAGGAAAACCATAACTACATTAGTATAAATGGAAATGGTCTAGGAATAGTCTATATAACTAGGCCACTAATAGGTTCTCATTTATAGTAACAAAATAGTTTATGAAAGCTTAATATTATTATGAAGCTATAATAATTATTGATTATTCATACACCTATTTATCACTCATGTTGATAAATAACAGTAACCAATTATTTTATTGTATTTTTATTAGGTCGAGTGGTTGCAAAAGGTATAGGTGGTGGCATCAAACACAAGTATCACTGGATAGACTGGGTCAGAGATGGTCCTACTGAGGGCCCACCACAAGAAGAGAAAGTTATACAGGTATATATGATGAAACTGGTAGAAAAACATTGCATTTGTAAATATCAAACATATCAGTAATTATTCAAGAGTTAGCATTCACTGTCTTAATTTTTCACCAAGGCTTATTAAATTAATAGATGTTTTCTAGTTCATCCTATATTGTATGTTCATTTATGTATCATCTTCATCCTCCTACTCTTTATGTATATGATATATTAATAGACAATGGAATGGAAGCTAAACCTATGTTATTGGTTACTTGCGGGTATATTCACTTGTGGGTGTTGTAAGAAGCGACTAAGGGAACTTTATAATTGAGCAATGGGCATCAGCGGTTGCCAACCAGCCTGCCAAGTGTGGCTACTACTGGCAAAACATTCCCAAAGAGGGAGGCCTATGTTCAGCAGTGGATAATTTAACAGCTGATATGATGTGGGTATACTCACAATAGTTGTGTGAAATCCTATTATTAATTAATGTGAAGTTTTGTGATAATACTTGGCCATAAGCACCCACACCAGGCTGTAACAAACTGCATATAGATATTTGTTTCTCAATAACTCTTAAATGGCAGAACAAATTTGAATTTAATTTGCTGATGAACTTTAATTTACAATTGTCACTAAATAATAACATAATAATTACAGTAGTTTCATTATTATTGTTATAAAATAAATAGTCATAAGTAAGAGTTTCTATTTAAGTGTTCTGGCTCTGGAATTGAGACTTGTAGTTTTTGTTGATTATTTTATAATCAAAGGTAATTTGAGGTCAAATTTCATTTTTATTATTATGAATGAATATAAAGTGACAGATAATACTGGATCTTTACCTGAATTAATTATAACCCACATAATCGCAATGTTTCTTGCTAATATGTGTTTTTTACAAAATCATACAATACAAAAGAGTAAAGACAAAAATTGTGTTACATTATTACTATATTTAAAACTCTTAAAATATCACCAAAGTATCTTTAATAATTTTACAAAATAATCAAATTTGACAAGTTTCGAATCTAGTATTTTGTGTCCAATTTTGTTTATGTAATATAAACCTTAAAGTAATATTTTATGAAATCAATTAAGTATTTATTTAATACTATGTTTTCTAATATTTTTTCAGATAATGGAGGATGGGTGTAGAACAGCTCATATTGCTTTAGTTGCAGTTGGCGAAAAACTTAAATATATATTAGCAACAGAAAACATGAAACCAGGACAAATTCTAAAGTCCTCTAGAGAACTGCCTAGGATACCAGGTATAATTATCTTTTCCCTTCTCATAGTTTATTAAAAAAAATCAAAGCTTATAAATATCACACTCTTAATACAAAACTAATCTAACTTAAAATGGACAATGTCTCAACTGGATCTGTTATTAGACAAAATGTGAAAATTTACATTATTTTTCAGTACGAGCAAATGAGGGTGATGCTTATATATTGGGTGCTTTACCTGCTGGTACACTGGTACATTGTATTGAAAAGGAACCAGGTAATTTGTGAAATTACTTATAATCTGAAAACATGTTACTTCTGTTATATTTAATTTGTATAATAATTGTATAAAAGAGTGACAAGTAGATTAATCGCAACAGATGGAAAAAGCCTTTACTAAAAGAAACCAGAGGCAAATTGTGAAATGACTTTACATTCTTCCTGACTGTACTGCACAATTGTGAATTGTGTAGTACAGCCATGTAATGATATAATTTTCTGACAATTTTCCATTGTGGTAAATATAAGATGACGTGCATATTTTACCAACAACATTAGAAACCAACATGGTAGGAGAACAAACCCAACAATGTCACTCGGATTTGGTTTGTTATCAGTGTTATCTATCATCGAAGAGTTAATTAGTAATTAAAAGTGACTCACAGTCAATATAATTTAATATCACGAAATTGAGATAATGATTTTCTATGGTTATTTTAGGACAAGGGGGACTATACATCCATGCTGCAGGAACCTTTGGAACGATACTGCGGAAACAAGATGATAGGGTCATTGTTCAGATGCCCTCCAAGAGACAGTTCAGTTTTAATCAATATTGTATGGCAGTCGTTGGTGAGTGACACTAAAATTTATTTAGTTCTTTTCATTATGTAATGAACATTTAAAACATGTTATACTTCAATATTTTTTTTAATGGATGATAATGGATTGGTAACCCCACCCGCGCTATCGGTATACACCGGTAGGGCACCAGTGAAGGATGATAGGTGAGGATGAAGTAGGTCAGTTAGCCCATCGTGACAAATTCAACAAGAATTGTTCACGATGGTTTCCAGGGGGAACCACGTGGAGGTCGACCTAATAAGGCATATTGCTAGCAATGGGGCTGTCAAACTATACTTCAATGTTGCTCATGTCAGTCAATATACCAATCATTAAAAAAAAATATAAGTTCACATTACAAGTCGTGTTTCGAACCGAAATTTCTTGCATTAAAATGATAAGTGGATCAATAGATATGTAAATTGAGGTGATTTTTATTATATAACAAATTAACAACAAAATTTATAAAATTTTAATGATTCTTTCACAGTTCTAATATAAGTTCAAGTACATATTTAATTTGGTTTCAAAATATCAAATGGCCCTTTATAAATGGTAGACTTGCATCTGCTACTTCTATTACATTTCATTTACGTCAGTCGACTTATCCAATTAGATACCAGAATCTAATAACACTGCGACAGGAGAGTATCGCTCAAAGTAGAATAATAACAAGTGTCTCCGTTAACGATTTCATACATCATCGTATGTTTGAATATACGCCTAAATCTTGTTAGGACGCTTAAGTGTTTTTAATTATTTTAACGAATTATATTAATAACTATCTTTTATCAGCAACTTCGTCCGCTTATCTGGGATATGTTTATTGACTCGGATAAAATGTAGCCTATTTATTTCTCCATTTCATTTAGTATATATATACGAAACTTCGTAGTGATTAATTAAGTCGTTAAAGTGCTACAAGTAACAAACAAACGTTCAAATAGTCATTTATAATATATTTTTTTTTATACGACTTATAATGGCAAACAAGCTGACGGCCCATCTGATGGAAAGTGGTAACCGTCGCCTATAGACATGGGCAGTATCATGGACATAACAGTACACACACATACTGTTTCGCCTATGATACCCCCATGCGTTGCCATTCCTGAGGTGTGTTCAACGTTTGTGTTCAATATTAATTATAGGTTTTGCATTGTAGGTCGTCTGTCTAATGTGGATCATGGTGATACCCCTATTGGATCACCTCAGCGGAATAGATGGCTTGGTAACAGGCCACGGTCTGGTCTCTGGAAGCGCAAGGACGGCCGACACGGCAGAAAGATTAAGCCACCGAAACCAGTCAAACTGATTACAAATCCTGAGAAACACCCACTTCCACCTATACAAATGACGATGAACCCCTAATTGTTAATTTAAAATAGTTCAGTTTTATGTTGTAATATATACAGTAATATAGAATGTAAAATTATTTGTGTATTTGTTATAAGTACCCGAAATAATAATCATGGTATAAATTTAAGACACTGCGTCGCTTTCTGATGGTCATGGGTTCAGTCCTCTCATAGTACATGTTATTTTTAAATGGATGATAATAGAATGGTAACTGCATACAAGAATAATACCACCGCTCGCAGAGCACCAGTTAGTGATGATAAGTGAGGATGAAAGCAGGTCAGTTAGCCTATGCCCATCGTAACAAATTCATCAAGAATTAAACATAATGGTTTCCAAGGAGGATCACACAGAAGCTGACCCGAAGGGGGTATATTGCTTACAGTGGGGTCGCTGGTCTCCATTACAAATAATCCTATTTCTCCTCACAATATTTTTTCGTACTGGTCTACGTATTTTCTATGTGTATACTTAAAAAAAAATTAAAATTATGTCATGTCTATCAGTTATCTTGTACCCAATTCTGGTCTGGTCGACTTAGAGAGAGGATTTGTAATACTACGCTATTATTCATTATCGTCGTCATCAGAAAATGTCAATATCTGCAAAAGAGATAAGTAAAATTAATACCTGAATAAAGACTAGAAAGGTTTTCCTTTGTCATATAACATATGTGAGATAGGGCCAATTCGATATAACAATTTTTTGGAATTAAAGTGATTTTCTAAAATTTTTATAATATAAAATAAAGCAATAGTGAATATTTGTACATAAGATTGATGCTCATCTCATATCATTGAATTGAAAATATGCTCAAAAAAAAAACTATAAAACTTACATCGGTCATTTCTGCAGACAATTGTAATTCTGTTAATCCAGTTACTTCTTCCAAATATTTTCCACTATTGAATACATTGAACAAGAACTCCATTCCCGCTTCTTTGTACTTGTTTAAAACATTATCAGAACAGGCTATGCACTGTTTGAATTTCCCGCATGTTGGCACTACTGTTTGGTATGAATGGAGAAATCCTCTGATAGAGTGTGGTACGGGGCCCAAAACACCTTGCATATCTGATGATATGGTGTCAATTTCTTGATTCAAGTTATATATCGCTGGTGCTTCTACCCTGTAAAAATATGTTTAAAATAATAAATAAATAAAATAACTTATAATAATAATAAATTATTTTATTTATTTATTCGTTAGTACAAATATGTGTACGTGGCGGACTTAATGCTAAAAGTATTCTCTCCCAGTCAACCATAGAGAAGTGTCAGAATATTCGAATGCGGTACTACTAATTATTGATATACATACATACTAAAATTACATATATCTTTTTGATAAGGAATATACTTGATCCTCTGCTTTGGCTACGCGTAATGAGTATCATTATGGGCGGCACAGTATTTTTGAAGCATGGATAATATAATTCCTTGAGATTCAACATTTAATATTTTCAATCATCAACTTCTTTAGAAATAAAAAAAAAGCCAATACATATCCCAAGTCCATAATACATGAACATACATACAGTTAATACAAAATATTATTAGAGAATAAACAATGTATTTTAAAACAAAAAAAAAAATGCAATAAGATTACCTTAGAGGATGCTGCAACAATCCAACTAGAATTTCCACAGCAAGCGCCCCGGCTATTGCCGCCACGCCTGGCCGTGTTACGGTGCATTGTTGGTCAAGAGTGCGATCTTTAAGGGACTGAAAATATACGTTTATGTAAATGTAACCGTACCTAACTTTAATTAAATTCGGAAGCAAAGAGCGAAATAATTTTAGCTTTTGAAACACACAAAATAGTCATTCCTATTGTTAAATAATAATAATAGTGATATATACTTTTTAAATTCGAGGATGCCCAACTAGTTTAGAAATCAATAGGACACAGCCGTGAACCGTGCTTATGAATAAGGGCTCCTATTGACTTCGAAACTAATCGGGCATCCCCGAACATACAATGTGAGTAAAGCCAATATAAATAATTACAAATTATATTTCCGTTTAACAACTGAAATATGTTGTTATGTTTTGGTTAAAAGGCTAAAAAATTCTGTGTAATCTGTGAGACAAGAAACAACACTTGCATTCTGGAGTGTCAATACATTGTACATGAAAGAACTTTTCGCCAATTATATCAGGGAGGATTTTTTTTATACAACTTAGAATGGGAAACAAGCTAATGGCCCACCTGATGGAAAGTGGTAACCGTCGCCTATAGACATGAACAGTACCATGAACATAACAGAGTATACTGTTTCGCCCATGATACCCCCCATGCATTTCCATTCCTGAGGACTTAGGTGTTATTCCTCTGTACCCAGTAAATTCACGCTATATCCCACCCTTCAAACCAAAACACAGCCATGCAAACACAACTGCTTCACGGTCGAAACACGAATGAGACAGAGGTACCCAAGCAATCGACTTTTGTACATAGTCTCCCTCTGGTTGTTAGAACATGTATATATATACAGTAAGGGGGGCTATTGATACCTTATTCTTGATGAAACTATCGTTTATTCTTGATGAATTCGTCACGATTAGCCAACTATTTTCATCCTCACCTATCATACTTCAATGATGCTCCGTTAGCATACACCGATACCTAGAGCAGACGGGATTACAACTCTATAATGATCTATTAAAAAAATAAATCTATCTAACCCCCAACTTGTATAATACCATAAACTAGAGTAGTGTTACGTACATTCCCTGGAGCAGTGACGTCATTACAGAAATAGCAACCCAGTTGTCCACCTGCTATGTGTGTGGCATTGACGAGTGTCGCGCCCTCTGATGGCGTGCCACCTATTCCATGTCTCATCACTAAGTAACTATCGAAACCCAACGCTGCATTGATTACTATCTGAGGGAAGCATATATATAAATGTAAATGATACATTCAATTAATGAACATCAAGTGCACCAATCTGCGAAGATTTATATTGAAATAAATTGGCAGAGAGGCTTTTTTTTTATACAACTTAGAATGGCAAACAAGCTGACGGCCCACCTGATAGAAAGTGGTAACCGTCGCCTATAGACATGAGCAGTATCATGGACATAACAGAGTATGTTTCGCCCATGATACCCCCATGCGTTGCCATTCCTGAGGACTCAGGTGTTATTCCTCTGTACCCAGTAAATTCACGTAAATTAATGATAATTCTTATCATTATAAACCTTAAATGTATTAGAAGTTTAGTTTATATTTAACATATAAAACATAATAAAGATTTCGTCAATTATTGTAGAATTCGTCACGAGAAGCCAACTAACCTGCTTCACTTTATCCTCACCTATCATCACTCAATGGTGCCCTGCCTACATATCTTTAAAAAAATTATAACATTTTCTCTCCTAATGAAAAAAAAAAAAAACCCTAATGACTCAAAAATAAGTAATTGCTTTTATTAAATTGATTCTTGGTAGACATATTGGTAGTTTTATTATTTTATGCCAAATTTGGATACAATGACTTTACTTTTATCTGTAGGGAACTGTTCTAATATATTTCTAACCTTTCCATAATGTGCTGCGACGAGTGTAGGCAACCATCTTGCCTCTCTAGTATCGAGTAACAAAAATATCACATCGTGATCTGCGATAGCTTCAGTAATAGTCTTGATATTGGATATAGTTTCGGCCTTAAGAGATTCTCCAATAGGATGACCAGGCATTGGTATATGAGCTACTAAACCCTTGGCAGTCTGTAAAATAAAACTATAAGTGATTAACAACAAAATTACTTGACTTAAAATTAATTTCAGTATAATTTCAGGCTGAGTAATTTTATATATTATATATATATATATATATATATATATATATATATATATATATATATATATATATATATATATATCTAAATTAATTCATCTAGATTTACAAATAAGGTAATGTATTATAAAGTAATATAATCCCAGCACAGCCATAAAGCAGCGCGTTGTAAATACAGTGATTTAATTTATATTATTTCATTGCCGTTAACTGTCCACTGCTGGACATAAGCCTTCCCCTAAAGGGAAGTTTTGCCAGTAGTTGCCACGCTTAGTAGGCGAGTTGGCAACCGCAGTTAGGCTTTTAGAGGAACATACCCATCCCTCACTTAAATTGACAAATTTGATGATTTGATATTCATAATACATACTTACTACAGTAGGTAGTATATTTTTAAGATTGTCGGCCGCTGCTTCAGCTTTCTTACGTCCTCCATTTAGACAATCTTGATAATTGAAGAGTACTTGTCGCGTCGGATTTGAGTACGACACTTTACCGTTGTCAATAAATGTTATATGACGAAATCCCCAAGCCTGAAGAAAATATGTCAATTAATATAATCATCAATATGATACGATTACTGTACGCAGTAGTCAGCATCATTTAAATTTTAGATAAAATTTTTGTTATGTTGCTTAATTTTTGTTCCTTTTTTTTGTAATTGCGTGCGAGGCGGCCTTTAATTGAGGCAGCATTTTAAAATGTAACCTTATTATAATGTATTTTAAGTAGATATAAACGTATGCTTTGTTGGTTATCTTTAAATAAATAAATAAAAGAACAAAATATTTTTTTTTAATAATATTTGTAATAGCTAATTCAGTAAGCTGGTAACTAAATATCGCAAAAATATTAACTTAAAATTTTGTCGGGAGACTTTTTTATTGTCAAAGGCGACGACTGCGAAATAATTTTGGGAAATTGTGAACACAAATAACAATACTATAGGAATATACTGGAAGGAATATGCAGGATAATTCTTTGGTCCCACTTACGCCTTGGCGTGTGATCAGTGTTTGATAATCTATATTTTAGTTTGAAATAAATAGCTCCAACAAAATTACCTTGTACCTCTATTGTGGACGTATACTACGCAATCCAATACTGATTATTGCAAAAGGTACAATCTACTCAAGACCGGGTAGATGAAGACATTATATTTTAAAAGGGTAACAGTTATATCAATGATATATTATGAGACCAAAAGAGTATTGCTATGTATATATTCATGTACTGTTCATGTCTATAGGCGACGGTTACCACTTTCCATAAAGTGAGCCATCAGCTTGCTTGCCATTCTAAATTGCATAAAAAAAAGTATAAAAAACGATAAATACTTACCAACAGATTACGAGCCACATGACATCCAAGCGTACCAGCACCCAATAATAAACATTTAGTACTCTTCATCACCTCTACATCTATATTAGGTACTAAACGCCATTTCATTAGTTTGATGTTCAAATCTGATGACGTATCAGCTAAACTGAAAAATATTTAAAGATAAATCAGTTTAGCAAAAGCTGAATAATTTAAATTAAACATAATTATATAGAAACTATTCAAGTTATAGTTTACTGCAGGCATATCCAGCTCTGAAAAAAAGTTGTGAAAATCACTCACGATATAGTGCATTCCTATAAAGATGTTTACATATATATGATATATAGGAATGCTCCTATAAATATGTTTACAAAAATATATGACGACCTGCCCAAGATTCTTTACAGTGTATAGTACCACGTATGCAAAGCCATGGTGCGGACACTAATAAATTAATAAACCTGTAAGATATTAGTTTGTTCAAGTTAGATTACCTATGTTTACAAACAGTGCAAATTAAACTACCAACCTCAGCGCCATAATCTGCTACAGCACCAAAAGGAAGCCATCATAAATCTATTAGGATTGTGGGTATGCCTATCATACCACACAATCATCATCAAGATTGTGTGAGGATCACCTTGGATTTTTAATAATAGGAATAACAGGAACTAATACAATTTGTAATATTTGCATTTTGACATATTTCATTCATACATTATTTAAAAGTAGCTACAAATAAAGACTTTTAAAAACTTTGCATTGGATATCAATAATTCATATGAAAATATACATTTTGAGAACTTTCCTAGACAACCGTCAATTAGATATATTGCAGAACATTTAGAAAAGCAATTGTTTAAGAAATGTATAATTAAATATATATTTGAAATGACCATTCTATGACCTTTAATTTAATCTTCATTTCTAATTACGATTTTCCACAAAAAATATTGCAAATTTCTCAACAAATAAAAAAACTCACACTACAGGATCCATTGACGCTGACATATTAGCCAGTTTAGGGCCAAAATTGCCTTTATCATTTCTCTCCCATCCAACCCAACCTGCATTCTCTGCTGATTGAATATCCTAAACACACATTTTAATCTTATTAAATATAAAATATATGATACAGAAAACAAATGCATTACTTTTAAAATATTATTCAAAGTCAAAAGAAAGTAGTTTTTAAAGACTAATATAAAATCTACATGATAGAATTAAAATACATATTAAACAAAAAAAACTAATATAATAATAAAAATGAGTTTCAAACATTTTTTTTGTAAATAAGCTTCATTATAAAGGAATACTGTTTTGTTTTCTTTAATTAAATGAAAAAAAAAATGTTACAAACATATACATAAATTAATACAGAACATAACAATTACCTGAGAAATGTAGATAGAATAAACAAGACTGTTTGCAATTTCATATTTAACATTGCACCTCAAACCAATGACTTGAATATTTTTCCCAGAAAGATTTGTGCAATGATCAAGTAAAGCTGCTAAGAAAATTCTTAAAGGCCACCCAGGATTATCGGTGTTACTTGGATCAGCAAACACAAAATACACATCTGATAAATCAAGACTTAATTCATTGCAGTTTGGTTGTAAAATATTTGACAATGGAATTACTGACAACTTATCATCACTTTTGGTAACTATGAAGAATGATTTTTGACTTGAATCTAATGAATTGTACCCTTGGACTAATAATTGAAGTTGATCGAAACTGAACTGAGTTGTTATCAATTTTGCTTTTTCATTTAAATAGACTGTGGGCTGACTAGGAGTGGGAAATGCAAACCAGTAGTAGTAATGAAATTTCTTGAGATCCTGCAAGACAAAAATTTATTTTATATAATATTATGTATAATGTGTCAACAAACATTAATATCTTTAATAAAAATTATCAAATTAAAAATAAAATTTATTTTTTATTTTCACCATAAAACCAAAACAAAAAAAAAAACAAGTATACCAAAAACCACAGAGGTTAGTCTGGAATAGCATATTATTGTATTTTGCTTATGAATACAATAATATGAATATAAATTCATTAAAATTATGTAAAAGATGCAAAAGCTCATACATTAGTAAAACTTTAGTAAATCATAAGATTTACAAACATGAAATGGTAAATATAAGGCTTTTATAGAAAAAAAAAAAGATAATTTTTAGGCTATAACTTGCTAATTTAACCTAAAATTGACCATATATTGCATAACTTTTAGTAACATATAAATATAAATATACCATGTTATTGTAACATAATAATATTAAATAATAATACATAATGAAGTGACACAAAAATATAAAAACTGATATATGAACAATACTTACAGCGAATGAAAGAACAACAAAGTTTAACAAAATATTTGGCATATTAATCCATGTCTTTTTCTTTACATCTGCCCAAATTGTTTTACCAATAGTGTTCAATAATATAGCTTTGTCAATATTCTTAAATTCTTCTATTGTGTTTTTATTCATTATAATTCCTCTCACATTTTCATAAAATTGTTCTCTTTGAGGTGAGCTTAAAATAAAAATATTTATTTTTATGGGGCTTTATAAAAGATAAAATAAACAGTTATATACAGAATTATAAAACTGCCATACAGTCATAATAACTGTCTCTTCAAGTTATCTTCAAGCCTGACATTATGAGAGCAGGATGGTACTGCTCATCCCTTGTTCTCCCTTAGTCAGCTCTTATGACCCATTCTATGCTGACACTCAAGGTGATGTTTAATAATTCTGAATTTATTTGCACATATTGACAATATATATAAGAATTATTGTTATTAATAATTTGTATGATAAATATTTAATCATAACTTTACTTGGAGTGTTTATTATGTACAATGGTAGACAGTAGATTTTATTGGAATTTACCATAATGATTTTTATAAAAACTTTAGAGATTGAACTGATGAAGTATATTGCTAACAATGGAGATTAGCAACTACTTTGTCTTTTAGAGGGTAGACAGTGCAAATTATAACAAACCTGTTGAACGATGTGCCGTCCACTTCAAACACGGAGCCAATATCCTCTCTGTACGTGAAACGCCCAAAAAGTTGTTTTGTGGTGTCGTTCAATTTGTCTACATCAAGTTTCATCTCTGTCAGGGTATGCCAGAATGAAGGATGCACAAACGACATAAAGGGCACGTATTGTATAATATCTTTCCCATTTTTACTAGCCATATCAACAAGAATGATTTTTGCAATATTCAATATAGGTATGGCTTGTTTACAAACAATATATAAATATTAAAAATGAAAGTTAAACACCTGAATTTCATTCACAGATAAATATTTATTTTTGTTTGAAATTAACACAGCTGAGCTGTCAAATGTCTAAAGACAACCCGAAAGTTTGACATTTTTGGCACAGACATATCAAATTGTCAATGTTAATAGCATTGCTCAGAGGCCTGCAATACTTAGAACGCGATTGTTAGAATGACGTTTTTCTAAGATACTATGTTACCAAACTGTAAATAATTTCGTCATGGCTGATCGTGGCCGTCTTAAATAGAAGTCATGATAGTTAGAGTCAACAAGGAATTACATAGAAGGAATCTATAATATAAAAATTAATCGCTGAATGTGTTGCTAAACGCAAACCTTAAGAACAGCTTGACCGATTTCGCTAATTATTTTTTTGGAATATTCCTTGATGTACGAGGATGGTTCTTACGCAGAGAAAAATTTTAAAATTGCCTAAAAAAGTCTAAAAAGAACATCTATCTATACTCCCATACAAACAATTAGTAATAATACTTATGAGTCAATTTGAACTTTAATACCATACCATAAAGTTCAAGTGTTAGTGGAGAGATTCTGGGAAGGCAAAATGCGTGACGCAAAACGTCAATTGCGTGACGTGACACAGCGTGTTTTATAATTTTTATTGTTTTATTTTTTGCTGGGTGAAAACGGTATGGTAACCCCGTCTGCGCTAACGGGATACGCTGGCGGACCACCAATGAAGGGAGATAGATGAGAATGAAAACAGGCCAGTTAGCCCATTATGATGAATTCATCAGAAATTAACCATGATAGTTTCCAGGGAGAACCGCGATGAGGTCGACCTGGTTGGGTAAATTGCTAGCAATAGGATTCTCAGTCTTCATTACTAACAATCCCTTTCCCCCCTAATTTTTATTGTTTGACATAATGTAATTGTTGATTTATTAACTTTATTTTCTGTTTTTTATTTTACTAGCTGATCTGGGGTCTGTAATAGCAGAATAAGTATTAAAAAAAAGTAAAAAAAAAATATTAAAGCATCAACTGTTAGGCGGTACAAAGTTCAGTCGGCTAGTGATAAAATAAAAGCTCAATCATATGGTTGCCTCCTTTCTTTTTATGTAAATGTAAATAGCATAAAGATACACCATCAGTTGCTATTTTTCTCAATTCATAGCAAGCTAGTGTAAAGAAAATGTTATATGGCCGTATAACCCTACCAAATTCAAATACAATCTACTTGCATACTTTTTACATAAACTGTGTCGAATATATATCTAATAATGTAAAATTTGTTATTGAAATATCAATATGAACAAAAATTTCACATATATATTTTCTAACACAGTTTTGAGGTAACTAATTTAAAAAATATAATCGAATTAAGAACTTCCTCTTTATGAAGTTAGTCGAAATAAGTTTTTAACTTTTTTCAACCAAGTTCAAAAAAAGAGGAGGACTCGTGAACATACATATTAATAAATAGTAGAATGTTTACTAGAGACATTGAAAATATTTGAAATTAGTTTAAAAAACTAAATCGTGTACATACAAATTATAACGTAGGGATTATTTGCGTTGTGATACAAGTATATTTTGCTTCGGAACAATTACATATGTACATTGGTTTTTTGCTTCGTAATGAAAGGGTAATTTTAATTGACAAAAAATAATAAACCGTATTAATTATAAAAAGAATTATGAAAATCAATTGAGTTACAAAATAAAATTGAAAAAAAAAAAACTTTTGAAAGTTCTTTAAATAACAGAGATTCGTACCTTGTCCTTACATACAAGTATATGAAATGGACACGTTCTGGCCGTTGTCCATGAAACAGATCATATTTTGATATGATTTATAAACAAAACCATATCAAAATATGCGAAATGTCAGTTATTAACAAAAAGAGTCCTATTCGTGTCAATGGCGTACTTTGTTTTTCAATTTATTACATAATAAGTTTATTTTCATGTAGGTGCGTATTTCTAGACTCGTGAAATCGAAATTACAGTGACTGCTATATATAAAGGTAAAAAATTGCGATCACTTATATACTTATTTTTAGTATTTAGAGCATTTGACAAACATTAAACACTCCTTAAAGAGCATGCTAACGATTTAGATTTCCTACTGTGGATGTATATATTTTTATCGTTTGTATTAACTAGTTATCAACTTAGTTATAGTTATCATCATCTGGCAAAAAAAAAAAATTACTTTCTAGTAAAGTTTTACCTTTTGCTGTCTTATATTGTGACGATAGTATTATGCTGTGACGTGCTACGGTCATTTATAAAAGTATTCAAGAACCGAAACCTGTTTAAACATAAAGAAAACTTCTTGCAACTTTTTCTAATTTTTTGTTGAATTGTTTTAGACTATAATTGAAATTATCGGGATATGGCAATAAATTCCTTAGAAATATGTAACAAGATTAAACCCAAATATTCCGATTCTATAAATAGTTTCAATAGTAGTAATTCGGTTTCAAATATCACCAAAATTACGGTTACCACAGAAGACAATATTAGCGCTTCTAGTAAATGTAAAAAATCGAAGAATCAATATTCCAAATCACCTTATCTCAAAGGCGACAAAGTGCAACTGCTATCTAGAGTAACGGAAAAGAGGCTTATTCACAAACTAGAGCCAAATTACGTTTCTTCTTTTCCATTAGCTGCTACTATTTACAGAGTGAATTCTGATGAAATCAGACCACTAAAACGAAGCAATAAAAAAAATAAGAAGTCTGTGCTAACCCTTCCAAATGAACAGTCTCGTTTACCCGAAACGTGTACTGTGAGTGAAATGAATGACTCAGAATATTGTAACAGAGATGACAAAAATAAAAAAACAATAAAGAAAAAGCGTACACCTCTACTAAATAAAAGAAAATCTCGAAAAAATAATTTTGAATTCTATGATAGAGATGCTCGATATTGCTCACAGATGAATATTGATTTAGATTGCAGTTCTAGTGATATACTTAATCAATTTAACGGTGATGGAAGAAAACTTTCTAAGAAATCAAGTGTTGCGTTCAAACCTTTAATTAAGAATGAATGTAATGCCCATGATGTGTGGACAGTACTTAGAAATATAAATAGGTTTCAGTTTAGACCCTCGCCGCCCATGTCAAATGACAGCAACCGCTCACCAAAAAAGAAAAAATATATAAATAGAAGACGCAATAATCGCAAAGATGCACGGTATGTATAAGTATTTTCAAATAATCATAATTGAATAATTCTCCATTATAATTTATATTTTAATTTACCTATTTTAGAGTTATTGAAACTTGCCGCACAGAAGAAATTGCATATATATCTAGCTACGATATTGATAGCAAATCTGCAACGAATTTTTCACCACTGTCCAGTTGTGATCGTGTTACGGTAATAGATAAACAAGGCGAATTTAGTAAAATCGGCAAAGAATTTGAAAACAAAATTGATAAATTACAGAACACAGTAACACCTACAAATAATATGAAAAATCGTAATCTATTAAGAAATAACATTTTTGGTACAAAAAGTATGAAGGGTAAGGAAAAAGAAAATAAAATTAGTAATCAACTGGTACCTATAGGTATATATAATGGTGTCGAAACACATATAGACAATTTAAAACTAAATGTCAGCCAAGACCACAAAGTAGCACTTGGTACCGAAATTAATATGGCTACAGATAATTCGATGTCATATAATTCTGATCAATTATCTTTGTATGTAAGTGCAAATAATACCAATAATTTAAATAACACGAAAAAAAATAAACAGAAAACTCATAAATCTGTTGAACTTGTGGACAGTTTTATGTATTCTGAACATACGGGCTCGAGCAAAGCAGGCCTTCATAGCACTGTCGATTATAGAAGAGGTATAGTATAAAAATCATTATTTGTGTTCCACGTTATAGAAGATTGTAAAGGTGTTTGGATATTTATTTATACTTTATTGCACAATAAAGTATAGATAAATATAATAATACATAAAAAATGACAGAGGTAAGCGAATGTATAAAGGCGAGTTTAATTCTACAAGAGTTCGCTTTCAGCATAATCCAAAGTGGAAAAGAGCATGAATGTCATATATGTTTATTACTTTATCACGTTAAAAAAATTATATAATCTGTTTATTTAATGCACGAGTTCAGTTCTATTTCTTATACTGTGCTATTACCAAATTATATACCTTCTAACTATAATCTAAGCTTCTAAGATCTAATTGTATAATTGGTAGGTATACATCGTACATACCATGTCAAGGTTTCGAATCAGTACTTATATACAAATAGGTGAAAAATATTACAATAAATGCATTTTGTGAAATTTCTCTTCACATTTATACCTTACAGATAAAAATAAGTTAGACAAAGTATCATCTGATGAATCAAGCCACGACACAAAAGCGATAACCAGAGTTGTTCCGAACAAAAATTCAAATATAGTTGTTTCTAGAAATAGAAAACCTCGTTTAGTAACAACAATGCCTACTACATCAATAGTGCCTAAATTAACACAAACGGATATTAAGAGAAGATTAATGAATTTAAAGTATCCTATAACAATACTTGGAAAAGATCAGTTAAGCTCTTCGCCCATAAATCTTGAGAATTATGAACAGTTTCAGGGTTTGGACCACCATATATGGCCATTTATGGTAGACTGGTATGATCAAAACACCGTAAATGTTAGAAGTGACAACAAATTGAAACACAGCTTGAATAAAGTAGAATCTGTGATACAAAGAAACAACCAAATATTGAGATCTGGGGGAAGCGTAATTCTTACAAGACAAACTGATCGGGAAGTGTTCTTAAACAATGCTAATAATATTAACGGCAAAATGATTTACAATTTGGACGATTCGTTACGCAAAAAGAAAATAGATTACCAACCAAATGCAACAATTGAAACGACCAATAATACTAAACTTTCACAGATTAAAAATATTAAAACAATGCGACAATTGAAAGATAAAATGTTGAAACATCTTTATAAAAAATCTTCAACACAAAGCATGACAAATAACAATTATCAACAAATAGGTGGGCAAGGTGATGAAAAATCTCATAATAATACAAATGTTTCCACAAAAGTAACCATTAGAAAAAAAGTTGATGCTAGTACGGAAACTATTTTGAAATATAATGAAATATTTCCAATAACACCCTCAATTAGTTCACAACTATTAACGAATTTAAAAAGACCATTAAATACGAATTACCCATGGGCAAAGGGTAAGAGGACTAGTGATTTAATAGAAAATGTCATTAAAAATATAAAGAATGGCATTTATTATAATCAAGAAAATATAGAAACGGTTAAAAGTAGCTGTGTAGGTAAGTTATGTATTTGAAAATTATAATAGTACTTATTTTATTAAAAATAAAATATCTTTAATAATTATGCTATGTAATTGTTTTAGAATTCAAGGAAGCTTCGGTACAGACAACAATGGTTGCATTAAGAATAGGTTCCACTAATACAATAAATAAGGAAGAGAAAACTATCAAATCATTAGAAACCGCAGTATTAAATTCTGAAACAGACAATTTCCAACATATACATGGATTTGATACTGCGTTACCATCACTAGAAATAAAAACACTAAATACCAAAGAAATTGCAGTAAAACATTGCATAACAAACGTGATGATACAATTTGACGTAACTATACCAATAGAACAGGATACAGTCTGTTTGGATGTACGAAAATCATTCTCATTTATACCATTAAAAGTTACAGATAGACATACAAGAGTATATAAAAGTAAAACAACAATATTAAATGCTATGTTGCCTGCCGAACTGTGTTGTATTATACCGAAAATGATAAGTAACATATCCAATGTAGAATCAAAATTTACTTTTTCATCTGCTTTATTAGATAAGACTGAATCTCAATTATCTACAATATCTGAATTAATACATTGCGAAAATCCTGATGTATTTAAAACTTTTATACCATCTTCAATAAACGTGTCAACAAAATTAGAAAAAATATTTACAGGATATTTTGCAAAACCGTTTAAATCAGAAATAAAAAAAGTAAATTACACATTGTCTTACAATATAAACTTGGCAACAGAATTGTTAGATGTTCTACAGGTTTCTTCGATGTTCCCCTGCATGTTAAAACGTCTTACGCCTGAAAAATATTCAAAGCAAAAACAGAAACCTAATAGCATGCTAAAAACCTATGTAGAAACTCCGCCTAAAAAATCATCGTGCTCTACTTTACAACCGTATGTAGCATCAAAGCACAGCTTGATTCAAAACTCTGCAATGAATAATTTTATTAATATACTAACTAAAATATGGAATTATAACAAATTTAAGAATTACAATATAATAAGTGAGAATGATGGTAAAATGATATATTTACCTTTTGCTATTAATAATTTGAAAATCGATGCCTTCTACAATAGCATATTGAAATACAACAACAAAGCTTTAAAATTAGGTGCTGCGAGTTATTACACAACACCTCGATGTATAGAATATAAACCTCAAGAGAAAAAGGAATGTTTTTTAAATAGACTTTTTTATAATAAAGGAAAGAAGAAACATTTCATAAAACTCTACAGAAAATGCAAGTCGACATCTAATATATCAGCTGAAAAAAGTACTACATCTCTGTGCAAGATAGCAAATATTGATGATTTCTTTCAGGCTCTTGGGTCAGGAAAACTTATATCTAATGTTTTTGACGGAAGCGCAGCGAAAAAAATACTATCATGTGTAATCGAAGTAAGTGAGCTGTTCTTCTTTCATTATAGATTAAGAATATAGTTGAGCCATATTATTAATTTTATATCTGAATTAAAAATTATATTCATTTCAGATGAAAAACTGGATAACAGAGATTAGTCAAAGACAAGCCATGTTGATTCTGTTGTTAATCAACAAGAAGGATACACCAATTTTAGTGCGTTTTCGGCCGGTTTTACTACAGGGCATAGCTGTGAATAGGATAACACGCGTGTCTGAACTTGACATGGAAATTGAAGTCATAGAAAGAGAAAATTTTAATAAATTGTCAGACGTAAGTACAAGTGTCTACTTGTACTAACTTATCATAGGTATAGGTGTCTACCTATATTTTTTATATGCAAAAGTTAAGAGGCAGATGATGCTTGTTACTTAGGGTTATTTTTTAGCGATTCATATATGTATATATATAACGGGAATTTAATGAACTCATTGTTTGTCGTTTTCGACAATTGTTTCGACTTCACCCGGAAATCTTTTTCAAGGGGCGTACGGCGCTTTGTATCATAGCGTCCCGTTTCGTAATAATTGTGGGTAACGACAAATATAATAAGTTCATAAAATTCTCATTGTTTCATTTAATGAATTACACGCTGGTTATAAAACCAGCGTGTAATTCATTATGTGTGTAAGTATGTACTTAAAACGTAGCACGTTAAATGCCAATTAACTTACAATGAAATAGCAAATTTAGAGGAAAATCAATCTATTAGGTAGCTATTGACATCCATTTGGGAAAGATAAACCTTGTATGATTTCGAAGAATGAAAATTAAGTATATTTATAGTTTAAACATGCCCCCAATGCTCCTGTACAGTTTTAATTTTAAGTTTTTTTTCTTTACAGTGTGAAGGGATTTCATATTTAACACCGTCCATCGAAAATCATGATAATCTCTTGGAAGAGTTGTACTGGATTGCAAAAACGACTGTAAGACTACGTATTTTTTAATGTAGATAATACAAAAACCCTTACTTGATTAATTTTTTAATTTAATCTTTGATAGAAAGGTTTTATTTATGATAAGTTTAGTATGAGTAATTTAGCATTATTAAAATTTTAAGAGGAATGTAAACTCATTTATTATAATTCATCGATATACATTTACACACTTGGCCAAAGATTCTGCAATTCACAATCAAAACATTTTAGTCCGTTTTCTCTGACAGTCAGGCAAAAAATAATAGTTCATTCATAATAAATCACTATTTATCTTGTAAAACCAATACAACTTTTAGATTTAAGACTATTTAGCGCTTATACAAAGTAGCGGATGAAGACGTAAAAATTGTACAATCGATAAAAGTATCTTTTAATTAATCCGTAAAAATCTGCATGTTATAGGCATCCGACTATCAAAGACCGTTCGACGAGTCATCAGAACGTTTATTGAAGTCTCTTTTAGAAAAACGCAAGAAACTTAATCCATCCTATCTTCGAGTAATGGCACGTTATGTCGGACTGGGACTTCTGAAGTCTCCAAATAAAAAATAATTTTTATCTATACGTAGATACTTCCTTCCTTATTTAAATTGTTTCGTGGTGTTTTTAAAGTATTTACAGTGGTTCGAAATCGGTTTTGTTTTGTAAATTTTATTTATATAATTTTAGAATATAAAATAAATATTTTTATATTATTTCACGACTTTGATAGTGTAGCGGTTTAAAAAACCTCACCTTTTGATTGTCGGAAGTTCGATAGCCATATTTATATTCATGAGTATATATATATTTATTCACTTGTCTATGACAGTGGCATATACCAAGTACTACGTTTACGTAGAGATGGGCAATCCACCTGGGTGGGTTTAAAGTCTGGTGGGTAAAAACCGGGTGTTTTGGGTTTATTGGGTTTAAACCCCATAAACACCCAAATTTTTGGGTGTTTATGATTTTGTACTTCATCATCGTCATCTCAGCCGCAAGACGTCCACTATACTGGACATAGACAATATTATTATGCAGCCTACAGAATAAAAAACTTTTAATTTGATTTTGAGTTTATTAAGAAAGAGATGAAAGTAAAATGTAAAACTACAGTCAATCACTGTCAGATTCAGAGTTATTACAAGCGATGAATTGTATAGGTTCGATAGGCTCTATTTCGTCTAAACTGTTATGTTCATTTACTTGCTCAATGAAAGCTTCTAAGGTATTTTCTTCATTAAACTGAATGTCCTCGCATTCAGCTTTATGTTTAAGATTCCAGTTATAACAAATGAATGAAATTTTTTCAGTTCTTTCAGTTGTAAGTCGATTTCTTTTGTTATTATGTATGTAGCCTTGGATACTAAAGGAACGCTCAGTGGCTGCCGAAGTACAGGGAGCTGATAGAATACGAATCGCTACTTTGCTTAACTCAGTGGAACCACAAATACCTTTCCACCATATTAGGGGCTCAATGCTATCTAATGAGCTCCATACAAATCCTCTGGCCCAAAAGTTTTCTTTAGCTTTATAACACGCCAAATCTGCCATTACATTTGACAAACTTAAGTGTTGGCTTAAATTGTAGATAAACTCCATACCCTTAAGTTCTTCCTCTTGAGTAAGTTCGACTCCTAGAGTCCTGGGGTCTAGAATATATGCTGCAAAATGTATTGGCCTCATTGCCATATTGCATCTTGAAGATACTGATGTTAGAATCTGCTGTTTGCTTTCTTCGCTCAATGTCGAAATCTCATTTAATGCAAAACGTATCTTAGCTTGTACATCTCTAAATGTAATGTATGTGCGATGCAAACGATTCTGGTCGCTCTCTAAGTAAAATATGCTTTCAGTGACTGGTTCCAAAATACTTATACATTCCCCTGTCTTCGTCCAGAAATCATCACTTAGAATTAAATCTTTAATATCTCTTGAAATTACCACATCTTCTCTAACTGTTAATATTTGCAAAGCTATCTTATTTGCTTTCAAACTTTTTAACGAAGTAACATGACTTCCCCATCTTGTAGCACAAGGCAATTTTAGTGTTTGTGTAGAATCTTCACCCTGCCTTGATTTTATCAACAAGGAACTTAATCGTTGACTCCTTTTAACAGTTTTTATTATATTTATGGCTTGCATAATAAACACAGTTACTTCTTGTATCTTTACAATATCTTGGCACAACAAGTTAAGGATATGTGCACAGCAACCGAGAGGAACAACATGTGGATATTTGAGTTTTGTTAATTCGAATGCCTTTTGTATATTTCTAGCGTTATCGCCAATAAGTACAAGAAACTTATTTGCTCCATACACTTTCATTACTTTTTCAACTTCTTGGCTAAGGTATTCACTAGTGTGAGGATTACTTTCTGTATTCAAACTTTTAACGTATGCAGGTTGAGGTTTTGATATAAGAAAGTTTATTATTCCTTCATTTCTTAAATTAGACCAGCCATCGCACTGAAGGTGTAAGTAACTACAAGCATTTAGTTCCTCATTTAACTCAAAACGCATTTCTCTATATATTTTATCTAAGTATTTTGTCGCTAAAGCTTTACGTGAAGGTATTTTAAATTTTGGTTGCAATTTTTCGAAAAATTGTATCCATAAAGGATGTTGCACCATCGATAATGGCGTCCCTGTTACAAATATAGCTCTCGCTAATTCTGTTTTTATATGATCATCGGTGTCTTGAAACTCAGCATTTATTGTAGTGTTAGCAGACGACGAGGGGCTTATAAAAGAATCATTTGTCTCTATCTCTGACAGTCCAGACATTTTGGTTTTGGACGAGCTATCTTTTATAAGTTTCATAGAGTCTTTTAATGTTTCTGGAGATTTTGGACAAGTGATAAGATGTTGAAGCATTTTGGCAGCATTACTGAATTTGTAGACCTTATTACAAAGCTTGCAAGAAACAGACTTGTTTGGTAAAGTACGGTAGTGCTCCCATATGCGTAAATCTTTAGGTCTCCCCATTGAACCTAAAAAAATGAACGATGATTAGTTGGTCTGACGAAAATTCAACAATAGAGTGCCTATTTTTTTACAATGATTATTTCTTGTTATTTACAATAAATTTATTAAAAAAATAATAAAATAAATACAAAAAACCTTTGTAAAATTACATCTCCTCGGAGGATTAAACGCAGACGCTAGTTTATTATCGTATTGTTCTGTATTTTTCTCAGCAACTTCTTTAATTCGATTAGGTACTTACGCATATTATGTTAAAAATAAATATCTAGTACACATCTTAGGCTATCCACCATTATTATCCAATGACGACTCTCAGCTAACTATGCACTATCATCCAAAATAAACGTGTATGGAAAATTTTATCCCAGTCGGTTGAGGATTGAGGATAATTGCATCAACATACGAACATACCTACATACTTTTATTTACATAACGCAAGCTAAATAAAAGCTTGTAATAATACATCTAATTTTAAGTTAAAATTGTTAAGTGATCATGATATAATTGTATCATTCAAAAATCCACTTACCTTTAATTATTTCTTGTTAAGTATAAATATTATTTCAAATCTGCTCCCTTAATATGCACTTTTTTACTGCTTTTCCTACCTAACACGTTACCAGGAAGTCACGTTACCAGAGTCAGAGTAATAGTGAACACGTTTGACAGTGATTGTCGTCGCCTCATATTCAGCGTCGACGAATAGGGGAATCCCCAGTCATAATGTATTGCATGCGTGGCGGTCTTACTTCAAATCCATAAACAAAGAGATAATTACAGAACTCGATACTAGATGGCGCTGTTTTTGTTTGAAGAAAGTTTGCGGGCTAAAATACATAGAATTTCATCAATGACTTCCACAAAGAACAACATTTCTGTTTTTTCTAAGTCCGTATCTCTTCCGTATATTTCATAAGATATAAGCTTGGGCTACATTGTTATGCAACGTGATTTTGTCGCTGTCTTGCTAGCAGGGTTGACAGATATACGATTTAAATCGTACTCATACTATTATTTGTCTATTTTTTAATGTACGATCGTAAAGATTATGATCGTAATTCGCACAAAAACATACGACTTTTTGGTTACCTGGCAACATTTTTATTATGAAACGAACATGCTCACATCATCAGTCACATGCAACAATTTATTGGGGATTTCCCCTTCACATCTGGCAGTCCTGCTTGCTAGAATATAGGTAAGTCAGCCACAGTTACTGACGATCGATATTTAAAGGGTATTGTTTTTGTGCTAAATATTTCATAAAAACGTTATTTAATACTTTGTGGATTATTAATTTAGTTGATAATCACTGGAAGTAAAATGGATGCTAATTTGAGAGATCAAGATCTTCGTATAAAACAGTTAATAAAAGAAAATCTACGTAAGTACTCTTTTTATACCTAGGTAGGTAAGGTATAATAAACACAAAAGGTACTTAGATCGCGTGTGTTCGAAGCATTTATTCTAATAAATTTAATTTAAAATTGTAGAAAGAAAAAAATGTCTGCCAAGCCGTAGCCGAAGCCGATCTCCAAATATATTTGGCGATAGTGAGACCCAGTGTCCAGATGATTTACCCAGCGTCGTCGCAACAAAGAAAAAAACGAGGATAAAGTAAAAGAAAATTTACTGAAAGAAGAAACAAACTGTTCTAAATGCTTAATTTATGGAGAAGAGGATAAAAGAAATGAGTATTTCGGACTGTTAGTGGCTCAAGAATTTAAATATATACGGCCATGTGTGCGAACGAGGTGTTATGAAGAAATTTTAAAGTATCTACGGGAAGCAAAAGGCCAACATGTTGATCAACTGCAACATGAAAACACTGAAAATTAATTACTTTCATTTTATTATATATAGATTTTTAAAATTTCCTGAAATATTATTAGTTAACGTTTTATTTAATATTGTAGAATTGATCAATACAATTTATAAAAATAATTTATTGGTATTACTTACATATTTTCAAAAAAATACGTAAAAACCTATTTTTTTGGGTGATTATGGGAGTTTATGGGTGTTTATTGGGTTTTTACCAAAGCACCGGGTTTAAACCCGGTGCTTTGCCCATCTGTACGTTTACGTGTCCGAATACCATATAGTAATAAATACCAATATTCGATGTTTTAACTTTTCTCAGGAATGCCAATGTAAATAATTTTCTCACGTCAATATATTTTATTGTAATTTATCAATGCCTAGTAATATTAGCAGCAGTGTAGTTCATTTTGTATATAATAATTGGTGAAAGGGATTGTTAGTAATGGCATAGATAGAAATAGATACTGACGGACCCATTACTAGCAATACACCGCGTTAAGTCTACCTCCACTACGCGTTTTTATCATATTAATTCTTGTTGCATTCGTCATAATAGGATAATATGACGACGAAAGTAGATCAGTTCGGAAGCCGACTTGCTTTCATGCACATTTTTCTCCCCTCTCTACTGACTGTGTATACCTATAGAACAGGCAGGGTTGCCATTCCATTTTCATCCCATAAAAAAAGAAACAGAATTTAATAGATTGTTATACTAGTAGTACTCGTAGATGTTTGAGAGTATAATTTTAACGAATTATGGTCAGCTTCAATACAATTTAATGGAAAGATAAATATATAACTTGATGGATAATAAAGTCTGATGTATTACAAATAAAAAATAGATAGTTTCGAATTTATTTTGAGAGTATTTCTCATTAAGTTGACAGATAACAACATAGTTTGATCAGCGAATTATATGATACCGATTGTATTACGATTCGTATAATGCGACAATTTTAATCCTCCCAAACATACTAACGTTAACTAAGCAAATAAAAAGACAATACTAGGATTTACATTTTTTTATTATAATAAGTTGATTAATCACTTTTGCGGCGCACTCTGGCTCGAGCTCTTTGAATCGCGCATGGAAGCCGAACGCCTGCGTTTAATCTCTTCCTGGCGACGTACCTATAAAATATTAAATAATATAAGACTAAATTCTGAAAAGGATATTCTGTTAGATGGATTGATATTGTAAATGTGTTAATTTAGAGATATGTATACAAATATTTCGGTATATTGGTCACATTTGGTGTTTTTTCTAAGCATTGAAATTAGATCAATGAAGATAAGAAATTGAATAAATTGTTGCTGATTTAATACCTTAGTCTATATTGATAACAAACTAAGGGGTAAGACACAGCACCTTTTTATTACAGCTAAATACGAACAGCACAAAGAATGTGCCCATATGGTATCAGCTGTTAAGAAGTTATAAGATCAATATAGTATTTACGAGCATGTAGATAGATAAAGAAACCTACACTGAAATTACGTTTCGTGATATCTTTGTGCCTATTGATGAAGATAGTGATGAGATTTAAAATATTTTAAACAGATTTTGATGAGAAGATTGTAACTATAACAGCTTCATACTATTGTAATTAAAAGTACCATAGAATGGGGTGAATAAAATTCATAATAGAATAAAAATCTGGAAAGTTTAAAATCTTTTATCCATGTCTACCATGCTTTCTGTGCAATACAAATAATATTTTAGAATTTACTTGTTTAATAGTAGTATGATGTAATAAGAAAATTTATTAGTACCACATAAATAGTTCTCAAAATGGGGTGATTCAAATCGCTAAGACGGTAAACAAAAATGCTCATGAGATGAAAAGGTTTTGTCATTTAGGGTTATCAAAACAACTACTTGCAACATAATAAAAGGTTTCTATTAATTGTTATTAAAAAAAGAAATGAAAAAAAAAAAAAAAAAAAAAAACATGATATTGTAGATAATTACCATTGTTTGTTCATTTTATATAATGTTACTATATGAATGCCCAATTCAATTTCTAAGAGAACCTTGTAAGAGCATCTATTCACATATTTAAATTTACTAAAATGACAATCCTAAGTTTTTTTTATTGACCTCTTTCTCATTTTTAATCACCCCAATTTCGAGGTGTGCAGAAATTTTAGATATTTTAAAAGATTTCAAGAAAAGCAGGTGATTTAGTTAATAATATAGTTAAATTTTAAAAGTTATACTTCTGGATCACTACATTTACACTATATCAAATGTTACTAACTTGAAAAAATTTCAAATTGTTCCTATTCACAGAGTTTTATGGTACCCAAAATTAATGTTAATATCAGTTTGAAATTTCTTTTTTAAACAATTATATTATATCTAATAGTTGATTGAATATAAACTAATGCCTTTTTAATTTTTTTTATTACCTTAGATTCCTTCTTTCTTTGAGCGAGCAACTTAGCGTATTCGGCCTCAGCTGATTTACGTTTAGCCAGACGCTTCTTCTTAAGTGCCAGACGGTGACGCCTGCGTTGCAGAACAACAGGAGTAACTAGCCTTTGGATCTTGGGGGCCTGAAAAACAATAATAATTATGAAATTATAATATTATGAGAATATAGAATAAAGGAGTATTCATAGTTCTTTGAATTAGGTACATCCATTAAAAATACTATTTGCACCCCCACATAGGTTGAAACTTAATTTACGTTCTAGAATTAATTATAGAATTTGCCACATGCTATACTATATAGATATACTCTCAAGGATACCTTTCAGTTTCTACTTTTATTAAATATACATAAAAATTTTTTTTTTAACATTTTAAGCCAAATTGGTTATAACTTAACATAAATACATTAAATGAATAATTTGCTTGCTCTTACAAAATTTCAAAAGAGAAATAGAGTAATAGTTGCTTTATATTCAGATTAGCTTAATTTCACATATTATCAGTTTATTGATTCACAATTAATGATAATAGATCATCAGACCTATCATAGCAAAAAAATTTTATATTCTAATTTCATAGTGTGTTAATATTTTTTGAGTCCCTTCGATTTCATTTGACTTTTAAACTTCACCACACACTATCTAACTTTCGACACCATTCATATTGAGCAAATTTCTACTTTTAACTCAATCATGGGTCTACTATCAAGCTGTTACATATGTAATTTTTTTTAATCAGAATTTATAAAAAATATGTAATTTATATAAAACTATGTTCAGCAGTGGACAGATAACAGCTGATATGATGATGTAACTTATAAATTAATAATAACATGGGAATTAAATTGTTCAGCACACTGTAAAAGTAAACAGACATTGTAGTCTGAGTCTTCTGCTCGGTGCAAACATTTTATGCCCTGATGCTGCTGTTCACTTGCTATAAAACTAGTAAACAATATTGAAATCAGGGATTGAATAAAGAACTAAATTTTTTTTATATATATTTTTGTATGTGTTTCTTTATATTTTCTACTTTATTCCTATCGCTACAGAATTTTTAAAATCATAAATCTACTTAGGTTCATATATTTACCTTATATCTGGGTTTTGCATTCTCTTTGCCTTCTTTGGCTGGCAGGAGACGTTTGACAACATAACGACGGACATCATCCTCTTTAGTCAGATTGAAGAGCTTGCGAATTTTCGAAGCACGCTTGGGGCCAAGGCGACGGGGTACATTGCCATCAGTAAGTCCAGGGATTTCCTGTAATATAAAATGTTTTTAGATATATAATAAATACTAAATATTTTTTTATAAAAACTATTTTATTGTTTAATCTATTTCAACTATTAGTGTTCTCTATAGTCACTTTCTTTCAGTTTGAGAATTCACTGCAAAATAATAAGACAAAATAATTCAATAACTAAAATAGGTTTATTTAATTTTTGTGAATAAGGGAGCTAATATATACTGAAAAATATAAAAAAGCGAAATAATTGTATGGTATATATGGTACATATCATACTGCATCGAGCATTATATGACAAAACATATAAACCATTTGCTATACCCTGCCGCATATAATTACCCAAGATTTGCAGATCTGGGAAACAGTAAGAACAGGGATTATATTAATAAGTAAACTTATTAACATTAGCCTTAAGAATATTGTTACTAATAAATATTAATGGACCAAAAGTCCAAAATAAACATTATTATTATTATAGAGGTCATTATCCTCTATCATTCATTTAAGTGTGACTCGAGTAATAAACATCCAAATCTAAATGGGTTTATTAAGTTTAACATTAATATTTTTTTTTTCTGAAATAAACATTATGAAAAAATACAATATAAATTTTCTCAAAGCCTAGTGTAGTTGTTTGCTATCTCTTGGAATTTTAACAAAATCTTATGAGATTAGGCCATCTTTTATCCTCACGAATTTTCACTCATACGCTGGTCACATGAATGAAATTTGCAAGTATAAGTTGTACATATATTATAGACAAATTATATATATAGCATTATTCCTCTTAAAACATCTCTAAAAGCTTAATAACTGCAGTTGCTAAGCTGCCTGCCAAGCATGGCAACTACAGGCAAAACTCCCCTTATGGGGAAGGCTTATGTCCAGCAGTGGATAGTTAATGGCTGAAGTAATAACATATAATCACCTGGGCACCCTTGCGGACAATAACAAGGGCCAAAACAGACAGGTTAGCATCGACAATGCAGCCACGGACTGACTTGCGTTTCCTTTCACCATCACGACGTGGTCTGTAGCATGAGTGGCCCTTTGACATCAGTAAACGCACACGACCTGTTATAATAAACTATATTTAGTATTTATATTATATCAATGCACAGTATTTCATATTGAAATAATTTTAAATGAAAAAAATAGGTAAAAATATATAAAGTACATATAATAGAATAAAGTTAAGGTACCTCACACTTAGGATGTAATAGCCTAGCATAGCTTCTAAGTTTTTGAAATGAATAATGTGGATTATGTCATGTGGCTTTTAATTCTGGTTTATATTTATTATTGTAAAGCTCTTAGGGATAAAAAAAAATACAATCAGAGTTTGACGTGCTAATATTGAGGGCACATTTTAGCTTTAGATTAGGAAAAAGGACATCTAAAGTAAAACAAAATTATTAAAAGTGAATAAGAGATTTTGTAACAATAAAGTGTAATAAATATTGAAGTAACTTGATGTAACTAGCAATTTTTATAATTTTAACAAATATAAAAGAATTTTAGTTAATTGGATAGCCTGTTTTCAACTTACTGTTGGTCAGAACTCCTTGTTTCATAGGAAAGCCCTGCTTGTCATTACCACCGGCGACACGAAGTACATAGCCCTTCCATTCGTCTCCTAGTTGATCCGCTTCTACTTCAGCACCCATACGCTTCTCGTAGAAGATACGGAGCTTATGCTCATCCACCACCTCGAATAGCTTCTGACATCCCGTTGCCGGGTAGGAGACGTTTAGCTACAAAAACAACTTTAAGGTTATATACATTTATACCACTATTTATGAAGCCTAGTTCCATTTATTATCTTTACAATAAAATATGATTGTATATTATTGATTTTAAAACGGGCAATTCACACTCAAAACCATATTAACCAAATAATAAAAGGCATGAATATTTTCAATTAACAACACGGTAAAATTTATCGAAATTATTCACAAGAATCTTAACACTCCCAAAAGAGTAACTGATGACAATTTTTAGTTTATTGCATTAGCAAATCTTTACGGGTATTATTTTAAAGCAATAATAAATATTTTATTTAAATAAATAATAAGAACCTTCATGACTGTAGCTTAATCCTTAGAACGTCAGCCATGAAAAAGAACCAGAGACAATAATAATATAGTGATGTGATGTACGTACTCTCACAGAACTATTGAGTAGAGTAATGTACAATGCAAAAAATATTAGATCTCGATATTACTGAACGAATATTGATAATTAATTATACGATGTTCGACTGCTTTTCCCGTACAGAATCACTTTATTATCCGTTTGCTTATATGTCTGTCAAGATCCTTTCCTTCAGGAATATATGGCATTAAGTTGAAATTAATATCAAATATTCAAATCAGCAATTCCTTGAAGCCGTGAAAAAAATTAAACGTTTAGTGGGAAAAATAAAGCCTATACGGTTATATCTTTTGGCTATATCAGATAAAATGAATAAAAGCAAGGGTATTTAAACTTATAGGGTAGTTTCTGTTGACCTAAAATTAGGAAATTTGGCAAGAAGGAATATTGTATACCATAACTAAAAGTAAAATATCTTAAATTTGTAATTATAAAAAAAAAAAAATAACAAAATATTTTCTTTTCAATCGGAATTTGTATGGAAACCTCGGTGGGCGAGTTATGTTCGCACTTATTTTTTTCTTTAACTGTCTGGTTTTATAATCCTTGAATTTTTACTTAACCATGATATCGACATCTTCGGTATTCCTTAATGCAGTTTCTTAAGTTTATTAATAATACAGATTAATATTTAAGTCTTCACTAATTATATAATTGTTACTTTAGTATACATCAAAACTTATCTGTAATCGTAATATTTGTAAAATTATATATAACATTTTTGAATAGTAATTTTTTTATTACTTTCTTACTTATAATATTGTACATAGTCTGTTTAATTATTGTGAACAGATTTTTGGTGTATTTTTTATAAATAAATAAATAAAATTATATTCTTGAGTCTAAAAAACGCCATAGAGATATTGTTCAACGCTATTTACACAGAATGTATTATGAGACTAGTGTTTTTAGTGGGTGATAATGGAATGGTACCCCGTCTGCGCTAATGGGATACGCTGTATGAGACTAGTGTTGGACGGGTGGGATGAAGGAATTTATTCATAACATTTCTCGTACATTTAGAAAAAAATATGGGGGTCGATAAAATTCGTCACATCACACAGGGCATCATTATTCTCCGACAAGAATACAGTAAAATCTGACGTCGTACATGCTGACAAAGCTGACCTGTGGGAGGAACCTAACATTCTAAAAGATGAAACTTGAGATACGCTGATAATATCAAATGACTATTCTTGCACAATCATTATTGTTGAGAAAGACATGGAGTTACGTTTTAAGACGCTGTTGGAGACTAGTGTTGTAAGGCGTCTCTCCTTTACTTCTTGCACAATCTGAGAAAGACATAGAACCAAAACCAAAACCAAAATGATGATTGTGGACAGAGATAAACACAATAGACCAAATATAATGACAATAGACAACTGTGAAGTTGTTACGAATTACGTATACCTTGGTTCCACGATCATAAATCCTGGAGGGTGTGAGGACGAAATAAGAAGGAGATGTGCTATCACAAAAACAGCTGTGAGTAAACTGCATAAAATCTGGAAGAACCGCAACATCACGAAAAATACCAAAATGTATATAATGAGGAAATTGGTTTTTCTAATTTTCCTGTATGGTGCAAAAACATGGACGATCAGGCAACAAGAATGCCGAAAAATTTATGCTCTAGAGATGTGATTTGTGATTTGAGATCTCATCAAAACGGCCATACAGCAGACTATTGTGGAATGATCTCGCTCGGCTGTGAACAGAAGTAGATGGAGACACATTACGAGGACCTCAATCGCGAAGGAAAGCCTCATCGACAATCCACTATTATAAAAACCACGACCACTCTATCAAGAGTGTGAGACTGAAGGGAGAGAGAGAGAGAGAGAAACTGTTTAATGTTATTCATATTAAATTGAAGTACGTATTTTTATGATACAATTATTTGAATTACTCATAAGAATAGAGTAATGGTGCCATTCTCAAGTAACTTCAAAAAGGAGATTTTAAATTCAATTATATATGTTTTATTCATAAGATCTTTATTATTAGACTAATTGCTTTTAAAGTCAAAATTTGAAGATCCGTGTACACTTTAAATATGTATCTGATATAAGAATTAATAAAAACGACTGCCATTTTTTGTTATTGAACCACACATTTGTATACAATCCAAATTCTTTAAATAAAAATAGCTACCACATTTTTTTATTATATAGCCGATCAGATTCAAAACGATATTTGAGGAACTCTATATACTTTAAACATGGATCCGGTGTCACAATTAATAAAAATGGCCGCCATTTTTATTTAAAGTGATAAAACTGTTATAATTTGTATATAAATGATATTAAATATTATAAAGAATTATTTAATCCTAATAATAATTTAGTTTTCAGTTTTTACCTTATTCTAAAGTAATAATTTCTAATCTAGTAATCTTGTTATGTACACAGATGTATTAATAAATTGACCCGTTTATTTCGGTGCATTTGTATGGATACACTTTATCTATATAATCTAAGGCTAAGGCTATTTTTTATCTTGATTGTGTGGATATACTCCCGGGCAAAAGATATCTTCTATATGATTTTATTAAACACACGTATCCGTCTAAGACTTAGACTCTATGTGAACGGTTACCATCAATGAGAATTTATTGATCCGCTAATTAAATCATTATGTGTTCATAGGCCTCTATTTGAAATTCTACACATATATTGCATTTTAAGCCTTTTGACGTTTCTGAGTCTTTCCGCCTTTTTTCCTTTATCAAGAGAATATATATATTATTCATGATGGAATTGTAGGTGTAGGCAGCGTCGGTAGGTAGTGGTTTGGAGTTCTTTATGGTTAAAGAAGAAGTAGACATCACTATAAATAAATTACTGAGAACTGACTGACGCATACATGATATAAATTGACTGCATGACGTGACGAGTTGACGTTGACGTCTGTATGAGTCGGCGGAGCAGGAGAGGAAAAAGAGAGGACAAGTTAAAGCAGTCAATCAAATTTTTTATTTCTTTAATAGTGACAATTCGGTTCTGAATTAAATTAAAAGTGGAAATTAAAATGAAATAAATTCTTTCCGAGTTATGTATCAATTATCTATATTATTTTAATACATTCTCTGTGTGTTTTTGATGATAGTGGCACTTCACTTCTACCAGTCTTTTTTAAAATATAATTTGTAAAAATTTACCTGTAATATGAATAACGACGAGAATAAAGACATGTCGCACAGACAGCATGCGAAATATTTTATGCGGTTTTTAAATATACTTCCTTCAACATTATCGTCTCATGATACAACCAGGTAACTTGTAATTAATTACAATTTAATAATTTATTTTATTATTATATATTAATATATGTAAAAATCGTAATTTAGTGATATTTTTAATAAACAATTAGTAGCATCTAAGACTATTGTTTGACACTATCCATGAGTTATGAACAATAGATAATGCTTTTTATTTATATAAATTATGTAGGTACTGTATAATTTTTTGTCATATAAATAACAAGGTCATTGGTTCCTTGACATTGTTATTACCTGCTGATTATATTGTATTTGCCTTATTTAAATGGCAAAGATGTGTTTTTGAAAGGTATCATGAATGGAAATTATAGTAAAATCATACTTACCAATTTTGTGTCATTTGGACATTATTATCAACTCATTTTATCAAGGATCTGGTGTAGGCTTGTTTTGGACAGGAATTATTATTTCCTATATCTTATTTATTTTCCCTTTTTATTGGCATTGGTACCAAATGATACATTACAATTTATAATTAACCCATTTGGATCCAAATATTAACTGGCAACATAATTTGAAATAATCTTTATTGACAAACTATAGAAAGCTAATATTTTCTTATAAAAAAAAATTGTGTATAAAAAGCACCATCCTCAAATGAGGCCAATGGGGCACTTTTTAAAATACTTTTGATATCTTCATCCACTCTTCGACACACATTTGTAACAATGAATGATGGTTTAGCTATTATTCACAGTAAAACTAAAAATATAAGTGAAAAAAAAATTTTGCAGTCAGTCCCCATTTGGGGACATTACACTAAGATCCCTTTATTTACAATCAAGTTTAAAAAATAAATGATATAATAACATCATTTATTAGAAGAAATTATGACCAAGTGAGATATATTAGGAAATAATATGAATGTTAATTTAAGTATAAATAAATAATGACTTATTTTTACTGGTTTAATTTATATTTGTTTAAATTATTTATAGTACATAAAATTACTAATTTCATGCAGTTTATTCGCTATATCCCACAACATTTTTTTTACTACAAAACATTTTAACACTCGAAATTTGCATTTGAACAAAATTTATTTAGAATATATTGAAATGTGTTGGTATGTCAAAAGTTGTCTCAATTAAGGACAGTGGTCATAAATGGGTTAAGGACAGAGGTAAATAGTTTTATAATCTTGAAAGTATTATATTTATATGATTAATCTTTATTGATATAATATGATTGAATTTTAAGAACACTATTAGTTTATTGATGAATATTGAAAAATTTCTATTGTTTTTGAAAATTAATAGATAAGTCTAATATTGCCATGCTTTGGTAAACTTCTAAATAAATTTATTTTGGTCATGTCCACAAAATTATAGATAAAAGCTAACATTTTATATTTTTGTTTTGTTCCAGAGTCACTATAGCATATTTCTCAGTCTGTGGCCTTGATGTTCTTGGATCAATATCATCTATATCATTGGATCTGAGCTCTAGGATTATTGAATGGATTTACTCACTACAAGTACATCCAAATGAAGAGAGTAAGTTGTATAATTATTATCAAATTTAGTAATACAATTCCAAGTGTATTTATTTTTTATTTTTTTTATTACAATACATTTTAATTATATGAATATCTATTAAATTATATTATTCATTGTATGTGTAATTTCCTAAATTAAAATATCTGACTTATGGCTAATATCTTTTTAATACATATATTTTTTAAATCTGATTCTTTATTTTAGAAAATGTAAGTATAACTGTGAGATAGGTAAACTGTAACAACTACAGTGTAACAAATCATATTTTTTTAAGCTATTTTTCTCATATATCATCTAAAAAGTAATAAAGAAGCAGTAAATGAAGTAGTTATAGCAAGTAGTATATAAACCTATATGTGGTTACATATTATATTAAATACATTTTTCTCTGAAGTTAAAACATATAATTCTCCAAGTAAGATACAAAAAATGCAGAAGTCTGTCTTAGAATATAATAGTTGTAGATCTAAGGCAAAAATAAAAAATACATCAGGATAATCTCAGAGTATTAGTGGTTCAAAATATCTGTCTCATAACATAAAAATTTTTACATTGTTGATAAAAGAGAAGCAAGTATAGACAACATGTATAACAAGTGTGCATTCTGTGATCTCATCTTATCTAATTGAGATAATTATTAATGTTTTATTTCAATAGTTACTTTATTAAACAAACATAGTTATATTAAACAAGAGTTTGTACAAATGGTATATCCTAAAATACATATTAATTACACTAGTAAGAGACCTAGGTAATATTTAATCATGTACACTGTCTTTATCATGTGCAAATATGTTGGCTGTCTATTTAAGTAGTTTTTTATAGTCTTTGTATTTTGTCTCATAGTACTACATGAATTGAGCTTATAGTCTTTAATATTATCTCTAAATGGTATGAAACAAATTTCTGTTGTGTTCATCTGTCTATTAGGCTAAGGATTATAAAGTATCTAGAGGATATTATAAAAAAAAATTAAGGTTCTTATCATTATGACAATTATGTTTTTAAGTCTGGAATTAACATGATTATTTAAATTTATGATAATTTGTCTGAATTTTGTCAACGTTTCGACTAGGTTACAGCAGTGGTGGCCATGAGTAGATTGAATTCATTTGTATTTCTACCATGAAGCAGTTGTGTTTGCATGGCTGTGTTTCGGTTTGAAAGATGGGATATGGCAGTGAATTTACGGGGTACATAGGAATAGTACCTGACTCCTCAGGAATAGTAATGCATGGGGGGGTATCATGCGCGAAATAGTATACTCTGCCATGTTTGCCATTTTAAGTAGCATAAAAAAAGAATTAGTATACTTATATGATCATGTTAATTCTCTTTTGTCTCTTTCTTATAAAATATAAAACATGCTGTGCGAAAACAATTATTGAAGAAGATTTTAACATTGAAGTTTCTTCTCTTGATGACATGAAAGTACTGATAAAAAATGCTATTTTATTAGTTCCTAAATCATTCTCTACTATAGCTTTTATAAGAATATGGCATGAAGAGTAGTGAATATATAAATAAATGAGCTAGATTTAAACCAATTCAGGATATTAATATGTTAAGTTGGTGGGAAATGGGATGAGGGAAGAGATTGTTAGTAATGGGGACTAGTAGCCTTATTGCTAGCAATACATGTGATGTGATGAGCTTAAGAATTCACTGTTATTTTCTCTTATTTCTACTTTCAGATGGTGATATGTCCATATGTGGTTTTCAAGGGTCCTCCACAGTTAATATACCATTAGACCCAGCAAATAATCATTACCGTTGTGGTCACCTTGCAATGACATACACTGGTCTTTGTATGCTTCTCACTTTAGGAGATGATCTGTCTAGGATTAATAGGAAAGCATTAGTAGAAGGTAAGTAACATTATCTTGTATTCAATGTCTTGCATTGGGCAAAGTTTGTGTACTTATGAATATAAAATAAATAAATATGGCTACTTATATATTAAATAAATTAGGATGAAAATTACACAACACTTGTTTTAAAGTTAATAGCATATTTTGTAATCTTGTACAGTTTAGTAGCTGTTTTATCGCTATTTGTATTATAAGTGTTTGTTCCTATTTTAAAACAATATTTCTTTTTTTTTTTATGTCATCGTAGTTTTACGTGAGTTTGTAGTCTATATAATTTAATTTAGTATGTGAATAAATACTGTAGCATTTTCAACTAGCTCCAAACAAGAAAGAGGATCTCAATTTAGTTCTTTTTTTTATATTGGTTACAAACACAATAAACTTCATCAATTATTAACCTATTTGGAAAGAGTACACTTTCAGATTTATTATAGGTGATGATGAAATAGTAACCCCATCCGCGCTATCGGTATACACCGGTGGGGCACCAGTGACGGATGATAGATGAGGATGAAACAGGTCAGTTAGCCCATCGTGACGAATTCAACGAGAATTGTTCACGATGGTTTCCAGGGGGAACCACGTGGAGGTCGACCTGATAAGGCTATTGCTAGCAATGGGGCTGTCAAACTACATTGCTAACAATCCCTTCCCCCCTGCACTTTCAGATTGGTCCCATAGACATTTTATCAAAATCGATTCAGTAATTTGATTTGTCATGATTGAAGTTGGTATTTTTTTACGGAAAAAATCTATTTATAGAATAAATACAATATTTCAGGTGTTAAGGTCTTGCAAAGAGAAGAAGGGAACTTCTCCGCAACACTTTCCGGCTGTGAGTCAGATATGCGATTTGTGTACTGCGCAGCATGTGTCAGTTATATCCTGGATGATTGGTCGGGGTTTAATATTGAAAAGGCCACCGACTACATCATTAAATCTATTGTACGTATATTGATATCATATTTCACCGCTTTAGATTTTCACAACAACAGCTCTTGAGCTTTCCGGACTGTTAAATTTGTAATGTAAAACAATTTCGTAAGTAGACCGTTTAAGATTGCCATATTTAGATTTTTTTATGGGTGTAGATGAAATGGTAACCCCGCGTGCGTTATCAGTATACGCTGACGGAGCACCAGTGAAGGGTGACAGGTGAGGACGATGGCAGGTTATTTGGCCTATAGTGACCAATTGAACAAGAATTGACCACTATGGTTTCCAGGGGGAACCGCATGGAAGTCGACCAGATAGGGTGTATTGCTAGTAACGAGGTTGTTAAATGTCAATTACTAACAATCCCTTTCCCCCCGCCATATTTAGATTATCATCATGTAACACTTCTTGAATTAAGAGTAATGGGGACTAATGGCCTCATTGCTAGCAAGCCCTGTCAGGTCGACCTTCACGCGGTTCCCCCTGGAAACCATTGTAATTAATACTTGTTGCAACTAGTACTAATATTATTCGTCACAATGGGCTAACTGATTTGCTTGCATGCTCATCTATCATTGCTCACTGGTGCCCCGCCAGTGTATACCGATAGCGCAGGCGGGGTTACCATTCCATTTTTATCCATAAAAAAAGCCTTTCAGATTATCTTTTGTCAAACTTGACTTTGTTTGGATGATTGCTAGTACAAAATTTTATTTAAATCTAATAAGGTATTTAAATGTGTATAAAAAATTTATACTTTTTAGATTTACTGTATACATTTAATTTCATTACAGAGCTATGATTATGGTATCGCGCAGTGTCCAGAACTGGAGTCGCACGGGGGAACTACTTACTGTGCTCTAGCGACCCTCGCGCTTTCCGATCAATTGGACAAATTATCTCAGGAGCAAGTGGAAGGGCTGAAACGTTGGCTGGTCTTCAGACAGGTCGACGGTTTCCAAGGCAGGCCCAACAAGCCGGTCGATACGTGCTACAGTTTCTGGGTTGGTGCTTCATTAAAAATATTAGATACTTTACATATGACGAATTACGGTAGCAATAGGAGGTACGTGATCGACACGCAAGATGTCGTTGTAGGCGGGTTTTCTAAGTGGCCTGATACTTCCACAGATCCTATGCACACCTACTTAGGCCTAGCTGGATTAAGTTTGATAGGGGAGAATGGTTTGTTAGAAATTGTACCTACTCTTAACATAACCAGAAGGGCATACGAACATCTGAAGACTTTACACAAGCGTTGGTCTGATGAATGCTGATGAATACTGACATTCTTTAATTTTATATTTCGACCAAGGCGTTTCATAGTGTGATTGAGTTTTGTTCAAATATTAATTGTTATTACTTCCGTCTGTAACGATGTTTCAATGGTGCACGAGAATTAATATATATGTTTTAATGAAACTATATTATACCATAAGTTAATTGCAAGTGCTATACCGCGATTTCATTAGCGATACATGGACGCGAGGAGAGAAATAGGTATACATATGTGTACTATAGGAAAAACAGATCTTATGATGTTGTTTTATAATCTTTTAATAGCTTTATATATTTATTTCAAACTTAATACTGTTATAATACACGTGTATAAGTACTTAGTTTATGTTCGTATTTATTTTTTCTAGATAATACCTATCTATTTGGTCATATTATAAATGAAGGTTTTGACATAATTTGGTTATATTATCTCACGTGCGATCTACATGCATGGCTCTCTCTGTCTACGCTAGCTATACGTCGCAGTATAGCGCTTGAGTTTAGACTGTATTTCATGTTATACCAACGTTAGTTTCCAATATTTTCGAGATGTAATTAAATTAATATATGACTATAATGAGGAGCAAATACGATGCAAATCTAATGAAATAGAGCTCGTTTGTATCATACGTTTTTACTTGAAAATTGACAGGTTTTTAAACACCAAAGGATAAATAAAGGGTAATTCGTTAATCAAATATATCGCTAATTCGCATCATTTTTTTTTATCATTATTCATCACGATTGTAAAACTGAAGTCTATTATTATGTTACTGTATTAATACTGTATTTTTGGGAATCTAAATTTTTATATATGAATTTAAAAAAAAATTCATTATCCTAATTGAATTTATTCGAAAAATATGCATACTTGTATCGCCTATCGCCTTTGTCAATCCGTCAGAGAATTTGTTTTGGTTTTTCCTGTTTATTCAGCTGCTTACTACATTAACACAGACATAATAATAATATAAAACAATGGCACACATTATTTAAAAAAATACTTTTCCTAGAAATATTTAAAAAACACAAGTACAATATAGAGTTGCCGATTTGTGTTAAGCCCTACATGAAATCTGCTACAAAATGGCCTTCTTATATTTTTTCGTCTGTCGTTATTGTAGATACAAGAATTCAGTGTATTTTTATGTACTAAAAATACACTAAATTCTTGTATCTACATTATTGTATGTAAATTTATTTGCACTAAGTGCTGAGTTATACGTTACTTTTTATACTACATCCATTTCCCATTGTAATAAGCAGTTTGACACAATTTAGAAATTATAAAAATATGTTTCCCTTGTTATAATGAATATCTTAATTAATTTTTATACATGCAATTGTTCAGTGGGTGATAGATGTTAAATATCAATGATGACGAATTGATATTAACTAAGTAATCCTTTTTACTGCAATGACTGCTCTCATTTTTTGTCAACTAATTTATACATACTGTATAATGCAATTTTCATAACGTAAAGCGTTTCTATTAATCTCATACAATCACAATTTTATGAATTAAAACATACCAGTAAGCTTTAGTCTAGTCTTTATATAAAATGGAGTCTGTCGACGTTAGCATTATATAAAATGGCATTTCAATGAGTTTATTTTTTATTTTTAGATATTATCTATTAAAAGCACAAAAAAATATTCTAAATTATTCGAATATTCTTCAAAATATATATATAGTAGAAACAATCGTTTGTAAATACATTATTATGTATCATTTATCAAATTTGTTTATTGTTAAAAAAAATCAACGATGCAAAAATCGTCTAATGTGGAAGTCGTAAATTATTTCTAATGTTATATTTCGTTTTGATAAATTTTATACGTGTGTGGTTTAGTTTTAAATAACTTGATGTATGTTTAGGAAATTTCTGTTTTAAAGTATTACGATATGGATATATAGTGCTCGGCAAACAACTTGAGTATTACTAATAACGAGTAATAATAAAATAATTACTAGATTCTGCTCACAACTTCATATGTATGGTTTTTGAACTAATGCAATAAACCATTTCTGGATAGAGTTAGATATATGGGAACAAAAAAAAATCGTTAAAATTATTAAATTAATTTGGATTTTAATTAGAATTTAATTACATTGATGAAATTGAATTATTTAATTATTGAAATCTTTATGAAAATTTAAGGATCGACGCCCTCCTCGCTTCTAATTGCTGTGCCCGACAGGGTCTACAATGTACTATATCAATTACTAACATCTTTTATAATAATATTGTAGAATGCAATAAATAAATTGAAATTAAAAATTGAAATTGAGATATCAAAATATTAAGATAAAATATACACCGGATTTTAAGTGCGACATTTAGAAATAATACTGAATCGCATTTAATTTGGTGTAATAGTTTTTGCATGATTTCCCAACAAATATACAGATAGAGAAACATTCTAAATTTCATAGTTCTGCCTTCACATGCTTTTATTAAGGCTCCTTATAATAAATTTTTCTTAAATATCTCTTATGTAAAGGCATCGTCTAGTTATAATGTAATTTATGTATAAACATTAAAATCGAATTAAAAAAGTAACGTGGTAATATAATTGTACTCAAGTTATTTGTCAGTATTTATATCTATATAAATTTTTATTATAATTTGCTAGTACTTAAAGGGTATTTATGAAATTAGGTGCTAACTATAATAGATGGTATTCAGTGCCACCTACCATTTTTGAGGATGGACAACGATTTATAATGAAAAATATATATAGCGACTATATTTGATAGTACAATATGATATTTCGCATTGTGCCATAATCGTTTTACTCTATGGCGACCATTTAGCAATTCATTAGATAGGATTTATAAAATTATTGCACAAAAATTGTCAAAGTACACATGTTACTTAATTGTGTCTGAGAGTTATAACTGTTTTATATAAAATATGAAATTACTGTTTTATGGGCCATCATTATTTAAAATTATAATAATTATGATCTAAATCTATAAGAAAGTTTGTTTATATTAGCTTTTGTAAATAATCAAATTGAAATTGAAAATTTATATATATATATATATATATATATATATATATATATATATATATATATATATATATATATATATATATATATATATATATATATGTCGATTCTGATATATATACCTAAAAAAATAAAAATATACCTAATATTAAAAGCTATCATGTATGTCCTGTTTTAATAGAACATAATGGAAAAGTAATAAAGTTTTCTTGAAAGTTGAAATTATCATAGTAAATACACATACCAACAAATTTAGAGGAACGCAAAACAGGTAAATTTTTAAATAAAATTATTTTCTATATACTTTTTTGCTATAACAATAATTAGTTATGCTTAAAATAACTAAAATAAACGCTTTAGTAACTTATAAAACATTAGTTTTTGAAGAATTACACTAAAATTGCAAAAAAATGTAAATATAACTTTTTTTCTTTAAAACTTAACAGAGTTTAATTTTGAAATGAGCACAAAAAACAAATATAATAACTTCTTGCCATTGTAGGTGTACTGTAACAAATGGAAACATTAAATTAATCGAGTTTTCATTTGTACTACTATTGAACTTCATCCATCCATCTCATGATCATGTCAATAATTCGTTTCTTTACATTTTCGTCAAATTCTATGGAAATACATATAAATTTTGTTCCACCTATTCATTGGCATGCGATCTACGTGCCTTAAAATTTACAATTACTAGATAAAATTGTTTAATTAATCCGATGGCCACTGCGCTGCAATGGGACGCTTCTTCCTTTGTGCAAATTATCTAGTTCAAATGTACATTGTCTGATTTGCATACATATCACTTTATCAATCTATCAATTCATTTTTAATGTTTACCTTTCTTGTGACGCAATCGTATAGCATGTGTATTTTGACCGCATAGTTATAAGGCATTTATTATCTATAAATGGAGGCTCCAATGAATGGATCATATAAGTATGCTTTATAGTAATAAACACATTTTGACAGAACCGTGTATAGAATCTTGTTTCAACATATAATTTTTTTATTAAAAGAATTTAAGGGTCAATTTTGAAATTTACGCAGGTGAACCAAGTCGCATTCGTTGTTAGTTTTTTTGTTATAATTATGTTTAAATTATATAAACATTAATCAGGTATTTGTGTACATAAATTGAACGCTATCTGTTATTTAAGTTGCCACAGAAAGTTGTTAGCAGTTTGGAAATTAAATTTAGGCCCAATTTCTCCCACAGTAATTCCTGGGAGAGGCATATGTGTCTCCAGATCTCTGATTTGAACTATAAATGTTTATAAATACGGTATTTTCCTTGAGTATATAGTTGGGCTACGACGATGCAATGGTGCACAGTATGTCCCACTAGAATTAGATCAACAGAAATTTGTTACAAAACTAATCATAAATACACTGCAATATAATTAAATATAATAAAACTTAATAAGAATTGTGTAATTAATTATTATAAGATCAGACAAGATTATCAGATATTATCGGATAAGACCATCAGGTGGCCGTCAGCTTGTTTGCCATTCTAAGTTGCAATAAAGAAAGATATTATTGGAATTACCTGTACTCAGTTTCGCAGAATTAAAAAAATAATATCTTTATATAATTACAATATCATTAAAATTAACTGCAAGTATGTTCAATGTTGTAATGAATATAATGAACTATCATAAAGAGTCAAGTATGCATTCATTCGGCAAATTTTGTATTGATATTAAAGTTGTAAAATTTTGGTAGAAAACAGCCACTTTTACGGCAAGAAAAAACTTTGAATATTTATTTAAATACATTTTATTTTTAAATTACTTTGGTTAGATTGAAATAAAAAAAAAAATGTTAGTATTATGTGGTTTAGAACTTTTGTTATTTAAAAAAAAAAAGCTATCGTTTAAGAGAGTTTGTTATTTATAAAGCTGTTTAAAGGACATCTGATATAAAACGAGCGTTTTGAAATCGAAGCTTTATGCAAAGGAATTTATTTCATATAAATGTAATCTAAATACTCAACATTTTCTTAGCATGAATTGGGATCTTCTTGAAACCATATTGAATTTATTGAAAAAAAAAATTGTTTCAAAAAAAGTAAGTACAGTCGAATTTAGAACCTCGTCTATGGTTGAAGTCAATTAAATTGTCCTTCTAATAATAAAATAATTAAAGCATTGTTTGTTTTATAAGCACATTTTTTTACAGGTATTTACTTTTACAAGAATTTATTTTTATATAATATCGCCACCAAACTATATTGTTATGTATGTAATAAAACTTTTTAACATATTACAAAATATGATATTTCAATTCGAATATTATTTATTGCATTTGATCTGTTTTTTTTTTAGAATATTTTTG